CTAAGTCGGTGCCAAAACATACATATGTATGTAGTATTTATGTAAGGAATTAATCGTAGGAAAATATGCATATTCAATCTTAAGTCCGGTTGTAAATTTACTATTTGAGAAGTTACTCATTTTTTTTTCTCGAAGGCACCAAATATGCGGTCGGGTCATGAGACAAACGACTTTGTTTTTTTTTTTTTTTTTTTTTTGGCGAGATAGACGCTAGGGAGGTGTCGATTGGGCCACGTATAACATGAATGATAGACTCCTCAAGGGGGGGAAATGAGAGGGTTTAAGAAGGATACGGCGGAAGAGTTGTGAGGAAGCCGTGAACCCCAATACTAAAGAAAAGAAGCTTCAGAAGGGGGGCTGCGCAGAGAAAACAACGAAGATTTGCTTGATCGAGGCTACCTACAGGCCTGGCCTTGGGTATTGAGGGATGGCTAGAAGACGGTACACGGTACCGGGACAAAGCGGAGATCAGTGGGGATATTGGTGTTGTGTTCCAGCATCAACCTTTTTATGCAGTCCCTTCTCAACCCCCCTATAGCTCTAGCTCTCTGCATGAAAAAGCCGCTCTCGAGGTTTGTAGACGGCGTCGACGGTTATTGTCGACGGTTGGGGCAATATAATGCAAATCGATAGGAATTATTAATAGTTACAACGCACCATATTGACATGCTTCGAGAAAAGTGTCTGCGGGGCAATTGGGTACCTTGCAAGAATGGAATAGCTAATGTACGCCGTACGTATTGGCTGCATGTACTGTGCCATATGATTTGATTCAATAGCCAAAAAATCTCTCTCGTCCACTCTACTGCTGTTTGTTTAGTAATTGTGACAAGGTTCCCTTGAAAAATCATTTATTTCTGATATCACTTCCATGTCAGTTGGGCACCGTCTATATATAATTTAAAGGAATATTCCATCGTCGAAGGCTAAATCGAAGTCCCTGAATTTTTCCATATATAAATGGGATTCGTCTATCGCAGACAGACACCTGCTGCGTCATGGTGCTGGGATTTAGCCCATCAACCATTACTCAACGGTCATTAAACAGAAGTTCCACCCTTTCGTCAACTCACATCGGCCTTGGCCCATTAAATGGCTCGGAAAGATGTCAACCCTTGCCCGTCCTGGTCAAATATTTGCCTGGTGATGGTGTGTGGGCGGTCTGTCGAGCATCATCGAGACGAAACAGCCTGCATAGGTCGACGTGGATGACCCCGGACTATCGACGCGGTACCCTGGACCAAGCGAGGAGGATATCCTAGCCTGTGGAAGGTAGGAAAAGACGGAAACCTATTGAGGGCGATACTTCTACACCAAGTATTTTCTTTTTCCCAGGACCTGATGATGATCTTCGCTGCCCCAGTGTACTGAAAATATTTTCGTTCTGGTCAGAAAGGTTTCTACTTTGTACAAATTTGTGGATGGGAATCAAAGTCCCACATGACCATTTCTTGCCAAACCTTTACTTTGTGATTTGTCCCTTGAAAAGAATCATTTTCCTTTTTGCAAAAGAAAAGCAAAAATCTACTCAACAGTGGGAAAAAAAGGTACCCGCCCTGTGATTTCTAGAAAGCTTCTGGTTCACCATGTTAGTATCTTAATTAATATTGACGTTGATATTCTCATTTGTGACATTCTGGGGGGGAATTCGAAGCGGCCAGCCAGCCGTTAATTATTGTTTATCACATCTCCCACTGGCCGTCGCGTGTTCCTCTCGCCACAGCGAAAGACGACACCGTCGTACAGAAATCTTGGGATGGGGAGAATAGGCCCGTTGCAGGATGGGACCCTGGAGCGCGGTTCCTCTCCTTCTCTCCTTCTCTCTTTTTTTTTTAACCCCCCTCCCTTGTTCGTCGTCTACAATAAAAAACATTCAAGTAAGACCACTTTGAAGTCATTCGGCCAGTCTTTTGGTGGTGTTTCTGGTTTGGGGGCTGCTTTCGTATTACCAAAGTTTTCCCAGGCAAAAAAACTTTCCTTGACTTATGACATCTAGAAAAGGTATTTCTGGTTGCATCGTGACAAAGGTGACTATCGTAGACTAGGCCTTTATGCCTTCCCACACTTGACCACACCCTTTTTGATAAATCTGCATCGGCTGTGGAGCGAATGAGCGCCCAAGTAGCGGAGCCGATGCCGTGATTTTAGCAATCGTGGGCCTACCCCAAGAAATCGCCCACCGACTAGCTGCTGCATTCCTGCAGGCTAGGAAAAAAAATAGAGAGGTGCACAGTGGAGACAAGCTAAGTTTGAAAGGTAACCGTGCATAGACAGAAACATGCGCAGGCAGTGGCAGTGTCGAAACAGAGAAGCAGATAGCTGCATAGTACGACTCCATATCGTGAATTGATGACCGTTGGATCGAACCCACTCTTATAGTTCCCACCCTCTCCTTCTATTTTCTTACAAGACCAAGCAGGTTGATTCGCTTCAATGCTGTTAAACTCTCCGCCTTCCTACTGGTCTTATCGACTGATCCCATCGACTTGCTTCTATCCCGCTCTCGCTGCGTAGCTTAGAGGTTGTGACGACTCGACTGGGTTTGAAGAATTCGACGGCGACCTCATGCCCAGCGTAGTGTAGGCAGACACGGAAGGGGAATTCCATATCGTTCCGTCCTTTGGCTGCACACGGCATAGACTTCCTGCAGTGACAAAGGGTTCTTCTCGTCCTAGTAGCCCGGGTCGACGCTACAACAGACAAGCTACCTTCTCTCGCTCCTAATATATACTGCCTATTACACTTTCTCTCGCACCGTTGTACTCTGCTGCACAGGGAGGGATCAAGGTGGTGAGCGAGTACATCGTACCAGGGAAGGGTCTTTTTTTTTCTTTCCCTTTCCATATTTATTACCTTTTGAGATCTCGAGAATTTTTCTCATCTAGCTCCCTCGCGCACCCCACTATCAACCAATTAATAGCGCTCCAAGACCCATCCTGTCCCGCCGCGTCGTGTCCTGTATTGGTGCTTGATGTATACGTCTTTCCGTTTTATCCAGCAAGACCCCGGAACCAGCCCATGGTGATAGCTAGGGTTAGTTCAAACGTTAACAGACAACCCCCAAACAAACAACAATAAACAATCCTTATAAACTCCCTACTCAACTTCTCCGTCTGGAAATTGGCGATAGGGTAACGCTGGCATTTCGCTATTTGGCCTTTGTCGTGGATTTGTCTGCAATTGCTATTGGAAAGGACGGGAATACTCTCGGATTGAGCTCTTCCTCGGTGTATCAATATTACCTATTGCCATTTGATATAATTTCCCCCAAAGCTGGGCCCGCCATCCGCCCGGCTCACCAATACATTTTCAATACCCTTTTCTGGTACATATTTTATCTCGTAAAATATTTCGACAATATATTTCCATTCCGTTCCAGAAGGACGGCTTAAGAAGAGCCAGACGGCATATATCACGAAAGAAAGATTCGAAGAGCTCGGACAACAGTAGCCGTCCCTATCACAACGGATTCTCGGGAATCCCACAGCTCGTTTTGGGTGATTGCTGCTGCTTGTGCTTGTGCTTGTGCTTTTTGTTCGCTGCTAAGCTAGGTAGCTCCCGCCAATTCAAGCAGTTCGGCTTCGCACGTTGCTCGAAATCGCCAACCAACGGAAGAGGCATTTTTTTTTGGTGGTCCGGGTCAGCCAGTCAGCCAGGTCGTCGGTCCGTTTGAAAAGAAGCCGTGGATTGGCCAGATAAGAAAAGAAAGGCAGCTGCAGGTGCTTTTTTGGATCCCGTGAGACAGGTTCGAATTCCGGTCTGAGTCTGGGAGAGTGAGTCGCAAAAAGCAGCCACGATTTAATAATCACCGAACGAGCTACCTCTTTCCCACACACACATATACATAAGTGAGTACTTACATACGGTTACATTGCCGGACTGGAACAGAAAGAAGTAAGCAACAGCAGATTACTCCATACTTGTTAGTTAATTGTTAAATTGGGATCTTGGAGGCGTGGTTCGAATTCCCGCCGTTGGTGTTGACCCTGGACTGACAGGACGGTTAGCAGTCGAGCAGGAGCAGGCTCTAATTCCTTCCCGCTCTTCTTCCACTTTCCTTTTCCCATTCAACCCAGACGGCACAACACAGGACGACGACACCACACCAACCTCACTCACACTCAACCTCAACCTCAACCTCACCTCGTTCACCTCACCTCACTTCACCTTCAATCCCCCCGATTCTATCCCGGAACCAACTTGCATCGAACGAACGAACAACTAGACGGATAGCCAGACGGACGAACTGATCCAACCTCGCTCGCCTTGCCAGATAACATCTAACCGTTTCATCTCTCTCGATTCCTTTGGACTTGGCCGTCCTGGTTCTTTGTGCAACCACTGCATCCGGCCTTCAGGACCCCAGCTTTGAAAGCTTCTCACCCGTGATCAAAAAATTCGATCCATTCCTCCGTCATACCACCACCACTGTGTCCCTCTGACTACCTCTCCGGGTTCTTCTCTCTTCCGACTTTCAGGATTGTTACCGATCTTAAGCCCGCTGCTTTCGATTGACCAACGTAACTCGAATCTCGGTAGTTTTTCATCATTATCATCATCACACACCTCATCCTCATCATCATCATTCAGCTACTCTGAAATTTGCTTGGCTATCGACGACACCAGCCACATACGATCAGCTTGACTTCATAAAACACACCAATTATTTCAGCAAGGATTACAGGCTGGAACCACGAGGCCTCCTTCTTGCTTGGTTCGGATACCCTCTTTGACACCGACAGAGCGATTATGGATTGCAACTAGCTCGGCATCAATAATTTAATCGATTCTGAACCATCATTACTTGAAAAGGCGAACTTCTATCTTTTTCATTCCTTTTTCAAATAAACATACACCCAACCAGCTTTAAATTATTACCATCATCACACTTTTCTTTTATGGTTGGAGGTCGAGAAAACGGACTTGGGTGTGCTAGCACCGACAACTCGTTGTTGGCTCGGGTTGATAAGATTTAGGAATCCTTATCCAACAATTCAGCAATGATACCAAGTAATACCGTTAAAGATGGGAAGAAGGTTGAAACTGGGCTGGTGATTGCCCAGAAGGAGCCGCTAAAGTCGGAGGACGTCAGCCCCCCAACAACAACAACAAAGATGACAAGGAGCATGAGCGTGACAATGAAGGCAGAGAAGGATGATCTGAAGGAGGCTGCCAAGGACACCTTCAATGTCGTTGTGGACCTCACTCTAGACGGGAATGTGCGATGGGCTAGTTCATCCTGGCAAGATGTAGTTGGGTAGGCTTCGGAGTTTGACCTTGGAATTTTGTTGTTATGGACCTGTTTGCTAACCTTCATTCCTAGCACCTCCTGCGAGTCCATTCAAGGGAAATCAATCTCGACGATTCTTTACGGAAACACTGATTGTTTCCACAGGGCTATTGAAGCCATGAAACAAGATGATAGCAGATCGTATAAGATACGGTTTTCGGTGATTGTTGGGCCGTTGTCCGCTTTTGCTCAAGATCCCGTCACGAAGGCTATGGCTGCAGAGAAAGAAGGATTTCGGCCGGAGGAAGTTGAAGATCTGTGTATACTCGAGATGGAGGGACAAGGAATTCTTGTCTTTGATCGAGGCGATGGCCAAGCTAGCCACGTAGGTGTTGATGTTCTCTTTGGTTGAATGCAAGTTACATGTCGTACTGACTCGGACTAGACAATGTGGGTCATAAGGCCTTGGACCGAGCCGAAAGAAATCACTATTGATCTTCCCGCGCCAATAATAGAGTCGCTAGGTGTTGGTGCCGGAATGCTGGCACAGTACCTTAACGCTTTAGCCGAGGACGACCCAGCGACCCATCCACCACCACTCCCTGTTCTTTGTCGCATTTGTGAAACCCAGATCCAGCCTTGGTGGTTCGAAAAACACTCTGAGCTTTGCATGCTCGAACATAAAGCCGAGAGCGAAGTACAGTTAGCACAAGAAAACCTAAGTGTCCAGCGTAACGCTATAGTCAAGGTCCTGGACGCCATGGAACGAGCTACGTCTTCCAATAGATCATCGGAGCCGAATACTGTCGAATACCGTGGGTTTTCGATTAAGCCTCCCTCATCATCTTCGTCTGGAACGAGCTCTCCTGGTGGCCCATCAAGCAGAATAAAGGATGCAACATCGAGCGTTAAGTCTAAGTTTGGCGTTCGTCGCCCGCAAGTTAGAATTGTTGAACTGCTGCTCGACCTTTGCGATACTGCTCTTGAGATCAGCACCCCTTCGGTTAAGGAATCTTTAGGGACCGGCGAGGCTGGAGAATTTCGAACACAGTCGCCATTATCAGAGCAACGAATAGGACAGGTGATGCAATGGCAGTCGCCCTCCACAAATACCCTCGAGCAAGAGCATGGCCTAGCACTGTTGTGCTCCGACACTGAAAGCTGCTCCAAGGCAAAGGTCGAGGCTGTCCTCCGGCATCGCAATACTATTGAGTACTCTGAGAGGATCCGCTATGAATTTGCTACTTTGGTCCAGGATATTATCGATGAAGCGAGGAGCAAAGCTAGTGCTCTTGAGGACGATATTGATATGCAATCTATCGAAGGTGATGTCTCTGAAGGCGAAGATATGTCTGAAAGTCAATTGTCGGGTAGTGCTTATCTCAGTGGTCTTTCAAAACGTATCAGCATCGGATCCGACCTTCGTAGAGCCCGACGGTATTCTTCCCCGAGTTCGAGCCCGCTAGAATGCCTCACACCTCGTTCACAGATTAGTATCGGACGGGAAACTAGTCGACGGAGCCGATTCAGTCTTCATGCTTCAGCAGCAATGTCTTATGAACTTGAAGGCAACGAAAGCGATGCTAGTGTCAAATCCTCGATCAGGGGAGACATAACCCGAGTAGATAGTCCTGTTAGTGAACATGGATCTATTTCTCGATCTGGAACCCGCAGCTCTGTAGAGAGGAAACGCCAGAGTCTAAATCTTTTGCAACATGGTGCACGATCTCCTCACCGACAAGTATCTCCTGGAAGAGCCAGTGTAGGCACCGCTTCGCCAATGAAGACAGCAAAGCCCCGACTGTCCGCACTTTTTGATGGCCAATTTCCTACTCCTATTACCTCCCCGCTCTTGTTCACTGGCGACTTCTCTCCTGCGCTTGAGCACGGTCACAGGAGACAATCGTCCGTTGCCTCATCCGACGCTGCTACCAAGCCACCGCTCTCTCCCAGACTTACTTCTGCTACGCCTGGCGCACAGAAGGCTGGTACGCCATCTATCAAAGACTTCGAAATTATTAAGCCGATTAGCAAAGGTGCCTTCGGTAGCGTTTACTTGTCTAAAAAGAAGTCCACCGGAGATTACTACGCTATCAAGGTGCTCAAAAAAGCCGATATGATTGCCAAAAATCAAGTTACTAACGTTCGTGCGGAACGCGCTATCATGATGGTGCAAGGAGAAAGCGATTTCGTTGCCAAGCTTTTCTGGACCTTTGCTAGCAAAGAATACCTCTACCTTGTTATGGAGTATCTTAACGGTGGTGATTGCGCCGCATTGATCAAGGCGCTCGGTAACTTATCCGAAGACTGGGCTAAGAAATACATGGCCGAAGTTGTCCTAGGTATCGAGCATTTACATGATCGTGGCATCGTTCATCGTGATCTGAAACCTGATAATCTACTCATCGACCAGAAAGGGCATCTCAAACTTACTGATTTTGGCTTGTCTCGTATGGGTCTTTTGGGTAGGCAGAAGCGTGCGCTGCAGGGCTCTTCAGAATCAACACCGGATCTACTTAAGCATGGACCCTTCGTTCCTAGACCGACGTCACAGGCTTCGTCTAGGTCGACATCTTTCGACTTCAATCCTGGTCAATCCTCACCATCAAATACCCCCGTCATCTCCCCAGAGCCAGGGTCTCAAATCGTTGCTCCATCATCCTACTTTAGCCTGAGCCGAGAACCTACACGGGAGAACACCTTTAGCAGAGAAACAACGTTGAGTCGAGAAGCAACATTGAGTCGGGAAGCAACGCTGAGTCGCGAAAACTCGATCAGGGAAAAAGGAAAGCTGTCACTTGGTCGTAGCGATAGCGCAGCTAGCGAGGGCTTGGTACCAACGCTTGGTGGGTTTTCGTTGAATGACCCAGCCAGCTTATCGATGGCTGCCCGAAGATCCTTTTATCCAATTGATGACGACGCTCAAAGCACGAGTAGTGCGTCTAGCGACATTAGCAACATCCATCCCTCGTCACTATCTGCCTTTGCACAAGCGCCACCAACATCCTCTCATTCAATGATGCCGCCTCAGCTTGCTCTCTTTGATCCTGAAGATAGCAACCGCAAATTTGTTGGCACGCCTGACTACCTGGCTCCAGAGACTATTAATGGAACTGGTCAGGATGAAATGAGTGATTGGTGGTCTGTTGGTTGCATCCTTTTTGAATTCCTATACGGGTATCCTCCATTCATGGCTGAAACTCATGAGAAAGTCTTCGATAACATCTTAAATCGACGGATTGACTGGCCAGGTGATGATGAAGATGAAATCAGTCCAGAAGCCAAGGATCTCATAAACAAGTTATTGTGCATAGATCAGGAGAAGAGGCTTGGCGCCCGTGGAGCTGATGAAATCAAAAATCACCCGTTCTTTGCCGACATCAACTGGGAGCAGATCCTTCAAGACGAAGCATCTTTCATTCCTGACCTCAAAGATATCGAAAATACTGAATATTTTGACTCTCGGGGGGCTACATTGCAAGAATTCTCAGAGGATATGGAGGACCATACTTCACCCGGCACTACGCCAAGTAACGACTATTCAGATCGTCCCCATGATGCTGTTCCGAGGGGTCGTCGGGATCAGAGTATTGGCAAACGCAACTTGATGCCGCTACATATCCCACCACACGTTCGTGAGAGTGGCGGACGCGGTAGAAGGCTTAGCGAACCGCTCGCAGATAATGACTTTGGGCTGTTTCAGTTTAAAAATCTCCCGGTACTTGACAAGGCAAACAAAGATCTGATTCAAAAACTTCGATCGGAAGCTCTTAAGAATCAGGCGCCAGCATCCGCTACCAGTTCATCTCCGTCACAGTCCGTTGAAGGAAGCCCGGTGCTCGGAAAGGGTGTCTCGAGAACTTTGTCTGCTAGCTCAAGAGGAGGTAAGAGGGCCGTGTCTCCAAGCAACTTGCATTCGTCCATAACCTCGCCCCCGAGTCGGGGCTCGCAACCGTCGTCGCCTCTTTTGGTTTCGTTTGCTGCACACCACCCACACCGCAAAACTTCAAATGCCTCAACGACTAGTACGAGCAGCTTCGCTCTTAATACGGCCCATGTTGATGTTCCCAAAATTTCGACAAAGATTGAGGGTCCATCCCCCATAACAGACTCAGCTAACGCATCGCCCACTCGACTACACAATATCTCACCAATTAGAATCCAGGCGCCCTCAAAAATGTTCGGGAAATCTCCCCAGGCTCCGCTCTCACCTCGTAAGGAACATGGCCTCTCTTCTCAGAATCGTGGTTTTACTCGGGTTCGGTCGCTTACGGTAGGCTCTCAAGACGGAGATCCACCAGCATTCGTCGATAGTCTCAAACACTACAAACGACATAGTCAGGTCTTTGATATGTCTCCATCTTCTTCGGATAATGAGGATAGCCGGAGCAGCGCTTTGTTGAGGGTTCAAAGGAGACGCCAAAGCTCACAAAGGATATCTACGATTAGTACTCAAGAGGGGCCGGTTGCCCGACCTCTCGACATCCTTGGTATGTGTTCGGTATCAGCCTTGCATGGAAAGGATAAACATATTAACGTAAAAAACAAAAAAAATTTAGTGTGCGAGGATCATCCTGTGTCCCGTATGGTAATGGAGCGTATGTTCGAAAAACTACAGTGTCGAACTATGTCTGTTGAAACTGGCCCCGAGGCCGTACGTTGCGCTATGAGTGAAGTCAAGTGTAAGTGGCAACAATGAATTTAATGAAAGTAATAGTATTTAAATGACTAACAAGGCATATAGTCGACTTGATATTGACCGAATACAAGCTCCCGCAAATTAATGGGGATGATCTTGCACGCATGATCAAGACAACCAAGAATGCCAATAGCAGCACTCCCATTGTGTGTATTACGGGTTATCTTCGCGACCTAAAAGATCCACATCACTTTGATGACTTGATCGAAAAGCCCGCTACACCGCAAAGTTTGACCGAGGTGATGGAACGGTTATGTGCTTGGGTCCCTCCGCAAACTCCCACCAGTCGCAACTCTCCAATGGTGTTCCCAGTTGACAAGAACAGGCCACCCGTCCCGCCACTCCCGACGAAGAACCTTGAAGTCGAACGTCGCCCAAGCCTAGACCGTAACTACACCTCGCCTTTGCCTAGAACGGGTAGTCTACTATCTACAAAGAGCTCTCTTGACAATACAAAAGCTCAAGCAACTGATAAGCCTAAGAAGGCCCATAGCGACGAGGCTGTCCCACGGGTCCAGAACCGCTTGGATACACTAACTCCTCCTCCATCGTCACTGGGCGAAGAGTTCATGATGCAGAAGTTTGAGCTGAGTCAGAAATCCACGGAACGAGCACGGTCACAGCTTTCTGTGTCATCCTTAGCTTCACCCCCGCCAACCCCTCCTCGCCCTCCAATCCCCGACAAAAGTGGGGATAGAGCAAAGACTACAAAATCTACTACACCTTCTCCATTGAAGCAGCTCGATTTCATCAATGCACCCGAGATCAAGAAACCAACCGTGGTTTCTGGTCCTTCCATGGAGGTCAAGATGCCTATTCCAACATCTATTGCTAAGCCAATATCCTTAGAAAAACCAGAGAAACCCGTTGAGTCTCAAGTCAAAATCATCTCTCGGCAACCAGTCCCGGTTACTGGTGCATCATCCTCCTCAGTTGCTCTGGGCAAGAAGATTGAGCCTCTTAATCAACCCAAGGTAGCTGAATTGTCCAAGAAGCCTGCAACTACGAACCAATCAGCCTCTACAACTAGCGGGCCTGTGACACCTGTCAAGCAGACAGCACCGACCACTCCCACCAAAGCTACTGCACCCGTTACTCCTCTTAAACCTGGAGCTAGCGCACCAATCAAGGCGCCTGTACTAACCGCACCTGTCAAACCAACCGCACCAGTCACACCGGTCAAATCAACGGTACCGGTGACGCCTGTCAAATCAACGGTACCGGTGACGCCTGTCAAATCTACGATACCGGTGACGCCTGAGAAAGCGACAGTGCCAGTCACGCCAGTCAAGCCAACTGCGCCAACAACGCCAGTTAAAGCAACTGAGACTGTTGCCAAACCCGCTCTCAACCCTAAACCACTAGCAACACCTGTAACATTGACGGAGACAACTTCTAGGCCTACAGCTTCTACTACTCAGCCGTTGACGCCAGTTAAACCAATAGATACAAGCAAGAAACCTACGGAACCTCAGAAGCTCGCCGTACAGCCAACGTCGCCAGTTGAACTCACTTCAAAACTTAAGAAGACAACTAGTGGAAGTTCCGCTACAAGCTCACAATCTTCTACCTCGCCGAAGCAAACTCGGTTCCAGTCTCCTCCTCGAGCAGGCCCTACACTGCAATCTAATATTCCGCCTGTTCCACCTGTTCCAACTCTGAAAGGAGACACTTCACGCGGCCCAGCCGCTGGGCAGCTAGGTTCAGCTTCTCTTATTAGCAAGACGTCAGTAGAATATGTGCCATCACCTTTGTCGCCGATACCAGCTACACCTAAGACCCCAGTCTTTACAGAACCAACAACACCCAAGGCAGCTTCGGGGGTACCTCCAAAATCACCAGAGGCTACTATATCAAAGGCCACAATCCCCGCCCCTAAGTCCTCCCCGCCAAAAATCAAAGCCGAGGATACGACCCCAAAAAACCCGAAGGCTGTGCTCGAGGCCTCAAGCTCAAAGGGACCTCCACAGCTAATTGAACCCATTACACCAAGGGCAACTAAGTTAGCCGCGAAACCGGAGACCCCAACAACTATCAAACCCGGGAAGATAGAATTTGGAAGAAAATCCCCGTCTCCAGAGAATGTCCCTAAATCGCGGTCTTTCCGAAGTCTCCTGACAGGGAAGGCCCCTGATACGGTAGATTCTGCTGACGACGAAATGAGCAGCGATCCCAACTCGAAGAAGACCTTGAAGACCCCAAAACCGCTAAAAGAGAAACGTAGTCGCGGTTTCCTCGGCGGAGAATTCAAGAAGAAGTCTGAAGACTCGAAGTAGATATTCGTTCCTCACGCTTTTTCTGGTTGCCTTCGACCCCATAGCTCACCTAGCCCGAATGCAAAGGGTACCAGTTTCCCTAAAACAAAGATTGCTCCCGTCAATATTCCCAAAAGTTTTGGTAAAACCGTCAAAAGTTGGACTCATAAAGTTAAAAAAGCTGCACAAAAGTTAAAACCCGCCCCATCAACTCTTACCTCTATCGGGCGTACCATCATCTCTTTCCCTTCAAACTTAGGGAAGGTTCCCCCCATGACATTCTATGTCTGAAATATTTACCCCTTTTCAATTCTCTTTTTTTCCCTTTTTTTCTACTCTTTATAATCCAGGCGATATTTAATGCCTAATGAATGAGACGAAGAAATGATTCCGACATGTATACTATTCATGATGGGAAGCGAGTGTTTTGTGCGAGGTCCTGTTGTTTATCCCATCATATTTTTTTACCACCCTCGAGAAAGAAAAAAAATTGCGTTACTTGTTCAACATTTTTGCAATTGCCTGTACATGTCGATGTGTGTTTTACTACTCGCTTGTCTGTTCGTTCGCTATCGTTCAACATGTGGTGCCGAGCGATACCTACCTTGTGCGAATTTGTCTTTTTTTTCTTCGTTCCTCCGACAGCCTGAAAGCAGAAGCGAATATGTCTTCGCATGTCTTCTCTTGATCTACCATCACATCCATCTACACTATCTCCTCTGTTTCCTTTGTACACCAGCAATGTATTAGGAGCATGGCGTTTTCTATTGTCTATTTCCTTCATCTTACCTTTCGGCGCGTATGAGGAGTTATCTCGTCTTCAAATCCTTTCTTGCCTTTACGTTGAATATCTTGCAGAGAAAGTGTTTTCGAGCCGGTACCGTGATACCCGAAGTCGTCGCCTTTTTTTTTGTTTCTTTCCTTTGTTTCCTTTGCCAGCAGAAGTATCAAGAACGCAAAAGAAAAGAAGTCTGGAAAATATAGCTTGAGCTTTCCTTTTTTTCTTCCCCTTGATTTTTTTTATCTTCAAGATTTTTGTATAGGAAATAGGAAAAAGAGAGAAAAACAAATATGATATACCGATATCCTTTTCAACATATGCACATACTCCAAACTTCCCTCCGTTTTATTGTCGTTAGTTTGCTTTCTAACTATACGGTATTACTTGAGCTATTGGAGGCCCTTTCTTCTTAATTTCACCCGGATCCATTCGAATATATTTTAATCTCTGAGATTTAGTCCGTATATGCATGTAGCATATTGTGCTTTCTAGCAAGCTTGCCCATGGCAATATCTTCTTCTGTATTATATTGATATTTTTTATTCTTGCTCAGATCTGACAGCTGGTACCAAACGTTTACTTTATAATCTTTATTATCATCTTTATTATTACTATTGTCATTAGCACTTTTGAAATCGTTTGATCCTTTCATTAATAAATGTAAAATTTTGAACTAAAGATTTGATTTATATTTGATAGTGTAAGATAGGCTATACTTGGAACTAGTATCAAATGAACACCAATATTAACAATACATCGATCTTCAACTTTACATACTTGTATGCATAGTGAAGTAGGGAGAAGGGATGATAGTTTCATACATATACAGAAAATAATAACTGAGTTTATATTCTGTTCAACCTCGAGGGCAGGTATGCTCGACTCCATTTATAAATAATAAAATATAATATTGATCTATCAAATACTTTTTTAGATATGAAAGAGAAACCAGAAACTTGGAATTTATCGTGTGAAAATTAGTTTCTCTTTCATCAACCGCTCACTGTGTTTTAGTCCTGAGAAATGGATATAGAGTCTGATGGCCGGTGGTCGCTCCAGTACGTTCATAGAACACGGCCTCTCTTTGGTCCGGAGTCGAAAAGGGTTTAGCGACACAACGGGGCCGGTCCAACATCCAACATATAAGTACATAACGTTAGGTTGTATTGAATAGGGAATTATGCAACTTCAGCGCGGGAAGCTTCAAGGACAATGGGTGGCTTGGTATCAAAAAGGATGGGGGTTATGAGGCCTACGGCTGAATCGCGCAATGTGTGCAAGTCTGCAGCTAGCGCTAACTAGCTTCGGGCCCAAATTGTGGGGTTTGTTTCCAAAGTCGAGGCTCTTTGTTTCGTACGTAAAACTAGCGACCCGCGGCATGTTGCATATTGCGGCCTTGCATTGGAGAGCCGTGGGCACTGCCTCTTTGTTACAGCGTATATTAACCGGAATTTCCCGACACCACAATATTCGAGGCCACACTGCCTCTAATTAATTCTAATTGAACGCCCACGTGTGTAAACTCTGGATGTCTATTTGTGAGATACTCCAAGTCCACTACAATAGCAGCCTTATATTTACCTTGTGACATCCTTTAATCAAAGGAACTACATACATACAACTGCAACCGTCGGCGCGACGGCTAAGTCCATAGACAGCCTCGGACTTGGACTCGCCCTGATTCTTTGAACTAGAATGATCATGTATCTTCCTGTGGAGAACATCCAACAATGTTATATTAAGGGGACGAGCTGGCCTCTTTCTAGGGTCGTGCTAGGTGAATATATAGAGTATAGAGTTTAAATAGCATGTCAAGCTGGTTCGCGAAGGATAGTTTATAGGGAGTTTTGACCGTAAATACCATCAATCTTCGCGCTTCGCAACCGCACGTCGTGGCCATGCATCTATTTATCGCCAGCAAAATAAAGGTCACCGATACCATTCTTATTGGTACCTTGGTCGCACGACAACTTTCTCAGACGATGGCGGCCCAGGCCGACCTGGCGTGCACTTCGCACCCGGGATGGCCAAAAGCGGCGAATAATACAGGTTACTTCGACCGCGGAACTTGCTTTGATAGAACGATGGGGTGGGTGAATGATACGGGAAAGACGTTACCTGAACATTGTTTAAAGCTCCTCTTCCGGAATACTACGTTTGAGGATATGACTCTGACTTTCTTGGGCTGTAATCAATTCTGCGGACGAGATCAAGGATGGTATTCTAACCCAGATGCGCTCGAGCGGGTCCTGACCTGGATATTTCCAATATTCTTCCTTCTGTTCAACCTCAAATTACCAGCAATTGGATGGGAGAAATTCTTTGCAATAACACATGCCATGGGGGATCCTATTGACAGCGTTTGGTCCCTCTTGGATAAAATCTACGCTTGGGAAAAATGTCACGCATTCGCCGAAGAGTTCGTTACGGAAGAGGAGAGCATTAGAGACGAAGTAATAGTCAATGAAGCTGAAAGACTCGAGCGAATTAAAGTTATTGGCACAACCTTTGCGGGTATCGAAGAAATAATGGGATATCGCCCCGATTCAGAAAGCATTTATTGGGATATAGCCAGTTCGCTTGGTTTGATGAAGACAACTGAGTTCGACGAGTGGCGGAGAGCGGCAACAACGTTGGTAGACGATAGGACAAACGACTTCATTCGAACGGGGGTGGCTATCGGCCTTTTTATCTTCCAGTTCTTCTCCGAGTTAGTATTCGACTCTGATAAGGTCCCTCCAGGAGGCCGCCTAGGTTCAGCTATGCTCCTTTCTTGGTTGATCCCATTGGTACTTATCAGTAACATCATGGGAGGGGTTGCTTCACGGCGAACATGTCTTAGGACTATCATCTGCTTGGTTGAGAATATAAGGCGCAATCAAGGTCGGCTGCTAAACCAACGGGCCGATAGTCGTCATTGGGACGACTACTTCGATAAGGTATATTCGACGGGAGCAATCTATACATCTCGCCCGCATAAGGTTCGAGTAATGTGGCAATCCAAAGGAAAAGAAAAGATCATTAGAATGATCTTGCCATTCTTTTCTACGCTTGTAGTTGTCTTTGGGTTTATTCCTGCCTTTTATATTCATTGGATGGCCGCCCCAAACGGATTTAGCTGCCGCCATTTCTGGATCATTGGGGTTTCCTTCGCATGGACAATCAGCCCCATCATAACGGCAACCCTACAGACATTCACGAGATACAAATTCTGGGTATGGTTCATCCTAGCTAAAGATACTTTAATAGGATTTGGGAGTATTCTTATGTTATTACTATCTGTTGCTGGGCTGTTTAATTCATGTTTATGTTGGAGCTTGTATCTTTCGCTTGGGGAAGCACTTGCTTACTTCCCGCTTAATACAACCCCGATCTACGCCTTATATGGAAGAACGATATATCGGGATATCATTATCTCCTTTCTCGTGGCCCAGATTTCCTTTGTCATTGTTGTTGTAGTTTTTTTTCGGCGTGGGTTATGGTTATGGCGTTATGGTGAAGATCCCAAGCGCGCTGTCTGGAATAGACTTGAAGGGACGTGGGTTTTAGATTTTTTGAAGATTTAGCTAGTGGGAAAATTGTATATACCCCAGATCTAACTGTTTTAGAGTAGGGGATCCGGCATTCTATTTACCTGGATGTCCAAGTCATTTGTTTTTTATATGAAGACAGTCAATCTACTATTGTCAGAATACAACAAGATGTGTGTTGGATCGGTTTATATTGTGCCTCGAGCCAGCCTTATTGATATTTGCATATTTGGTATACGTACCCCGGTGCCTGCGGTAGATATTATCTTTAAATTTATGGATCAAGTAGGTATATTGCTGAAAATATATTAATACTGCAGTACTGAGGTAGATATTTAATGATTCGTTAGTGGCTCCTCCACATAGATCTATGTTACAAGACCCCTTGCGACCAGTCTTCTCCCCTCTCAACCCTATCGCAAATCCGCATAACTATTATTTTTGTTCCTTCCACTTTCTCTCGCTCTCTGCTTTCCAAGGGCACCAGCGCTTCTGCTATCTCAATTCTTTCTTTTGCATTTGTCAAGTCCACAATATCGTTACCCCGACTAAATCGAATCAGATAAAATAGAGCCACATCCGCCGCCATGGCTCCATACCCACATCCCATCCTCTCCAATTCATCTGGTTCCGTACTCCGAGCAATTTCTAAACATTCCTCGAATTTCGCTATGGCTTTGTCGAGATCATGATCTGTATGCAATATCTGCGATCTGTCGCCGTATAAATTTCCTAGGTCTTTGAATATCGAGACCAGGGTTGCCCTTCTGATAGTGTCTTTAATAGGCTCAAGTCTCTCAAGCGCTTTGATAGCTTCGTCCAGATCACTTATGTCGTTAAAGAATTTCCATTTTTGTTTGTAAAAGGTGCCTAGTTTATCTATCCAGTAGGCGTATTTGTCGTCGTTTGGCTCGGTCAAATAGGTCAACTGTTCGAGGAAGACGATCGCTTTGTTCAGGTCGTCTAAATCTTCGGTCTTTTCGTATCTAATATCTAACCGTACCACCAAAACTTGTAACCTTTCGGCAATTCCCTCTTCTCCATCTTCTGCTAGAAGCACAGATTCTTCTGCGTACTGAATAGAGGTTTCCAAATCAGAGAAAGAGGAGGTAACTATATATCTGTGCCATATTGCGGAACCTAGATCTGCCAGTCGCTGGGCTCTTCTCGGATGTTCTTCCGGTAAGATGAGTAACGCTTGCTCCGCCCACATAATTCCGGCGTCAAGGTCATCAGGGTCGTTGAGTAGGTTGAACCGGGCTATAAGTGCTTCTCCTAGCGTGGCTAGAACATCGGTACGGTCCGGCGAATCCTCGGGTAGATTTTCTAGGGCTTCTTCCGCTCTTTGAACCGCGTCGATGCTAGGGCTCGAATCCAGGCCTTCTTGGACCAAAGACCAGAGCATTTCAGTTTTATCTCGGAGGTCATTGATATCTACTTTGTGTACAAACCTTTCATCTCTTGGGGATGAATTGGAGATTGCGGTAGTTGATAGAAACGTTCGGATTTCAACGAGCAATCGGTGAGCCTCCTTGAACATGTGCGGATTTTCTGTTGATTGGAATAGGGAGGCTGCGGCTAGAAGCTGTTTTATCTCCATGGCATATACAGTTTCTTTGCCGTAAAACTCTTCCGCTTTCTCCAGTAGTTCGCGGAGTAGTTTTTCTGCCCCTTCGTATTTTTGGTTTTTTATATACTCTCGAGCGAGCTGTAGCAGACCCAACAAAACGAGTTCAATCTTCCCACCTCCTGCTGCCACGGCCCTGAAAATTTGGATTAGTTTATTCCATAGCGGTTCTACTGCCTCTTCCATTCCATTGGATGAATATCCTTTAATCAAATCCATGATAATCTCTAAAGTGTGTTGGTTATGCTCGAGTTGCGGACGTGATATCGCCAATCTAATGTCCACAATCTTGAAAACTATGTCTTGGGCTTCTTTCCAGCAAGCCTTTTCGATTAAGACTTCGGCAAGACGCTCCATGCTCCTGAGCGTAACTGGGTTATCGGAACCTAGAATATCTCGCTGCGTGCACACGGTACTAATGAGCAGCGCCTCTGCATCATCCCAACGCTTGCACTCGGAGTATAGGTGGCATAACGTAACAAGTTCTCGAAGCGTATCTTCGTGCTCTAATCCCAGGATTGCGGTTTTGGTCTCCAGACTCCTCGTAACAGCGTCGATATGATCTTTTGTCCTTTTGGGATTGTCCGGCGTGATTGTAATTTTTAGTGGCTCGCCGATGGTCAAAGGTTTATTCTTATATTTGCCGTGGAAACCCATCTGGATTCCGTGCATCCCGTTCATCCACATTGGAGCTTTCCATATATCCGGGCCGTCATATATAAAACCGATCATTTTGAAAAGTTGGTAGCGAAGACTTTCCATATAGACTATCAATTCACCAGTGCCCCTTAACCCCAGTTCGTCATCGTCATCGTCCGATGATTTCTCATGGGAGAATGTTGAACGGATTAATGAGGCGGGGATTGAGCCGGGATGACCTTGGGATTTCAAGTAAGCGTTGTAATGAGTTTTCTCGTTTGCAGCGTAGTAGAGAGATAAGGTATCGGCGACCATCATTGAAACGATATCATCTAGTGATTCTTGTGACCCATTGGATTTTTCGAGCCAAAAAGCCGACTTTGTTTTGTCAATACTCGTTCCAAAGCCGATGTAGTAGGATAGAGCGAGGTCGTAAGCTGCGCTTTGCATAGGTTCCATGTTGAGTTCCGTTTCTGCACGGCGCTCTAGATGTTCAAAGATAGATTTTCGAACCTCCTCGCCGCAGAGGCGGAACTGTGAGAGCATGTTTACCAACTAGTACTGATTAGCCATAATCTTCTCGATAGAAGGATCTGGAAATTTCTCTTGGGGTACTTACTTTAAACTTAGCATTGGTAACTAAAACTGAGGATTCGCCATATTCTTGGTGCAAGGCTTGGGTTACTCTACAGCAATGTTAGAAATACTCATTTGAGCTATGGCATGCATGATCGGTTTAGAATCAGGGAGATTGATACCTCTTGAAACCAAATGGTAGTCCTAAATTGTTGAGGGGCGTCTTTAGATCTCTCTTGCTGCGATCGTGCCCTAGCGTTAAGTCGAATAACGAGACAATGGCAAGTGATTTAGACGAATTATCCTTCACGTATATTCTGACCAAGTCTGTAGCTTTTCGAATAAGGTCAGGATCTTCTTTCAAACTAGCAAAGGATATCATGTTGGGACCGGGTTTCTCAGATCCTTTTGCCGGCAAAATGTCATAGCAAAGAAGCCACACGCAGATGAGTCCATAGGAGAAAGTGTCCGCTGATTTGGCTTGTTCGAAGGTTACCCGAGGATTAACTTCGACCTCTGGGGCCGTCCAGGGCCAAGAGTGAGGGAGCGTTATCTCGAGGGTTTCGTCGTCTTGAACGAAGATGGAAGAGAAACCGAAGTCGGTGACTTTAGCCGAGAATTTCTTGTTCTCGTCTTGGAAGATGAGAACGTTTTCTGGTTTTAAGTCACCGTGGATGCAATCTATAGCTGTGTTAGATCCAATAGCCTAGCGCGATTAGTTTGGATAATAGTTCATGGATACTAACACCAAGAATGCATCAAGCTGATAGCATGGCCAATTTCCCAACAAAGTTCCACCCGCTGGTCAAATGAAAGATTCTTTCCTTCAACAGTTTGCATAAACTGTCTAAGATCCCCATGCTCTGTCATTTTAAAGATCAATACCGGCCATACTTCGTCGAATATCACATCAAAGGCGATTCCTTCTACGCTATTAATATTTGGATGACGTCGCACGACTGGATGGCCGAGAATATAAGCCTCTGATAGAAGTCCTTGGTACGCGCTATTTTTGTCCTGGTACATTGCGCCCTCGGCCTGAAATCTTTTAGCGACATATTTTATGTCCTGTTTAATGCCATTATGGTATGCGATGGAAATTGTAGCTGCCTGTGTTATTTTCGCGGTACCCCCGAGGCCAACCTCGCTTGCAGGGTTCCATCTGAAAGGCAGGACCTGGAGACGGCGATGTTGAGCGACTGCGAGGAAGTCGATGATGTCGTAGGAACCTGTGTGGCTTTCGACAGCAGCTGAACTGCTGAAGTTACCACGGCCATAGAAATTCGTAAGTCCACCGGAAGCGTTCGAGTTAGATGAATAGTCCGTGAGTATAGTAGCCGATCGGCTGATTCCCCTAGAACCGATTACATCCCAAGAATAGTTTGTGCTGGTGTCATCAGCTTCGTCTGTGTCGCTTCCAAGTATTAGGGCATCTTGGGATATTCTCGAGGTGGATAGCGTATTAGTTAATTCGACGACTTCCCAACTTTTGTCGGTGAAAGTTCTTTTAAGAGATTTGATTTTGTCATCTTCCTCTCTTTCCATTGTAAGTTTTAATATAATACAAAAAGGAGCGTTACCAAATCAAATTCTCTGCTAGGACAATATGGTCAATTAGCTTATCGACACAAAATAGAAGTACGTATAAGTAAGAACCAGTCTTGACTTATTTAATATTCTTCCATGAGTATATAGTTATCCAGAGTATTTGTAGGGTTTTTCATACTATCTAGTTCTGGATCCTGCTCAATTTATGCACGCAATGAAATGAGGGGAAAGTATACATTGTATTGTGGATAGCATATATTACCCTTGGGTCGGGTACTCTAGTATGGATTAGGATCAATAATATGTACACATGTATACCCCGAATGCGCTATCCCGTGCGCCAAGGGCTCCATAATTAGGAGGTCAAAGCTGACAATTGAGGTGTGGCAAAACACTGTCTAGCCACCTCCGAGTTGTTCCGGCTGTTGGTTGGATATACGCTGTACTATGGAACTGTAGTTGTAAATAAGTCTACCCCGCAGGCTCAATGAGTGTAAATGGAGGGATGTTTTATATAAATCAGGCCGGATTCGGTATTGGTTTCCCCTTCAGAAGTGAGAAAATGCATTTGATTTTCTGAAAGTTCTCCAAGGTTTCAATATAAGAAACCATAAAGGCCACTTAAGGATGAGATGCCGTTTTCAAGTGCGCATGGTTTGCTATTGATTCAAGGAACGAACACACTGGAGTTTCGTTGGGTATATTGAAGTCACAGCCATAGTTGTCATCAAGAATTCAGTGAGTTGCTCTCTCTCAAAAAGAGGAAAGAAGGTCCTATGTAGCGTGAAGAACTTCTCCGAGTGTTTATAAGGGGTTATAAAACGCTGTGGATAAGTATTTGCAATATTTGGTGTTTTCAAGGCTCCGCTAAAAGTAGAAATGTCGACGGCGACAAGAACCCCTGTTGGATTATTATGTGTTGCGTGTCGTCCAATCGCTTGCTTCCGTTTATGGCCAACGTCACACGAAGCTTCAGAACGACGAGCCTCCCCAAACGTCTTCATGCTACAACCTCCACACCGTCTCCGACCTAATCTCCTTCCCTTCTAACCCCGCATCTACCGATACCACTACCTCCCACCATGGCGCAGGTAGTTGGCCAACAGATCCTCCGGGATCCGGCATTATTGTATGTCTATCTCGCGTCCGGGCTTACTACTCTAATTTCCGAATTAACGAACTGTGTCTTGAACATTGTAGCTATTGGATTTTGTTCCCGATCACGATTGTTATGGTATATAACACATGCCGCAAACTCTTTACACGTCGTTAAATTTGCTAATTGCTACTATATAGATCTTGACCGGTGTTCTCCGCCATTATGCCACCTTACTCCTGCAATCTGCCCCCAAGCCCCTCGAAGCCAAGGCAATCCGCGAACAGTATGTTCATATGACATGTCAACAAGCTCAAGTTCATTTCCTAATGAAGAATTCTCTATAGGAAAAATTATCTTCACGGCTTGAACCTTCGCACAAACGCGAATCAGATCCCACTTTCCTCATTCACCTCTCGTAAAAACTACCTAGTCCAAGCGTTCCAATCCGGCACTTTCCTAAAGGACCCCGATGCCTCAAATAAACCCCCAGCGAATCCCATGTCCGATCCTAACGGGATGGAGACAATGATGAATATGATGAAGGGGAATATGATGATGATTGTGCCACAGACGGTTATTATGGGGTGGATCAACGCTTTTTTCAGTGGATTCGTTATCAGTACGTGTACACTTTCACCCGATATGGAGTTGGACAGGTGTTTCTGGATATCCAAGGACTAATATTCGGCCCGTAATAGTGAAACTTCCTTTCCCATTGACGATTCGATTCAAGTCTATGCTCCAGAGTGGGGTTATGACTAGGGATATGGATGTTAGATGGGTGTCTTCTCTTTCTTGGTACTTCTTGTGCTTGTTCGGATTGAGACCAGTGTTTACATTTATTCTGGGGAACGATAATGGTATGTTTGGTGTCTACTCTGTTTCGTTTTCAATAGCAGTGGGCGGGTGCTAACTTTTTGTTCAGCGGCCGATCAAACTATGGCTCAAGTTCAGCAGATGAATCCACAAGCGAATACCCAACAACTTTTCGGACCAGGGCAAGATCCTGCAAAGATGTATTTGGCCGAGGCGGAAAATTTGGAGGTTATGGTACAACATGAGTTTGTATTGGATGGGATTGTGGATCGGATATTGGCGAGAGTATAAAATAGTTGAGGTGAAGCTGGACATATTGGAGATAGAATTGATGAATGACAATAGGGATGCTCTCAAGTAATAAAGCCTGCTTCTACGTTCGTACCATATTTTAATGGTACAGTCGTCACAATAATTTTAAAATGAAATGGTGTGGGTAGAACAAAACAACTGGTGTTAATGAAGAAAAAAATGCTTTTGATTCCATCAGAATGATAATATTATGAATACTACTAGTATCGTGACACTCTGTCCCTCAAGGCTCAGGTATTACATCTTAAATCACACCTTCTTCCCCTTCCTCCTAACGCTTCCCTTCCCACTTCCCACCTCAACACCCGTCATCTCTTCTTGAACTTTTCTCCCACTAGCCGTTACAACTCCACTATCTAGCTCTTTCGGTACATCTTCATTCTCCAAAATCCAAGGTACTGAAGCACCTAGCCAGCTCTCAAAGGGCTTCTTAACAAAAAATCCCTTATCATCAATCCAATTCATAAACGGACCCTCAACATCCCTAATTCTCAAGATGTTCTTCCCATCGATCACCTGGGTCTGCAAAATCTTCAATCTATAAGTCGGATCATGCTTCGCAACCTTTGAGCTGATGGTCAAAGACACTGGTGCAGTTTTATGTCTTCCCACGTAGATTGTCGAGGATTCGAAAAAGTAGAGCCAGATTGTTAGAGCGGTATTGAGGGTGAAGTAAGCAATGCAAGCGTATAAGGTAAATGTTTTGGTCTTTTCGAAGCCTTGGGTGTAGTCTAAGTAGAAAGTTGCGCCGGCGATAAGGCACGCGGCGGTAGAGAGGGATAGACGGACATCGGTGAGAGTGTGGGATTGAGCGAATGATTTGGTTTTTAGGTACTATGACTTAGGTTTTAGTATTTTCCATATGACTGATGGTGTGATTATAGAATACATACAGCCGCGACAGCATCATCAGATGTGTTTTTGAGGTCTAGAGTAGTGGAATGGTAACGTTAGCGGCTGCTCGTGCCGAGAGGTCTTGGGATTGTTGATACGGTGGAGAACATACCGGGCAGAGAATAAGGGCAGATCTTAGTAGGTTCTGCCATATCGAATACTTGTGAAGATGTCTCTTGCCTTCTGCTGTGAGATTGTGGGGAGGGGAACGGTGTCGTGAGAGAATTGGTGATACCGAGCCCGTTCTTCGAGCTAGCGCGAGGGAAGCTGCGCGGTGGTGGCCAGTTGTGGACAGGTGTTAACCACTGCAACACATTTACATGGGTATTCCGCACAAAATGCAACAAAGCGTTGGGGAGTGCGAACCAAGCATATTCAGAAGGACCTCGGACTGGGTCTCGGACTAGACTTGATGGAAAATCATGGCTGACCATTCAATTCAATATATGACTATAAAAACTTCCGGAGGAAGACGAGACTGAGGCTTTTCTACAAAAGTTTGGGTATATAGCGTTTGACTATCATCTTTTTCTAGTTATTTTTTAATTTTTTGAGCCAAGACTGTTGCTTATCCTCTACATACTTGCTTACCATAGCGATTAAAAGTGGGAAGATAAGCAGTGTAGATTTATAGATGGTTGCAATGCTAATGTAGGTGCTTTCCGCATCGTGATAATTAGGTTACATGGCTAGACCTTCTCTAAATCAACTTTACATCTTCACTATCAAGAGTTCCACCGTACTCTAGGGCAAGTTCGCGATGTCTAGGGCGTTGAGGCCGGAACCAGTAGAAAAGTCAAGCGATACTTCACTGATGCTTGACAAGTAAGCAGATAAACAGTACCACGCATATGCATCAGCTGTGTACTGCAACCTGTCGAACAGTTGGAGCTGGGCATTGGTCGCTGTCCCCCCCAGAATGCGGTCAAGTAAGAAATGATTCGCCTGGGTAATATCTCCGTACCCATCTGCATTAAAATTTTGGTATTAGAGAACTGAAAATATCAGTGAAGAATCTCAGAGGTATGCCACCTACATAAATCATCATTGTCTTGGTTCTGTGCTGTGAGATGAATAATCTCGTGTACAAGACAAGCAGCACCGGTATAGTAGAGGTTGAGCCCGCTCCCACGGATAACACTCCCGCGTGACGTTACCAGTCTTCCGCGATACGCAGTGAGGGTTCGACCGACGAGTGCGATTCTTGGCGTTAAGTCTGCGTCACCGTCGCCATCCCATGCCATCCCAAGGGTTGTCGGATCCATGGGACTTTGGACATGATATTTTCTACTGATTGTGTTCCACCACACTTCTCTGGAATTTCGTACACCGGCATTGTCGTACAAATGGCCTCGATAGGCATTAGCAACAGTGATATAGGGTGTTTGAAACTGGCCTGCGTTTGGGTTGGTTGCTGAAGGACGCCCTTCTACGAGCTTATATGAATTATCTGGTATCCGTTGTAACCACCAGCCGTTACAGTACAATAATGGCTTGTAGTTGACATTGAGGACGTTGTCTCCTGCTAATAGCCTTTGTGTTCTAAAGAGTATATCTGTATTGGCAAAGGCGAGTAAGAAACGTCTTGATTTGTGTATTGCCTTGAATTTTATGAATGTTCACCAAGTGGTACTTACTACGTACTCTTGACCATCTCACGTCATCTGCAGGAACATTTTGTGCGCCATTCCCATTAAGTCCAAAGAACAATACCCCGTTTCGGAAGCTAATATCTTGGGAGAAAGTGCCAGCCGAGCCAGTTCTATAGAGGTCGTATAGGTTCAGTCCTGCTCTAACAAGGGCAACAGCGTCAGTGTAGAACCCTTCCAACACTTGAATGTCAGCAGGACTGCAGGCTCCTGGGCCTTGAGTAACCACTTGAAAACTGGTGGTAAGACCAGCTTGGAAAGATGGTTTTAGGAGAAATGGGAGCAATAGAACAGCTCTGCATGCGAGCTTCTTGACACCCCACATAGTGTGTTTGGCCCCGAACCCGGGGTAAAGGCTTTCTGATCAAGTAATCCTCACAAAAGTAGTTACTGAAAGCTATTAAGCTGAAAGTTTTGAGAGGTCTAGGTAAATAATTATAAGGAAAACGGCAGACTGTTGTGAGCATGAATGAGTCTTTCCCTCTGATAATAAGCTGCGAAATTTGGGTTTATAAGGCATAGTACTCTTATGCTGTACCTCCTTTGGAACCACTCACTAGCTAATTAAACACCTACCCCCACGAAACCATGTTCTTGCTTCCGTAATGGAGATAATTTTATACGGAAAGTAATCTTTCTATCCGGTCCAACTGAAGAAAACTTACCGGTTCCTTCGCTTACGAGGGTTCAAAAGCTAGCAGCTGGTGGCAGCAAGAGAAACAAGGTTCTTGCCCCTCTATATGGTTAGAAAAATCCTGGCTCACAAAACGAGATACATCAACAAAGCTACAGTCTCTGCGGTGTATACAAGGAAAAGGATTCCGTGCGATTTTTTTCTTTTTATTATGTGCTGCGCGCATGCGTTAGAATAAACAAGACAATCAACAAATCGATCATGGTTGCTTTTGTGACATTTTCGTCAGTGCCGGCGTGTTTCAAGGTAAGTGGGTAGCTGTATTACATATTATATTATACGGGAATTCTATGACAATCACGATATCACAGAATTTAATCACAAAAAGGTATCCAAGGAGCAAGCACCCCTGTCCTCTTATCATGGTCCCTCAGCCCAGTCCTGTTTCCCATTTAAGCTAATATATTAAAGGCTACCAGGCCAGCTACATACTAGCTACTATGGGGTTATCATAGATTAATTCAACACACTATTTACTTACAATGTTCGAAATCCAACAACTGTCTTGATTTCCACTTTAAATTAATTATCAATACCACTATGTATCAAATTAATATTTTTCAAATATTAAATAACTCTTTATCTTTATATTTAAATATTAAAAAGAAGCTATACTTGTATTTTTACTTTTGTTTTGTTTTTATTTTTTTTGTTAACATTATTTTTTCAAGTTGAAATGGTGGGCAGTCTTTAGATGGTGCTTCGTAGGAGACCCCTAAAACTCGACTCGGAATATACTAAGTATATAGTAGTATTAAAGTAAAAGTTGTTAAAAATGAAAAAGCTTAAATATTTAATTAAGCTTATAGTAGCTTTATTTTTTACTATCATCAATAAAAATGTTAAGAGTTTGATTCTGAATTTTGTCAGGTAGCACGTAGGCACACCATAGTACAAATTTAAAGTGGGTTCAAATCCTTGTTCTTTGCAATAGTTAACGAACAACTCTTTTAAGCTGTAGCACCGTTGTGATTTTTGTTTACAGACAAGCCCTTGTCAACTGCATACGCGCGGCACAGTTACGAGACAAGTCTCCTATTAATACGATATCTTCTTTTAAGCTTTTTAGGCTGAGTGGCGAGTAGTTTATCTATGAGTCGCGATCGCCACCATGCAAACATACGGCGAGATTTACAAGGGTGGGTTTCTTGTGAAGAATAAGCTATGCTTGCATGCATATACGAAGCCAAGGTATAGGTACCACGGACATAACCCGGCCCCCAACGGCCGCAAGAACGAAGAATTCCTCAATTCAAACCTTTGACTCAAGGCAAATAGGAACCGGCCCGTACTCGTAGTTGCGATGAGCAGGCACGGATGCATGATGACCCTCGCCTCGAGTTGTTCTCTTGAATGCTTATCGAATCAAATTCCTTGGAATGGCTAACTGACGGCACTAGGATTTGAAAGTCCATCTTGTTAATTCCCAGACAAAGGGACAGGAAAGATGTACATCGATGTGCGCAACCGATAGCTAAGATGGGGATTTTAATACTGTTGTGTTTATAACGCAAGAAACATCCCACCTGCCTCCAGCGAAGCAACCGATCCTAACAGCGCTCATATCACTCTCATTCTAGTAAAAAAAAAGAGAGGTCAAAAGAACATATTAAAAAGCCAACATACTGAATTTTAAGTCTCAGCTATAGCCCGTAGCTAAGGCGCCCACATGACGGGCAATTCTACTATGTGGCAGACTTCGTTGTTGCTCTTTTTATGCATTTTCTCTGTTGCCAGCTTGGCTCAGTCGGACTTGCCATTGCCTATTGGGAACCCTCAGGTAGAGAGATCGTCAATGTTGTTATAAATCTGTACATCATACTGATTATCATAAACGCTCAGCCGCCTCCGCCTTACATGGTGGATAACGAACGAAATACCCACCATGCGGCACCAGACAAATCCCTTTTGAATGGGCCAGCCGTCTCCTGGCAAAACCTGACATTCATTCGAAAAGTCAAGAACCCAAGAGCTCTTCTGGGTAGCTTTCCTCCCGAAATCGATCCTGTTGATGAGTATAATACGCTACCAACAAATGGAACGGAGGAGGGGCATCTGGAACGAAGGGCGACTACTTCATACTGGTTGGCCAATGTTCCACAGGGAAATGTAAGATTTATTAGCAGCTGATCCGCTTCTGGTAGCTAAGCTAACTTGGATAGATGCCACTTGCACCAAGTGGATATAAATTCTTCCGCAACGTGCAGGATTATGGTGCAAAAGGAAACGGCATAAGTGATGACACAGTTGCCATAAATAAAGCGATAGTTGATGGTAGTCGTTGTGGCCAAAAGTGTGGATCTACTACTGTCCTAGGTGCTATGATATATTTTCCTCCGGGTGTCTATATGGTTAGCGCACCTATTATACAGTGAGTTTTCAATGACTTTTCCCTCTTGGCCGAAGCTCTTAAGTTCGAATATGTGGAATAGCACAAAGCAGACCTAATCTTACTATCCCAGATACTATTATACGCAGTTTATCGGAGATGTTACAAGCCCACCTACAATTAAAGGATTTAGAAACTTTTCGGGAATTGCCTTAATTGATAATGATCCGTATATTCCTGGCGGCAATGGCGACGAGTGGTATATAAACCAAAATCAATTCTACCGACAAATTAGGAATTTCGTTATGGATCTCACGCTTATGCCTAGCAATAATACGCAAGGGGACCAGACTTATTTTCCAACAGGTAAGCACTTAAACTCTACAATATAGTTCACAAAGTTGCGTCAGAGACGTTTTTACCCTGCTGACAATTTTGGTTCAAAGGCATCCACTGGCAAGTAGCCCAAGCAACCTCACTGCAGAATATCGTTTTCAACATGCCTGTTTCTACGTCAGAAGGATCTACGAAGCATGTGGGTATTTTTATGGAAAATGGCTCAGGCGGCTTTGTGGGGAACCTGACTTTCAATGGTGGAAATATCGGATTCAGAGCAGGTTCTCAGCAGTTTACAGCCAGAGACCTTACGTTCAATCAATGCTTGACAGCGATTTCGATGGTTTGGGATTGGGGCTTCAACTGGCAGAATATAGTTGTGAAGTCTAGCAAAGTAGGAATAAATTGTTCCGATTTTGGTGGTGCCGAAAATCAAGGCATTGGTTCAATTGCAGTGATCGGTACGCTCCTTGGTCTTTACTCAATATTCAGCTAATCTCAAACTAATAATTTTGGTGTTGTAGACTCGTACTTTTCGAACGTGGAGAAGCCTATTGTCACTCGTTCAGGCGGAGTGGCTCCACAGATTGTTCTTGACAACTTGCTAGTTGACCGTAGCACAAGAGACATAATTTATGGCTCAAATGGTGAAACCATCCTGGCCGGTAAGCATCTGAATTCTCAGTAAATCTCGTGGATAAGACCTGATTACCTGACTTGCAATGCTTAGGATCACCGAGCGGAGCTCCCATTTCTATAAGATCATGGGCATCTGGTCGCAGATATACCAGTACAAATGGCAAAGGGACCGTAGTTACCGGACTGGTTGACCCAGCGCCATCGAAACCAGCAGTTCTCCTCGACTCAAGAGGGAAATGGTTCACGCGAACCAAGCCACAATACGGAAATTTAGGTGCCAGCGATTTTCTAGTTGCAACAAACAATGGCGTTAAGAATGATGGTACAGGAGACCAAACTTTGGCCATTAATAGGTTACTAGCCGGTGCTGGTGGGAAAGTGGTTTTCTTCCCTGCAGGTATTTACCAGGTTAGCGGTACTGTCTTCGTGCCTGTTGGTACCAGAATGGTCGGAGCAGCGTGGTCGCAAATCAGGGCTACTGGTTCGTATTTTGGAGATGAGAATAATCCCAAGGTCGTGGTGCAGTAAGTTTCTAACTTCTCCCGTGGTTAAAACTTCTTCCGCTTACACGATATGCAGAGTTGGAACTCCTGGTGATAGTGGAGTCATTGAAATCTCGGATATGCTTTTTACTGTTAAGGGCGCAACAGCAGGAGCTATTCTGATGGAGTGGTGGGTTCACGAAAGCACACAAGGGTCAGGTGAGACTCGATACCCATAGAAAATCACATCGTCCGGTTTGATGCTAACCCAAATTTCGAATTCATAGCTGCTATGTGGGACTCTCATTTTCGAGTGGGCGGTGCTTATGGTAGCGACCTTCGGATGGCAGAATGTCCCAAAGGAAGTGTTTATAATGAATGTAAAGCGGCTTCTATGTTGCTTCACCTACAGCCAGGATCGTCTGGCTATTTTGAGAACATCTGGGCATGGGTATGTTCCGAAAATATCTATCAATGCAAACTAAGCAATATTATATTTAATTAGAGAAATCTACTAACAAAATGTATCAGACCGCCGACCACGACTTGGATACGCCAGTGACCGGCAAAGACACTTCAGCGACTCAAATCAGTATCTTCAGTGCTCGTGGCATCCTTATAGAATCTCAAGGCCCAACATGGCTCTACGGTACTGCCTCGGAGCATAATGTCCTGTATCAGTATCAGCTGTTAGGTGCAAAAAACATTTACTTGGGCCATATCCAAACTGAGACTCCCTATTATCAGGCTGTGCCCGGATCACCAGCACCATTTGTTACAGACCCAAAATCAGCCAGTGGAGTATCATTTTTTAAAGACGATCCTACGTTTGCAGATTGTCAACCTCTTTCATTCTGTGCAGAGGCATGGGCGTTGCGAATCTTGAATTCGACGGATATCTTTATTTACAGTGCAGGTCTCTATAGCTTTTTCCAAAACTACAAGTTGGACTGCAACCCTTTTGAGAGGTGTCAACAAAGACTGTTTCAAACCTCATACTCTCAAGGCCTCTGGATATATAATATATTCACTAAAGGTGCTGTCGAAATTGTTAGCCCTCTTGGGTAAGTAAATCCGTCTCCCAATCGATATCACTCAGAGTCCATGGTCTTAGGTTGCTAACTTTGATTGCAGAGGAATTCCTCCTCTCCGCAGCAATGATACAAATAAGAAGTAAGTCTACAGAAATCTTTCTTAGAAGATAGAAGTCAAAAGCAGATACTAACAACAAGAACAGTAGCTATACGACTGAGATTAGCGTATGGCTGCCTCTGGCCCTCCTTGGGTCTAGTATTGGTCAACCATCGGATGGCTCTGGCGGTTCTGGAAATGTCTTCATTGATCCCAAAGTGTGGTCAAGCCAGAATCCGACAGTTACCTGCAAGGCTCCCTGCACGCTCATCCTTCCACCAAAAACCCTTTCAACCACGACGACCATTTTCATACCGCCAACGACTGTGACCTTTTCAGACACTTTTTACACTACAGGAACTACAACCGCGGACGGGACAATCTTTACTACTACTGATCAAACAGTCATATATTTGACGAGTACAATTACACCGAAACCTGGTAATTATTCCCTAGTCATTCTCGTGTATGTATATTATGACTAGATACTGATGCAGATATGCGTAGTGACAACCAACAAGATCAATGTTTGGGCAGTGACAATACCGTCATATGCAGTCGGTCCCTATACAATTGAAATGACTAGTAGCATAGATCAAACTCCCATCGTCATTACGCGGACAAAAACGCCACCTAGTACTCTTACAAATACACCGAGAACATCTGTTATCACTGACCCTTCTGTGACCACAACGACAATCTATTTGACACCATACCCACCTACAACAACATCGGGCGGCGACACCGACCTTAACACAACACCGACCACCTGGACAGATGGTCCTCCAGGGCCTTCTTGTACAGCTGGTTGCGGATCTCCGTGCTTTCTCTGGTGTCTCTTTGGTTGGGGCCCAACTTGCTTGCTTTGCCCCCCTCCGTGGTGCCTTGGTTGTCCTCCTATAGGAGGTGACAATGGGGCTGGTGGAGGCGGAGGTGGAGGTGGCGGCCCAGATGACCCATCCAAATCATGCAAAACTGTCACTGCTACATCATGTTTAACTCTTTGCAACCCAAGCAGCTGTACCTCCACTACTTGTTCTCCAGTGGTCCAGTGCTCCGCGACCAATACAGCAACAACCACAACCAATGGAGGCCCTGAGGCGACACCTCTGTCGATCGAAGATTGGGAGGCTTGGAAAGGTTTCCCAGGTCCTACTGGCGCAGCTCTTGGTCCCTTTGCGGCAGCCCAAGGTGCATGGGTTGCTGGAATAATGAGGGGATTGACCAACGGGGGGCCCAATCCTACTATTACAACACCACCAACCCCAAGGCCTTCTACTTTTTCAGTGATACAAGTGACAACTTCTCAAGTCAACATTTACGTTGAGGTTGAATGCTTCTCTGTAGGTTGCCCAAGTCGCCATTTGTGGAATAACTATTATGCATATACCTATCTCGATCCCGATCCGGGCTCTATTGACGTATGCACCGCGCCGGTAACTCATCTCGACGCTACAAATGCAGCGATACCAACCTCGCTCCCTAACGTGAGTGTCTTTGGCGATTTGTGTAATTATGTTCAAACAACGCCATGGAGCTCAGTCAATGCGGGTGCTACCATAGGCTTACTGGCTTGTGACACGATTGGTTATATCTATTGCACAAAGCTTGATCAAACCCACACTTGCAACGGGCAACTTGACCGACACCGTCATGTCGCCGCATGTGCCCGAGCTACAAATAATTAGAAACCTAGTTATAAAGTTAGAGATAATATAGGTTTTCTGCCTCCATTCTCGAATTTTCTTAGGGAGGATTTATTCAAAGCCATTACTTCATATTTTCTTGTCTGTTAAAAAGAAAAGATTACGAATCAGCGCTCAATATACTCTTCTCAATTCCAAGCATCATCCCTACGTGTACCTCAGAAACCCCAGAATATAACTTTAAGCTTGTCTTTTGTGAAAGAAAATTGGGGCAAGCTCATTTGTACGCTATTTTTCACACTGATGAGCAAGATACGCTCAAAGCTATATTCAAATCGCTGAACGGCTGTGGGGCAGATTGCTCCAATGAGTACTGCCTGCATTATACTCTACGTATGACTCTGACTTCATGAATTCATATTTGACTATACATGATTATACTACCTGATCCGACACGCTCGATTGGATCGCTATACGCAGCTGCACAAAACTAGATCTGCAGACCAACCCGGGTAAAATAGGCTGGACATTTTGTTCATTTTCTCCATATATCGCAACCACTATATCACACGGTCGATGCATATGAAGATTCCGCGTTTGTCCGGTGGCACAGCGCTAAAAAGCCGAATACGAAGAGATAACATAAAATGGTCTGAAACTACCCCCACACAGAAAACATGGTCTACTATGCCCCTCGTATCCGTTCAAATAGAAGCGGCCCATGTGATGCAGGCTGAAGTCAACAAGGATATGAGGTCCCTTGCAGTGGAAGGGTCAATTATTTTCCAAAGCTAACATGCAACCTGCATGCAGACTGTGCATGGGCATGCAATAACTTTGATTAGCCTCGAGACCAGGCGCAGATGTGAGGGCAGAGAACTTTGATCGAATCCAGTCTTCCTCAGTTGTATTATATCACAAACGCAAATTTGTAAACCTCTTTTTTCCATTTAAGCTACCTAGGGAATTTTTTTCACAAGCTTCCTCCCCAGCCTAGATCCTTAGAGTATTCCTCGTTTTCCATCCGGCCAAGCTAGTCATATAGTCGTCCAACTTGAAAATGAAGCCAATTACAGTATAAACTTCCCCCCAATTCTTCAAAAGCTCTATAGATCAAAGTATGCTAACATCGAGCAGACACTCGCAACATTTCTCTCAATTATCTCCGCCCCATCTTTGCTACATGCAAAACCTCTTCTGTAAGTACAGAATCAACATTGCGGATCCTCTGATCAATCTCCGAGACTAGTAGTATTCTGACTAACGCGCTGCTTCATGAATCAAAAGCCCTAGAGCGGATTCTATCGAGTGCACCGTCGCAACACCTCAATACCCAAGCCCTATCATTGTCCAAGGTGGATCAACCTTAAAGACTGCTATTACCGCCTGCTGTCAGACCATAGTTGGCGGTGCGGGCCTCTTTCTCTCCACAGGAGATCCATATTTCTGCGACATTACTTTCAATGGGCGCACTGTGACTATGTCCCTTCATATTCTCATTGGAGGATTCAAAGTAACGCCGCCCGTTTGCACTCAACAACTTAATCTTATCGCGACACAATGCACACAAGCTAGCGACGGAAAGACGAAGGGTGGATGTTCGACCACAAGCGATGGTAATTTGGTTGCATGTGTTTTTGGATAGTTATAGTTAAAGCTTAGTTAGTTTGAGCGCTCGTTACAGCAAATTTAAATATGCAAATTTAAGCTGTCCGAACAATATGTAATAATTACATTTCAACATATATCAGATTCCATGAGGCTTTTCAATGTCACTCACAGTCCAACATGCAATAGCAATAGAAAAACCTCAGATATCACAACTGCATTCGAATATCCTGTTCTTGACCACTGTCCATCATGCATCATACAAACATACTCACTGGCTCTACCTCTAAACAAATTAAATCACCTATAATTACAATTAGCTAGAAGTCATACTTGGACTCCTACCCCGGCCCATCGGGATGCTGAAACTCGAAAATCTAAGAATCTTGAGTGCGAAGGTCACAGTAGTAAGATTAATGATAGTTAAACCTTTCTAGGAGCTTTTATCAGGTGATAGCTCCGAAATTTTCATTGAAAACTTGGATACGATCTGCAGGTGGCCCAGTCTCAGCCGTGGCAATCATGTTCCGATACTGGCTCGTATTCGATATTCATGATTATCACCTTATTGTTCATAAAGAACCGAATGCCCGGTTAACGGTTCTTGTGATATATACTGGCTTTGCCGCACGTTTACAGATGATTGGCAACCTAGTCGATTCTGCAGGAAACCCAGCTGCACAGTCAATTCTGCAGCAAACCTAGTAGACTCTGCAAGTTGCGCTAAGCAAACCTTAGTGCAGCTGAAATATAGCTGGCTGCAGCTGTGTAACCAAGTTCTACTCCTGCGATCAGCTCATGTGCAAAACGATTTATCCGGTTTTGTTATACACATGAATCTTTTTGGTAAGATCGCCTATGCGATATCGATCAATTAGTTGATCAAGGGCCCCTGAGCTGAGTACGAAGTATGTGTTGTTCTAACAGTATTTTGTTGGATAAACGTTATAAACTCGAAGCAGCCATAGCGCCCTGGGAAAGAGTACTACACACAATATCAAAAATACTATATTGACCACTATTATAAATAAATTAAGAAAATAGAACAAACTTTATTTTTATTATTCTTTATTCAATAAATTATATTCATATCTTGTTCACAAGTTATTTACGAAACTGTATGGGATTATCTAACGTTGGGATCCGAAATACCACATCCAACACACAAACTTCCTCAAAACAAAACCAAATGAATAAATACGATACATTAATACGCATCAGAGGATAAAACTTTTCTATAACTTTTTCCAAGTATTCAAAATTCTGTCTATAGAAACATTATAAAATGAATAATGAGATAGATAAACATCAAACAATTTAAAGGAGTTTTAAATATTATTAAATATTTATTAAATGAGATTTATTTGTGGTTGCACGTTTTGAGTGCCCCGGGAGAGTTAAGATTACAACCTTAAGACTGTAGCCTCATATATAAATGATATTGATTATTATACTCATAAATGTCTTTTAGTTTAATTATTTTGTATTTAAAAGTTAATTAATAATTTAAATATTAGCCTGACTATTTACTTCAGAAAGTTTTAGTAAAACACCAAAAAAAGAATAATCGACTTTATCTAATTTAAAATATTAAATACAATAAACTCAATTTTTACTTAAAGACAGCCTGCCTAAACTACCACAAGAGCTTCACGGCGCAGCCGGTTTAGGCCGGAGTGTGGTGCCCCTAGATTTGGATGTAACAGGTACATGTCTATTGTGGGTCAGGGCCAAACTCTCGGAACTAAGCTTTCGAAGCTTTAGCTGCCGAGGCTTGTCATATCCTTGGAATGTTCCTGTACTATACGAGGACACGTGCATCAGTGCGCATCTTATCTTCGCCCGCCAGCTCGTATTGTAGAATGTCATGGGTATTAGGCAATTTCCTCCAAAGAAGTTTGCCCATCCGCTAATCGCTGTGCCGCAGACGCGCGTGGAGAAAAAAATCCAACACTGCCACATCTGCACATCAAGATCAGAACACAATGAAGAGCAAACCTGCAGAGTGAGGTATTTTGTGAATTCCGGGTAAACCCGTACTTGTCCATAATAAACTAAGCTTCCTTTGCGGCCCATTGTCTTCCTTTCAGTTCTCATTTGGGCGTATAGCAATACATCGCGTGTACTACGGTAAAATCACTTCACCCGTGAGTCAGCTTTTCAATATACGGTTTCGATCGCACACAGAAGCGATTTGCGATTGTACCGACTGGTCCCCCACGGCCCACATAGTTGAGGAAGCCTGGTGACGGGATACGTCCTTCAAAGCTTCAGCAATGTTTTCCCCGTTCTTAATGGTGACAATGGTCATAAAAGGGATTCAGCTCGCTGAGATGGTCATCCGATTTCAATTGCCCTGCAGCAATCGCCTTGAATTTGTTGTTAGAAGCTCGTCTTTTTGATACTAGCTTCTACTACGGAATCGAATTTTTCCCATCGAAAAATTGCTCTTGTCTTTTGCTTTTACAGCTGATCTTGATAAAAATGCGTTATCATTTTTTGCTATGGGCTACAGCTCTGGGGTTCAGATCTGTGCTAGCAGAACTAGGTTATTCTTCTTCTCCTTTACATAAGAGACGTATGTACAGCCCCCATGTTAACATGTTCATAATGATCATCGTTTCTTACTAATTGTTTTGCTGGAAAATAGAGGATTCTTGTGACGGTTCCAAAGAGCCTGATATTGCCCCAAATTGCGACGAGTGTATTATCGCATACCCAGGTGAGAAGATGAGTCACTGAATGGAGCTTGGGCACTTCCGTCTGATTTCTGAACAACATGGCTAATTTATGTTTTGATTTATTAAAATAATAGGTGATACCTGTGAGGTATTGGCTGATATCGGATTTATCAGTGTAGATCAAATAAAGGCTTATGTAGGTTACGTCCTAAAGTAATCTCGAATGAATGCATACGAGAGCATGTATATAAGTGTATATCTGCACATGCATACTAACAGGCAATTTTGCATACATAGAATCCTGCACTGGAACGCGATTGTTCGGATGTCGAGCCTTACTGGCGTTATTGCATACACACCGGTATCATAGCTTCCACGACCACTACAACCAAGACTAGTAGTAGTGTGACCTCCACGACTCAAGTGTCGACTAACACGCTTAGCACTCCTTCTCCTCTGATTACTGGAGGGGTCGTCCCTAATTGTGATTGGTTCTACAAGACACCCGTTGCAGGATACAACTGTGGGATTGTTGTATCAGCAAATAATGGACCACTAAATGTCCCTGGTCTCAGCATTAAGAACCTAGAGGATTGGAACTACGGGATTGCTCCTTTTTGCGAGGCCAATTTAGCATTGCCCAGTAACGTATATGTCTGCATCCGCACGATCGGCTATAAGCCGCCAACTACCACCACCACCACAACAGCAAGCTCGAGTACTACTCCATCGAGCACTACCACTGGGCTACCTGCAGGGTTCAGCACAGACTACCCAGTCCAAATTCTTGCGGGTCAGGTACATGACTGTAATACCTGGTATCTTGTCGCGACTGGAGATACAATAAACTCGATTTACTCTAAGGCGCCAACAATTGTTTTCCCTCCTCATCTCCTAGCCTGGAACCCTACCTTGGGACCAAGCGGTACTGGGCTTACTGTTGGTACGTGGGTCTGCGTTAGTAGAGATGGCACCAATCCACACGCCACAATGCCTACTACAACCACAACTACGACCACTACCACTACCAAAACTACAACAACCTCAGTCAAGACTACTACCAAAGCTACCACCACACCTACAAAGACCACTACTACGACAAAGACTACCACAGCTTTGACTCATCCTATTTACCAACCATCGCAGTTCCCAATGACAAAAACAGTTGGGTGCATCTCAGCCTCTAACCAAGACCCTACTCCTATCAGTTTCTACGCCGGAGATGGGCTGTATACTGCCATCTCTAGCGCTTGTAAAACACTAGTAGGTACTAGTGCGAAGTATCTAGAGACTGGTCTACCATACGTCTCACCGCAACTCCCCAATGGCAAGCCCGTCCTGATCGATCTTCAGATCCGCAAGGGTGGGTTCAGTGTTACAAACGCGATGTGTTATGACCAGTTAGTTCTGGTTTTGAGAGGTTGCAGGTCTGGTGACCCTTCGAGAACCTTTGGAGGTTGTTCTTATACTTCGGATTATAATTTGGAAGCATGTATTTTCCCAGACCATTGAGACCGACGATTACGCGGCTACTACGAGCTGGCGCATTGCTTCTGGTGTAATAAACATTATATACATTGTTATATGTTCTGGAGATAAAGGTCCTTTTAGATCGTATCTAGTCCACTCAAGTAGCGGTAACCTCCTCGTCATTTTCAGTATCGCAAAACTTACAGCTAAGCTAGACTAGTTAATTTCGCGAGAAAAGAATAAGAGATTCACTACATCTCGGAACGAGGCATGTAACTTCTAAGCATTTATGTAATTACAAAGAAAAGAAAAGCACCCTCGCAAAATCATTTGGCCCATTACATAGGTTTTTATAACGGAACATCAGCTTATCATATATAGGTAATAAGGGGAATATAGAATACGATCATATAAACGCCCGTTGATCTTATCTATTTACCATAGGATCCCTACATACCCAACCAGCTGATGGGGCCGAAAACAGTTTTTCTGCCCTATCGGCCTCTCCCTCATCCAGATCCAATTCTATTTCTCCCTCTTTTGGTTCTTTGCGATCAAACCAAACTTGTACCAGCATCCATGCCATACGATTCCAGTCGAAGTATGTTTTTAGCTTACCAGCTGGATAAAGCTCAATCTCTAGTGGGTTCTTTCTTCGAAATCCATTATTAATTTCAATTTCTTCACTTCCGCTCCACTTTAAAGCGTCTTGTAGGAGCTTCTGTGCCCCCGAGTGGAATTCGTCGGATCCCCACCCGATCGCATACGCCCATTCGGTACAGTAGTCGTTATAGAATGTGAATCTATGGAGTTTGGAATGCTGAAGCATGAGCCCAATGACTTGCTCGAATGGCTGATCCCCATTGTCGATAGAGAAGACCGCAAGATCTTCCAACTGCTCACACCTTTCAATAGCTTTCCGAGCCACCGGATTGTTTGCTAGGGACCATACGTCTGCCGAATAATGCCCCTTATTCTGCCCCTTCCGCATCGTTTGTCTTAATACATGATGAAGAGCATTATATATCGGTTTTGTCCGTAAGGTACGTAGAGTGCTAGAATGTGCAGGGATCACATCTCTCCAAAACATTGTTCCAAGTTCCTGCCGAGTATTCCAATAGTCCGTGGGCGTCAACATACGGTTGAGTAGATGACGCGCTCGCAACCCGACCTGCAATGACTTTAATGTATCTCGATACGACCCGAGGTACAATATCAACTGCGTGGAAACATGTTTAAGTCGTAGATCTTCGAGGTGAATATTATTGACCCTAAAGACATTCCAAATGCGATCCGAGTCAATGGCGTTGGCATCTGAACGGAAAAAATCGATATGCAGCCTCCGTAAGTTCGATAGATAAGGAGTACAGAGGATAGAATTGATATTTTCTGGATATGCAATCACGCCCCGTGAAAGGTCTTGCTCCAGGGTTTTGAGGGATAAAGATGTCAGAGCGAAAGGGGATTCTTGTGCCGCCAAAAACCCATTGAGATCAAAAAGTGGGGGTTCTAGAGGTGGCACGGTACATGTAATACTCTTAAGGGTCGTCTGAAGAGACTCTTTTGCCCGTCCGCCGTAAACAACTAGGTTTTTGAGGTTGGGTAGATTGACCAAACCGTTCTGCTTAGCGTTCAAAAGTAGAACAGGATGCGCCTCCAAGGTAACTAGGTTCGAGTAAAACCTTGAGGACGGAAAAATGCTGTCATGAGACTCAGAGACGATTTTGAAGCTCTTTACCCTGTCGGAAAGAAAATCCAGCGACAGCTGTCCAGGTTCGAGATAATTTAAGAAGTCGGTGTGCATGCTATATATAACAACGTCAATGCTGTGCTACGCCCATAAAAGATTGTGTAAGGGCATGCAGTTGTACTGACTACAATGAAGTCAACCCTGTCATACTATTCATAGCATTCACCAATTCGTTGATTGAAGTATCCGTGTAAAATTGCTTGTTATAGCTGCCCTCAAACATCCATCTTGACACGAAAACCCCCATCCTATGCTCAATTATCACATTTCCGGCAGCATTAAGGATGGCATCCGGGGTGTATGAGAGTATTTCGAGATTCTGGACATGGCAGAATATGTTTCTTTGGCGGAAAGCGGCGAATGCTTCAAATTTTCTTATCGTAACCGACGGGTTGGCGGTTGGCGGTGGCGGTGGCCATTTCTCGCCATCTAGGTTGCGAGATCGTGCGCCGTATATTGGGTCCTCATAAATGAGAAGAAGGCGCATGTGACGAAATAGAATGTCATTGCAGACCGGTAAAAAAGCTTTGTGCGCCAGGCGAAGGGATCTTATATCGGAAAAATCCAACTGAAGGCGAATATTCAAATAACATTAGAACACAAGAGATACCAAGAAAGCTCAAAACATTTCAGGTATAGAAGCTTACGAGTTCGAAGATACTTGTTTTAATCTCAGTAGGTGCCCGCCTAAAGAGGGACGAGTCGGCCGTACCCCGATCTTTCGACATGGGCTCAGGTGATATAGATAATATGGCTACCTAGGTAAATTTTTAACAAAAAGTATTTTGTCGCGCAAATTAATAGGAGGCCAAGCCGATAGAAACTCAAACGTAAGACTCAAATCCTGTGGTACTGCGACGTTTCTTCTTTGGGCCTTTATATCGATATATCATGTTCAACCATGCATGAAGAACTGTATTGCAAACCCAATAAACATAAGCGTGTGGTATTATATTGATGGGATATTTAGCGTTATAGCTATAGCTCGACTCAATTAATTGCGGCACAGCAACCCCGCACTATAAACAAGGCAAGATGATACCTATAGAGCTGAGATTTATCCGTACCGAAACCTTGAAGAGCTGAAATAGTGGAACGCGGGATTTAAATTTCGCCGAAATCCTGTTTGCACGGGATCGTGGATGCATGAGAATACGGAATACGACACTCGGTTTGTCCTTTGCCAGCTGAACACCGGTCCTAGATCCTGTAGGTGACACAATCGTCCCACATGCACATTTGCATTGTCTTATAGGTCTCTAGTAGTTCCTAAGATCTTGCTAAAAAAATCAGAGGAGAAAGGCGCAGTAACCTGTCAATGAAAACATCACGAGCTTTTTCGTCAGTTTTGTGAAGTGAGAAATCAAAACCTTATCAAAAAAGTAAAATACAATCCAATATAACAAGATTTGCAGAATTCGAATAATCTTTAATTAACAAGCGAAGATTATGTAAACGGCAAAATTTGTTATACTAAGATATTGAAGCTATTATATTGAAGATAGGAACTACTGTACATATAAGATGTCAGACTTGCACTTGCCTGGTCTCGTTAGTACACTTGCGCCATATGTATACATCACAAACTAGTCTCGACCGCCTGAGTAATCGATTAAAAGCCTCCTGCTTGCTTTGCTATCTAGCTATGTAGGTAGCGCGCCATATTAACAATATCTAGCAATAATGTATTGAGCATCCTAAAAGTTAACGCCAAGAACCTCGAAATATAATTAACATATTGAAAAAGCGCACGTTCGCGTCAGTAGGACAAGCCGTGGCATAAAGGTACAGTACAATAGCGATAGCTAAAGTGTGAAAACAATCTATCTCTACTAACCACCTAGAGAGTTAAGCTGTTGATTTAAGCATAATATTAATAAGCAGTAGTTTAACAGTTGATATTTACGCCGTGGCACCGAAAAATGCATGCTCGACCTCCTCCAAGGGGACTTTAATCCAGTCTCCATCATCGTCCTCCTTCTTAACCCTCACTCTCTCACCTCCTAACCAACCTTTCAATTCTGGCATTGCCTTACAGCCGTTCCCATATTTCTCCTTCAATGCCTTGAGTGTAACCAGTACCTTAACTTCACTATCCAAATCCCCAGTTCCTTCTTCATTTTTCCTTTCCACCAGGTCGTTCTGTAAGACCTCGCACCATCCACTTAAGTCGTCTCCTACTTTGACAACACTCTGCGAGCCACCCTTAACACCTGATTTAACCTCCATTTCTCTCATTTCCATATCCAAAAACTCGTCCTGAAGGAACGCAGCGATCTTACCCCGGAGCGGTAAATCGTTTGTCGCAGTGTAGACTTTCTCCAAAGTTCCAAGACCATCAAGAGCCACAAAATCCTGTTTTCCGTTATGAATTCTAACGGTTCTGGAGATTGAGAACATTAATCTTCGGTTTAAGATCTTATCTTGGTTCTTGAGTAAAGAGACTAGAAGCGGGTGTAAAACCACATCCTTTGTCGCCGTTCCAAAGAGTTTTCTGACTCGGGAGAGAGCTACAGCGTTATTCTGTAGCGAGTTTCCAAGAGTTATCGCCGCTGAAGAACGGATTGATGGCGCATAGTCCGAAGAAGAGATGATGTTGATCAATTTTTGTAAAGTCATCTCGATAAGTTTGACGCCATACTCCGGTTCGTGTGATAATTCGGTCAGCTTTCGAAGTGCCTCGATCAGAGATGCTGCCTGTGGCGCAGATTCTTTAAGTACCGCAACCGCATTATGGAACGTTTCCCAGTCGGAGTTTGAAAGATGAGGGTTTGGTTTGTAGTTGTCTGGTTCAGGTGGGATATGTTGAACTGGTGGTGCAGAGTCGGTTTCATTAGAACTCAATCCAGCGTTCAAAACGGAGCCTTGGTCGATATCTTGGTCCGGAACCACAACGAGGTCGGAATACTCCATCCCAGCTTGTATTTCCGCCTTTTTCTCCCTCTCGACATAGACGGCTGTTCCTTCGCTTTCATTGGGATCAATGAGTTTGGCCTCTCGTCCGCCGGAACCGATGTTTAGTCGCACGTGGAGGCCAGCTGGGATTACCTGATCTGCTTCAACAGGGAGGAAGGTGGTCGTCGGGACGAAGACCTTCGGGTAACATTCCTTACCCGGGTGGCAGATCATTTCTACGGGGGTTGGAGCAGCGTCTGCCGCCTTTCCGGGGTCGTCATTGCCGTTTGAAGATACGGCAAAGGCGGAGTTGAAGAGGAGACAAACGATCCAGATCGCGAGAAGAGTGATGCGGCGAAGGGATTGCATCTTTCAAGGTTGAAGATTTCGGTCTATATTAAGAAGATCATGGGATTTTTTTTTTTTAAAAAAAAAAAAATCGAAGTGAGGGGCTTTGGAGGGGCAGAGAGCTTGGAGGGGAAGTTAAGATTGGATTATGGTTTTCCTTGAGCTGGCCTACCAGGACGGAGGTATAAGCTCTTTATAACGCGCACTTGCATGAAATTGAGGGTAACGTGGAAGTTATCAACAAAATTGAAGTTTGAGTCACTCAAGTCATAGTCATCGAAGAATGAGGAAATCCAAGGAAGTGGCCAGGTTTCATGAAGATTCTGGTTAAGTAGAGGAGATTTCTTGTCCCGTCCTGTGGAGAGGTTGTGGCGAAGTGGCCACAGTTGTGGTTGTTGGCGTTGTTAGCCTTCACATTGCCGCATTACCGCACTCGTATTCTTACTCAACTTTGAGACATTATATTAGCATTGTGCCGCAGAAAACTCAAATATCGACAGCTTCACGAATTCGCCAATAATATGTATTTTGGAGCCTTATATAAATCAAAGAATGGTATTCGGAGGCCACACTGTTGGACAGTTCCTTGTAGTTTATATTTATGCAGTTGCCCACTTCACCTCTCGAAGCGGGATATCTTTCCCATTTGTAGCCCTCGTTCCATCCTCTTCCTCTCGCCAAGCCCGGTACTCAGCAAACCGGAGTTCTGCGTAGCCAGCATAATCAAAGTCTATGGATCCAGTGCTTGCATGAGTTTGGATAACGGCACATAAGCCCCTATAGATTGTACAATCATCGAATTAGTATTTGCTATTATCCATAATATCCAAATTCTCGCCTTCGACTGTATACTGGGATACCACCAGATATATATGTGGCCAGAGAATATACATTGCCCTCCAAACCATACATGAATAAACTTAAACGTTCGAGGCGGATTAACGACTAAAGACTCACCAATAAAAGCCAGGGAACCCTCGATAACTATCAACTTCAGATAACAGTCGAGAAACTTCTTCCTCAGATACTTCGAGCTGGTCTCCTTCAATGCTTGGCTGCTTTGTGGCGTTTTGATAACTGCGAAGGTATTCGCGAATGAATTCACGCCGAGTTGATGCCGTCGGTAGCAGATTGTAGTCACAATCAAAGCCTGTCCATTCAGAAAAATGATTGGCAAGATCGAATGCTTGTGGGCAATAAGTAGAGTGTCTAGAATAAGAAATTAACATCGATTTAGAGTGGCTTTTTTTAGTAAGACATTTGAACAACGTACTCATAGTCGATAAACTTGACAGTTTCAACATCATGACCCGTTGCGTTCTTAACAGAATCTTGTATAATTATATTACCGGAAAGAAGATCACCGTGTCCGAGCACCTATATTCAATCATTAGTTTAGTACCATACCCAAACGCTCATACGGCGAAGTATCATTGACACCCATACTTACAAAATGATGCTTTTTTGCTTCGTCACCTGGGCGTAGCCTGTGCACCAGATGCTCAAAGTCGCTACGCAACATCTCTTTCTGGGCTTTTTCCTGTCCTGTACTTTCTGGAATCGCTTCGAGCCATCTTTTTGCCGTCGACCAAATATTTGGTTTATGATCAAGAACTGATTTAACACCGTCGCTATCACTCTCAAGGTTGAATTTGGCCGCTGGAAGGATCGCATGCCACTGGGCTAATTCTCTAGCTACACCACGCCATATTTTCTCCTCCGTAATACCTGTTACTGGGCAGGGTTTTCCTGGAAGAAATTGGTAGGCATGACCATTTGAGAAGCGAACAAGCAACGAGGGAGCGAGGTTATGATCCGAAAGTATACTATGGAAATTAATTTCCTCTGTTGGTCCAGGGTATTAGATCTATACGTTAACCGGATGTTAAGGGTTAGGGAGTCAATGGGTTGAATTACTTTCTCGATCAATCAAAGTCTCGGTGCCTTCCCCATAGATCTTCACTAGAGCGGTATTAACAGTGTCGTTATCCGCCAATGATTGATTCCCACGCGAGTGGTTGGTGACTTTGAACAACTACAATGATTAAAGAAACATGGTACATAAGTACCGTAGTCAGCGAACCGAACCAGATTTAAATTAGTGTTTACAGACGTGACGGGTGGATATAAAGTCTTACTCCATTCGTGGTCCCTTCGGTCACAACCGTGACTTCAATATCATCATGGGAGCCGTCTTTTGACTTGTACTCTGGAAACAAGTAGGTGACTAATTTAACTACTGAGTCTTTGGGATTCGATTGGTCGAAAACATGGGGTATAGATGGGACTTCCATCCTGGTATCTCCTCGTGTTCGAATTCAGTAGCTTAGTGAGATAGATCGAAAATGAAAGGGTTTGTATTTAGTGTTGACACCACCAGCGCTATAATCGTCGGTTTCGACGTCTTCAGCTTAAGACCGCATATGTGTGTCTAATTGCAAGTTTCCAAGCAATGACATACACATGCATCTCGCTCAAAAGAGGGGTTTCTAATCTTGCGGGTCGGGTTCGATTTCTGCCAGAAATTCAGCTGGTTCAATCGCTATCCGATCTGGAGTATCGAATTAAGTAATGGTAATACAATTAAAGCAAGGGCGCCAGCGCTGCAGCGTTGCCGACGAGGAGCCGATTCCAAGCCAGCACGAATTTATCATACCGATACCGGGGAGGCATTTTAAGATTCTGTTGAGAATGCCTAGTACATCTAGATACCGGTCCAGATCAATATTTCTGGTGAACGAAAAAGCACGCGCATCTATCCTCACCAATCAACGTGGTGTATCATATCATTTCTTCGCAAAGTATCTGGTCGTGTGCATGTGCATGCTCCTCAATTTCCCGATCGAGTTTTCTGCATGCTCAGTCAACTATTAAGCCTTAACTCGCTAGGACGATTCCCCATCCTTTCCCGCAAAAGCAGAATAATTACGTGGCAAGCAGGCTTTCCCCAGAAAGCTTCGAAAGCACTGCTGCATAACTATAGGTACTACTATGTATGTACTACAGGTTTGGTTCAGCTGGAGCGGGCGGGTTGCGAGTGCGACTTGTTGCATGTTGCATGCGCATGCAGCATATATGCATATTGCGTCGAGTCTCCGGCTTTCCAGATCTATATCTCAATATTTCCCTCCCGAAGGACCTCGGAAATTTTCGGTGGCGCTATAGACGGCTGGAAGATTAGGTGCCGTCCCGCGTAAGAAGCCTACCGAGTGCGACCTAATGCACGCAGTGGACTGCCTATCTGCCTATCTGGATTGAGTTAGTCGCATTCATCGGGTAGCCATTTGCAGCCAGCTCGTCATAATATCAAGCCCATATGTATCTTAGATATGCTCATGGCGCATCCTCTCGGTCGATCAATAGCCCTCTAACAAGAGAGCTTCGACAATCGTACATATACTTGTTGCCCATTGCGATTTCCTTGGCCCGGCTATTCGTTTGTGAGATCATAACCTGCATATGCATCTATAGACTCGATGTGACCCAGCTAGACTACTAGTAGCTGCGCACCCTGTAGGCCTAGCCTTCCAGTCATTTACTTCGCTTTCATAAATCTACTCTTGACAAAAAGCGTGAAGTCGGGCCCTGGCGCACAGGCCTGACCATGTTATTTAAATTGATCTGTTTCCCTCATCCCAGATGTTGATTCGTATTACAACTTGAACCATGGAATCGATAGGCCCCAAAAACAGCCTTCTCTACAAAGACTTTGAAAGTCATCCTGCAGCCGTCGTCAAGTACGGGAGAGGAATCTACCTCGAGACCGAAGATGGGCGAACGATCCTTGATGCGACAAGCGGGGCTGCTGTCGCGTGCTTAGGATATGACAATCGTGAGGTCCAAAAGGCCGTTGCACGTCAATTGAAGGATCTTTCCTACTGTCACCCGGGTTTCTACAAGGCAAAGGTAGCAGAAGACCTGGCTGGGTTCTTAGTCGATTCAACTGATGGCCGGATGTCGAAAGCCATCCTTTGTGGATCAGGTATACACTCCGAGTTATATTTCGCGGACATTTTTAGCGCTCATGATCAATTGCTAATTCTTAAATAAATAAAAACAGGCTCTGAAGCTGTAGAAGTAGCAGTCAAGTTAGCAAAGACTTACTTCGCGCACCTCTCTTCTCCTCAGCCCGAACGTACTCACTTTATCGCAAGAACCGGTGCCTGGCATGGAGCGACCCTTGGAGCCCTCACACTGGGCGATTTCAGAGGACGAAAGGACCCGTTCATGGACTTGATCCCCCAGACAGCATCTAGGGTGTCGGCATGTAGTACCTACCGCGGCTTGCGGAAAGGCGAATCTGTGGAAGCTTATGTATGCCGACTAGCCCAAGAGCTAGATGACGAGTTCCAGAAGATCGGTCCTCACAGAGTATGCGCCTTTGTTGCCGAGACTGTAGGTGGTAGTGTAAGTTGACTCGTCACCGTCCTACCGTGTTATCTTTCGGATATTTCAATGAGTGTAACTAAATTTCGTCATCGAACCAGGCAAGCGGTTGTGCGACACCGGTTCCAGGATATTTTCCAGCAATGAAAGCCGTATGTGCGAAATACGGTGCACTTCTCATCCTTGATGAGGTAATGTGCGGTATGGGGCGTACAGGTACCCTTCATGCCTGGGAACAAGAAGCAATAGTCCCAGATATCCAAACGGTCGGTAAGGGCCTTGGTTCCGGTTACGGCGCAATCTCAGCTGTCCTTGTCAACGCAAATCTCGTCGATTCGTTCAGAGCATCTGGCAAATCATTCGCTCATGGGCAAACTTATATGGCTCATCCTTTAGCGGCTGCTGCAGCTCTGAGAGTTCAACAGGTTATTAAGGAAGAAAACTTGGTGGCGAATGTTAGCAAGATGGGTAGTTATCTCGGGCAAAGACTCAAATCGAGATTATCATCCCATCCTTTCGTCGGGGACATCCGCGGTCGCGGATTGTTCTGGGCAGTGGAGTTTGTAGTTGACAAGCACTCCAAGAAACCTTTCCCAGCAAGTCTAGGATTGAACGGTCGGATGCACGCTCGTGGTATGAAAAAGGGGTATGAAGTTGCTTTGTTCAATGCCAACGGGACATATGATGGTTATGCTGGCGACCACTTTTTGGTTTGTCCACCATATATAGTCTCAGAGGCCGAGGTCGATGATATTGTGGAAAGGGTTTCGAGGGTTATTGAAGATACATTTGCAGAGTTAGTTGAACTAACTCCGAAGGGGCAATATCTGAATGGTGTTCATTAATAATATATATACTATAACCTCTATCGATAACTATCAATCTATATATTCTTCAAGAGAGAGCTAATAGGTTATCAAATTATATGATATGAGTTGAATCGAAATAATTCGTAGATGATAAAGTAATCCACGACATGACATATCGTGCGCCTATATACTATCCAACCGGACACATTCTATAAATGGCGAGAATCCCAAAAACAGACAAGCAATTCATAGACATACCCATATATCAGAAGAGACTATAGTCCTGTAACGTGTAACTGAAAGCGAGATATTAAAATGTCAGTTTTGCGTTGTAATGTGTGGTAAATAGTACTAGTATGATCATATGAGCTGCCATAAGCCGTCTAGGTCAAAGCCATGACCACCACCGCTGGAAAGCTCGAACTTACTTACTTTCACAGCAGTTGATTGGATATTCGTATTACGTATTACCCGGCAGATTCTCGCGCTATTTATTTAAGCAATTGTCGTTCCTGAAAGCGGAGGAATAAAAAGGGTTCAGACGGCCTGCAGCGCGGTCTGGCCAAGTGCACCTTTTGATTCATTCGCTGTCTTCTCTGACACCTCCGTTTGCAATGCAATGCAACCACAGTAGAGTCTTCGATACAGATCTCACCTTCCAGAAATTCCGTGCTTGTGATTGATAGATCTTTACTTACCTTTCTAGATTCTGCAGTCTGATATTCCTTTTTTTTCGTTCGTCTCAATAATCGATTAATCAGTATTCGCTACGCAGCTGAGTTCTATTCTTATCCCAGAAGTCTGGCCTGTTCGTTCATGTAACACCGTTTCCTCTAACGTCAACTGCTTCACCAATCCCGGTTACGGCCACGGCTTACTCTCATCCTCCAATTGCATAGCGTCCATTCCTGCCGACCACGCTTTCATCATCGATCATCTCAGATCATCTCATCCCATTCCTAGTTTTTCGATAGCTGACTATCAGGAGTTTCTAACTCAATCCCCATCCATTCCCCTTTTCCCCGCTTCCTGCGCGCGTGGGGGGTGTACTCTTCGATTCTCGAAGGTTTACCCGCTCAAACCACGTTTCCAACCAATTATCAAATTCTAAACCCACATCCACCGCACGATTCCTAAAATAAAATAAATAAAAAGAGAGAAGTTAAGAGCCATGCGCCGTAGCGCCAGGATCGCTAGCAGCTCGCTCAGGAACGAATCTTCATACACAGATTCCGAATCCGACACTCCTCGCCGAAGCAAGAGGACTCCAAGAACACCCAACAGCCGCCGGTCTGTCTCTCCACGCAAAAAGTCAGTTGCGGCATTTACAGCAATTCCACCGGTTGAAGTCAAGAAGGGGGACGAAGAAGTAGACACGATCGCAACAACAACCGGCGCCGACCTCGGTAACGGAGCTGTTGTCGCCGCCGCCGCCGCCGCGCCAAATCAAAGCAGTATGCATTACTCGGGAGAATCGATATCGAACGGGGATGCCCGAAAATCTGTGGATTCTGAGACAGAATTCTTAAAGAAATCAGAGGAAGGGAGGAGTAGTTACGAGCAGAATGGCCGTGCTAGCTCCGACGGTAATGGCAACATCGACGAGGCCAAATCGGTTGCCTCTGGTGTGCTGCAAGCTACCGTCCCGGAATGGTTCGGTCTAGCAATGATGATTAGTTTGATATTTGGAGGCTGTTGTTCCAACGTCTTTGCATTGGAGGCAATCATCAAGGAAGCGCCGGACTCGGGTCATCTCATTACTTTCGCACAATTCCTGCTGGTATCGATTGAAGGATTTATTGCACACTTCGACTGGAATTCGCCGACATTGCTGGTTAAGAACCAAATCCCAATTCGACGATGGTTGGGTGTTATCATTCTCTTCTTCTCAGTCAGTGTACTAAATAACTGGGCCTTCGAATACAACATCAGCGTCCCGATCCATATAATACTTCGGAGCGGTGGCAGCGTCACGACTATGTTAATCGGCGCCTGTCTAGGCAAGAGATTCAGCAAAGTCCAGATCCTGTCCGTCCTTATCCTCACGGGCGGTATCATCCTCTCTGCTATGAGCAATGCCAAATCAATGGTAATAAATAGACCTCCTTGCCCTATTAACCAGCCTCTGTCCTCTATTCGCTAACAAAACCCCCACTTATAGGGCGAATCCGAGCAATCACTCCCCCGTTTCCTTACCGGCCTCTCGATCCTCTTTGTTTCCCAGATCCTTGCAGCTTTGATGGGCGTTTACATTGAAAACACCTACGCAAAATACGGCTCTAACTGGCGCGAAGGCCTTTTCTACACTCACGCTCTTTCCCTCCCACTCTTCATCCCATTCGCCCAAAGCATCAAACTCCAATTCTACAGATTACACGCCTCAGAACCTCTTCCACTCCCTGAACTTCTCCCTTTCTTCTTCCCGGATAACCTTAAGCAAATTAAAATTCCGAAGCAGCTGTTTTACCTCGGTGCTAACGCCGTGACGCAGTATATCTGTGTCAGAGGCGTTAACTTCCTCGCAGGAATGGCGACGGCATTGACGGTTACTATCGTTCTAAACATCAGAAAGCTTGTCAGTTTGTTATTGAGTATCTGGTTATTTGGGAATCAATTGGGCGGTGGGGTCATCACAGGGGCAACAGTAGTGTTTTTAGGAGCATTTGTGTACGGATTGGAAAGCCAGAGACAAGGAAGAATGAGGAGGGAAGCAGCAGCTAGACGGGAGGCCGAGAGGGCAATTGAGAGAAAGGAGTACACGAATTAGACTATCCGGCGGGGCAGATTGTCTATAAGACCGTGAATTGTTGATTTTCTGTACATAGTAGACTTTTTTTCTTGTGGTGTTTAGAGGGCTGGTGTTTGGGAAGGACTAATTTCCAGTCCTCCGTCTTTTTTGGTTTTAATGATTTTACGAACGATAGACCTATGCAATGGACCGAATGCAATAGAATAGTTTACTCTACCCAGGTCCAGTATCGACGGACTGTCAACCCGTACAGAGTTCTGACCTCCTAAATTCACTCCGCTCCTAAGCGTTAAGATGAAGTCGCTATCAGAGAGCTTACCATAAGTACCTAGGTAATAGGTAAGTACATTACAACAAAAGCAGCAATATGGCGGTTCTAGGAGATACAAGCCAGAACAGAAAAGGTCTCCAGAACCCTTCTTGTGCCGCCGAATCAACTGCCCAATCACAAATTCGCAACGGTTTCATGGTGTAGTTGGTTATCACGCGACCTTAACAATCTCGATCTCGAGATTTGATCGGTCGAGGTCTTGAGTTCGATCCTCAATGAAATCAGCGAGTTTATTCTTTTGTCAGTTTGACCAAGGTTTTTTTTTTTTTTTTTCTGGATCCATTCAATCGGTCGACCGTTTTGGGGTCGTAGACCAGGGTTAATCCTGGTATCGTCGCTAACTCAAACATTGCATTACTTTTCTCGCGAAGCTCGTTATATACGTTAATTATATATATCCTTAAACTTCGAAAACTTTTGAGCAAGAGCTAGCCTGGGGGCCGTTGAGCAAGATACCTCAAATGATCGCCAAAACGTACTAGTAATCACTTCCAGGTCCAGGTATAAGTACTCCGTACTACGAAATGAAGTTGTTATTACGAAATCAACTCTGCGCCTCGATCGCTCGATCACGAATACATGGCACAGTAGAAGTTAACGTTCCAAGTTGCCTACGAAAGAAATATACCGTTCAACATACACCGCTTTCCAGGCACAGAAGAGAACTCGAGAGTTTATGAACAGGATTATTTAATTTTGCTCATTGACACACCCCAGCCCATGACTACTTCAGTAGTCTAGGCACCATATCTACAACTAGGTACAGTGTTCTCATATAACTGTTATAGCGGCACAAAAATATGTTTCTAGCCAACATACATACTAGTACTTGGTATTGCATTTATGCCTTCGACAAATGCCGACATACAAGCGGGTTTGCAATTTGCAATTGAATTGCTGCCGTTGGATTTATGGTAATCCCAAAACTAGGACAGCTTGTGTTCCAAAGCCAACAGATACGTTTCATTTTTAGCTCATGACATGTTCAGCCCAACCATTCGATGATTCGAATTCGTTAACGTTGGTTCTATGAACGGGAACTGGTATGTTAATTTTGTAGTTAAGGTGCATTCATTTTCTATTTGTTCCTGGCCTTAAACTGAGTGAATTATGTATCAGAGGCCGGCGCGCACGAAGTTTCGTGAAGTGTCTGATATAACGGGTGGCTTAGCTAACTTGGGGTTCATGTTAACGTTGGATTGGGTTTGATTTATTATACTACCTATCACATTGAAGTCGAGGTTGCAGTATTGAGATACCCACTTAGTCTCGATCTCGGGTCTAGACGCCAAAGTGGCACGACTATACTGCTCCTCTAGCCTATACGTTGTGTGCATGTGTGATAAACCTGTAGCTGCGAAACTCTATGTAGTGTACATTTACCTATTCGTTATATATTATAGTGGCCCCACGGAAGCCTCTGTCAGCTCTTGAACCTTTTAAACTCGTTTTCACTTGTCATTATCTTTATCTTAGAAGTTCATTTCGAGCCTAGATGCCCGGTGCTTTAAGGCTCATCTATAGAATTTCTAAACATAATTTCATCAACCGACCGTATATCATGAGCTGGTCTTTGAAATTTTTCCCCTGCCGAAGACTATTTTAAGATATATTCCTCCAATTAGGAAGACTTGTCACCTCTTATTTATACTCTAAATTTAATTATTCAGCCATTTAATTAATCGAGGCCTATACTCCCTAAAAAAAATATGAGGCTCCTAATCATCACCCTCACGCTTCTCCACCACGCTTCCGTCACCACCGCAGGGAAATGGGGGAAGTACGGCGATTGGTCTGATTCATTCAAAGCAAGATTCAACTGCGACTGGCAATCCCGAACAGACCATAGAAACCAATTCCCTCCAAACATCATGGGAGACTCCAATGAGCCACCTGGAACCAATCCATTCGCACCCGATGGAGATCCAGGCTACGGCGATATAGCATTTACGGGTCCAGAATGCAAAGTCGGGATTTGGAAAAGAGGAATGAATAATGAACTAGGTCCTTGGGATATGAAAACTTTGAAAGTGATCAAATGGGTAGTACCGGAAGCGCCGTACACCGCTTGTTATCCATTTGGTATTCAGGAGCCTGGTGCTTGTATCAACCTCAGCTTTCCAAACGATGCTTCATCGTTCATTGTTACTGGATACTGCGAATGCGAGTTTTTTGACCAGGATAATTGTGAAGGAGGATTGTTTAAGGCTTTCAACCGTGCTGACGGCTCACTGAAGACCAATGGACCGCATAACGACATGATCAATAGTTACAGATGCTACGAAACAAAACAGTTGGATAGATGGCAAGGTGGACAAGTAAAGTTTTATGCAGGAGGAAAACATGGTCGTGATATGGTGATCGATGAAATCCTACCTACGATGCCGGAGTGGAATGCACTAGGCGGGTTCTCTGGGTGCAGAGTTATGCCGCCAGAAGTTGAGGAAGCAGGAGGCGTCCAGAAAGTCAAACTAAATGGTGTTTCGTGTATGTTTTTTGATAACTGGGGGTGCAAGCATCCGGCTATGTTTTGGGAGGGTTCTATGGGCCGAATTGAGAGATCTAGTGGGCTTGATGGTAAAGTTAGGAGCTATAGGTGTTTTGCTCCTTGGGGGATTGGTTATCATAGGAGAGATGATGGGAGGCTTCCCGAGCCCAATTGATCCCGACATGCATGCCCGAGCTATGGATTCATTCTTTCTGTAACGGTCTCTTATGCGTGATCGATAAAGTTATATATTCATAAACTACTTTTATCCTGATGAGTTAATTTGGAGTCTTGTCTATATCTGCTTTAAGATCAACTTCTGCGGAAGCAGAGCCTCATACCTCAGGTCTTCTAAAAATTAAAAGCTTATCTTTTCGGTATGAAAATGCTGGTCTAACGGACAAGTTCAATATTTTAAATTTTTAAATCACCAATGTGGATCCACAACCTTCAAACCCAAGCTAAAAATACTCCATACATGAACATCCGACTAAGCGCGTACGCGTTCCAGTTATAAAAGAACTAATTTCTAAAATCTGGCAACATTTTAATGTATAATTACTGCCCATACGAGATGACCATAATGACGAGTCGACAGCAGCTCAGCATGATCATATAAATCCCAACTAGTTTGTCGATACATAGCCTCAAGCGTTAATAATCAGAGTATTATTAAAAGCTTTCCTTTTAGGCAGGCGATACATTAACTTCCCACACCGAAAGTTCTGGCATTTGAAAATGTCATCGCCACATCCAAATGCGCAGTTAGAACTATATAACCCGGACTACTCTTTAAAACTCCATACGACTGTTACAATCGTTGGTTATAGGATATGTGCCCCAAAACAATAACATGTAAGCTGCGTAAGCTAACACTCTTGCCACCAACAATATCTATAGATCTACATGGCATTTAATATTCGATGCCTGACAAATTCTTGCTTTAGAGCTCAAACCTAGATAACTTCACTTGCATCTTTCAAGTTAGCAACTGTTGTGATTTAAATCAGAGCACAGCTGCAGGAGCAAGGCCAATGGTGACGCAAGAGCGGTATAGTACTCCGCACTGGTTAGAGGGTTATTTCATGAGCTCATAAATTTGATACTTCTCCAAATAAGGGGTGTTTCAACTTTTGACAACAGCATTAGCTACTGAGGGTTACTATTCAACTGAATTATTAAGATAATGTATTATGTAATTAGGTTGATAAAATATCTGATCTGTGCTACAACTGCAGTCTAGTCAGATATAAACATATGATCCGCTATTGCTACTGCAGTACTACAGTATATACTGTTTTCGCAACTAAATATTCTAAGCATCCCAAAACGAACCTCTGTGCATCTTCGCAACGTAATTGATTCATTGAGTATTTACCCCTGATCTAGTAACTGTGCCAGCTGCAACAGCTCGTGCTTAGGAATGGCAAAGCGACCCGCAAGTGCATATGCAAAGATAAGATAGGGGCCGTTCGAGGTAAAGAGAGTAATGTCTGGAAGTCTCTTCATCTTGGCCTGCTTGTGCACAGAGTAGCACATTTTACGCCCTCTTGTTTCTCATGAATACGCATGTACGGCCGCTTGGATATTCAAAAGGGTTGGGTGCAGGTTATGTTACGAGAGCACCACTTATGCCTATTTTCAACACTCTCGGGATCTTTCTAGTGGAACAATAGGCCTCTTTTAGGTTTCTTTTGGTTATGGTAGTCCTCTTTTCCTGTTCCGGGTACGAGACAAGAATCCTCCTGTTTTACTCTAAATACACTACGCAGAAGACGGTGGCTTGTGGTGAACCATATCTCTAAAATACAGTACCGTCCCAGAAAACCCCAAAATTATAACACCTACGGCTCTAGAAGTACCAATGGTTCTTCTTCTATACTACACAAATCTTTGTCAGGGTTTCCCTTCTGGAACACGGCCCCCTGACCAGCTGAACCCATCGCCTCAAAAAAAAAAAGAGGAAAAAGTCTAAGTGATTATTGGTCTTCGGGATGCAGCTTTCTGTTCATGTATCATACCGGTGACACCGCATTTAATTGATATAGCCTTGCATGCTAGTCAGATATATCCTTCTAAGGACAATGTTAGTTTAGTGTTTCAAAATAGAACAAAAACTAAACTACTTGTCTGTCTGTGATTGGGGCTGGGGGAAAATGAGTGAAAATAATATACGCCCGTGGATAGGATAACCTTGCTGCAGACTCTGGGTGCGCGGTGCACTTAGCTCACTCTTTATGCATCACGTGACATGGAAAGAAATATAGCGGTAAGTTGAAAGTTGAAGATTCCCGGAGTATGGGTGTACTAAATCTGCACTAAATCTAACCAAGTGATCCTTCGATAGCATTCTTATAATTATATGTACAACTATCGCCGAACCAACGGATGACTGGCACCTGTATTACAAATTCCGTGCCAACGTTGACGATGGGATTAATACTGCATTCTCTCTCTTAAGATTTATCTATCGCTCTTTTTATCTCGTTTAATTAGATCGAAAAAATCTTAAACTAATTGAAAGTGGATGTCCATTACGCGTCGACATAAGATATCATGGTATGTACGTAGATATACCCTCCTTGTTCTTAGAACACTAATCCCTGTATTGAGACAGGAAAATCGAAGCGAGCCAGCTTAGTCTTTTATCGCAATGGCTCAAAAAAAATAGTAGCATTATCGTAATGAGAGAAATCACCTAGTGCATCAAATCTCCCGTCAACCGTCTCGATCTCCAGATCCATAACCATCTACCAGATCCGACCCCCACGTTTTTGTGTTGCAAGGGGGATGGATGTTACACAAACCTTAATGAAGGATCCCAAACGGGAGCAAGCAAGTTCACGTCGTACAGACGATCCTTAGGCTCAATCCCAATGAAACATGACTTCAAGCATTAGCTAACCCTGTTCCCGTCCGACTTCCTTCAAGAGAAGCGATTTCTTTTCTTTCCACAACAGCTCAGGATCACTCGTATTCGCTTCAATGCGCATAACTTCAACATCCGATCATCACAAAAAAAAAAAACTGACAGTTCAACGGTCTAGCAGATTCTGCCAGGTGCCTCGTGACATCATTCGACAGATATCCACAATTCAAGCCCACTTCGATCCTGCACAGAAGCGAGGATCTTACTCTCCTCGGAAGTAGAAGCGAGAAAGTAAAGTAAAAAATGAGGACCTTCCCACAGGTTTTTTCTTTCTATCGTCAATTTTTTCCATTTCAATAGCAAACCAAAACACACTTATCGTCCGAACAGCCGGCAAATGTTAGCTGCCTTCGTCTACCGTCTACGAGAATGCCAGGTGATCATATTTCAAATAGGCATGAGCACAAAAAATTTTTCTTTTCTTTTCATCATCCACAATGAAGTGGCATAATCTGAATGAGCACCAAGCCACAAAGGATTTTTTGGGGGCGATTTTTGACAAGTCATCGTCTTTTTCGCACCAAGCCTAAGGGACAAGTTGCAGGAAACCCCGCCGGTTAATGGAACCCAAGCGGTAGCAATAAACGATCTCTTGGGCCTAGGTCTTAAAATAAGCTGGCTTGTAGTAATGGCGATCATTCAGAGCTTGCATGGACGCGTAGGCGAAAGAGAGAGGAAATGGGCTGTCGATGTAGATATGAGCCAGGACCCTTGGGTGATGTTACGCTATCAGAATTCTACCTCCTTCCTCCGTCTGTTGAAGAAAGCGAGCGGGTTCGGCTAATCCGAGACGTGGACTTTGATCGCCCGTTTGGCAGATCCAATTTGATAGTGGGCGAACGCCGCGGGGCGCCGGTTAGAGGAGGAGATTTTGGATCTGGGTTGATTGGTTCAGTGCTATTGGCTGGCTTTCCCCGTTGAGGCCAGGCCTTCATTTTCAAAAAGAAAAATACTGTTGATGTCAACTTACGGCTATTTGAACGGCATGTAGGGCTTACGAAGTCATACAAAAAGAAAGAAAAGAAAGAGTGAAAAAAAACTCCTAAAAGGTCCAAAAAAGACTAAGGCCAGCCTAATAGTCGTGGTATTTTAACTTATTTCGAAAACGAACTGAACCACAATGCAAGCTCTCACAGGTGTGATATCGTTGACCGAAGGAGAGTTTGCGGCATAAAAAACGTTTGGGTATATGGTACCTGTCGATACCCGAAGCAAATATATCCTCGCGTAATCGGAGGCAAGGGATTCAATTACTATCCCAAGACCGTAAAGTTAGTACCTAAAAAGCCATGAAAACCCTTTTTAAAGAGACTGGGTTTCGGATTGAGTGTTTTAGACCATTGGCTTCGCTGCCAATTGGAGAGAATCGGCGCTTGTTGGCAATGCATGCCAGCTGTTTGGACTAGAGAGGGAGGAAAGGCTTCAAAAGTCACCGCTTGAGAGAAAATTCCGATAGTTCGGGGCACCAGAATTGTCCTCCACACGTGAAGATATCGGAAAACTCTGCAGAAGAGCGGAAAGGGAATTGTAAGTGGGAATAGAAAGACGACCCATTGAGTGAGTCTTTTTTTTTCAAGATTGTAAATGCATGGACAAAATTCCTGGAGCTGTAGACATAAAGCCAGGGGATTTAGGAGAAGAGATTTACAGAATAAGAAATGATCAGAAACGAACAGAGACTGCAGTATGATATAGAACCAGTAAAAAAGAGAACTCGCTTGTATTTCCACAGTATAACAGTCAAACTCCGAAAGACAACGATGTAAGTATCATAACCATATGCAAGCCGAAACGTTAATGGCAAATATGCAACCCGGACATTAAAATGGAACTAAGAAACCGAAGTTTAAAGGAAGACCCCCAAAAGAAGATAGAACACCAAAAATATACTTGAAAAGGCGAATTCTAGCTATCGTGTCTTTCTCCCAAAAGAAATTGTTAGTCCAAAACAGGTATTTTCTCGTTGGCATTCCTGCCTAACCGCCATACTATCCCACCACCAAGATGGGCTGCCCGCACCAATGTGCCCCGCTCGCAGGAACTGCCCGTAAAGCTCCTCGTAAAAGTGGCGGCCCAGGTAAACCATCACATTTTGTGCATCCAACTCGCCTCCAGCACCTCCACCTGGTGATAATGGACGTGATATTGGGAATGTTGGCAAAGCAATTCTTGCATTCTTGACTTTATGGTAACCGAGATCCTGCATGAGGTGTAGGATTCTGTCTGATGGTTTAGAGCTGAAGAAGTCGTTCTCCATAGGTGCCAACACTCTGGACTCGATCCAATGCTTGGTGATATTTCCAGCCCTTGTCAATGTCGGATCTATCGTGTGCAACTCCAGCCAGCCTCCCGGCCGTAATATTCGTAAAGATTCCCGTAATACGCTTTCTAATTGTGATGATTTGACAACAGACGAAAGTGTCCTTGTAACAACGACATCAAAATAGTCGTCTGGGAACGGAATGGGTGATGATACTGAGGGGGTGTAAATATGATGATGATTTGAAGGCATGCTGTACAAGTCTTCGGGGTATTCAACGTCTTCCGACGATACGCTGTAAAACGTCGCATTCGGATATTTCGCAGCAAGAACCCAGCCATCCGCAACCGGTCCATGCAGGTGCAAAACCTTCCTTCCATCTTCGGGTCGTGCATGTAACAATGTATCATGTGCAGGGCTCTGCAGTTGTTTCCCAAAAGTCAACCACTGGCATCCTACCAATGCCCACAGTCGTTTTTCAAAGAACTGTATTGGGTCCAGAAGTGCTTCCGGGACATCGGCGAGATGTTCGCATAAGGCGTGTAAACCAGCGTTTTCTTTTTTCTGGAGTTCCAAGAGAAACGGGTCGGGGGGCGGGGGTGGCCGTTCCTTCTTAGCGGCGTGAAGGTCTAGTAAAATCGGGACGGATTCGGAAAGATGTAGCTCGTCTACACGGGGCATTCCATCTGGTCCTATGCAACTATGATCCAAAATAAGAGGTATTTCTGCAGTGCTACTAGTTGCAGAATTCCGCCCGCTGTGTAGTGTTGGAGGTTCCGATATTGTATCGTTTGAAGATACCCTTTTCGACCCGACATCAGTGTCATTATCAATCCATGATAAGCCATCTAGCATCTCGTCCTCTTCCTCGATCGTATGCGTCATAGGATCCAGATCCCAATCAGCATTCTCCCGTGGGCCAAGTGGTTTTTTGTGAACAATAGGCATAGTTTTCGGCAAGGGAGGAATTTCAGGTCGTTTCAAGATGGGAGGCTCCAGGGGGAAGGGGATCATCGCCGTTGGCGATAGCGGACTGAGTGGACTCAGCGGGCTGTCGCATCTACAAGCTAATTTTTAGCACCGATGATCCTCTATCCGTTATTAATCTCATACAATTGGAATATACCTTGGTTCTCTTGCAGCCTGTAGGATCCGCTGCCTGAGTTCTGCTTCGTTCAAAGGAGCTGTAAAACCGTTGCTTGGTGCAGTAGCCGTTTTAGAACTTGTCCGAGCGTTGACTTTGTCTAATCGTAGCCGAAAAGTTCAAGAAACTTCAAGTCAGTATAAATTTTGACCTCCACATTACGGCGGATCGTCGGAGTATTTATCGTGGCACCGTATACTTGGGTATTTTTGGCGTATAGGTTAAGGCCGCCACTGATATAGTCAAGTATAGCCCACGGCTCAGGTACTCCGATCTACCGCACCTTTGGGGGGAAAGCGAACATGCATAAATACATGCTGCGCAAGGAGAAAAAAATCGGGTAGATATACCGAGTTTAGAACTCGGTATGTGCGAGAGAGAAAAACCCCACCTTCTATCCAAGAGCTATCCCTCAGCTGAACACTCCCACTCCTCGACTTAGTACCGCTTAGAAATCCAGGTTTTATCGAAAATGAACTAAATTTTGAAGACGTTGTTGAACCATCACTGTTGACTCGCTCCAAATGTCCCGGACCTATCGAATCGGTTTCGTCGAACATTTGTAACGTCGGTGTGCTTGATCTGCTGCTCGGTTTCCTACCATAGCCAAAGAAATTCCTTGCTAATTGTCGTGCGCTCTCCTTCTCTGGGGATTTTAGGGGTTTTAAGGACGGTCTTCGTGAAGTCGTATTCGAACCAGCTGTCGACTGCGACCCTGTACTATCCCGCTTATCTTCTCTTGATGATGTCGTGCCCGAAACAATCGAGTCTACCGACGAGGTTGAAGCTCCACCTGATGAACCATCTCTATCTCTTGATTTTGGAAACATCTTGGCTGGATCTAATATTCCTCCTTCGCTGATGCTCCAAGGCATGCCGTGAAGCTTAGTGTCGACGAGCTGCTGTATTTCGGAGTCGTCGCAAATTGTAATGTTGTATGCATGTATTGATATTCCCCAGTAAAACGGTTAAAATTCAGGTGACGAAAGGATAAGAAAAGCACGAGGGAAAGGGTCCGTTCTAAAAGTTCTGGGAAAACCGTTCAAGGTAAATAAGTGAAAGTGCAAAAGAAGAAAAGTGTCTTGACACCACTCGGGGCAGCATCCAAGAAGAAATTAGACCAAATAATTCCAACGAGAGGGAAAAGCTTAAAATTGACGTCTCGCTTCGGTCCCAGAGTCAGGCCTTTATCAGTTGCTTACAGAGCCGTGCCATTCATGCGGGAAAAATGTTTGGGATGCGCTCATAATTCCCTAGCATTGAGAGGACATAAGAAGCTGAAGGGATTCCCTTGTTGCGAAAATTTCGGTTTTATTTTAAACTGAAAAAAATTTCTCCTTCGTTCGGGTTCTCCTCAGTTGTCTGATCTGAGGCCGTCCAGCACAGGGTTCGGATCTAGCTCCTTCGAAAACGGCGGTCACCGGGACCTTTTTCTCCAGATATGGGCTGCCCCTTCGCTTTGTTTTTGTTGCGAAAGATGGTGGTGGGTGTGTGATATCTTTGGGACCGCACACGAGAGGAGGTGAATAGCGAAGAGCGCACTGCAGAAGAATGCAAGCTGGCGAAAAGAGGAGAAGCCGCCAAAGACCTTAAGGTGGTGCTGGCTTTTTTTTTTTTTTTTCCTTTTGAATCACTGTGCATTCTATTCCCAAAGAAAAACTTCCAGTTCCAGGGAATAGCTCCAATAGCTAAAGCGAGGAGGCGAGATGCTCTTTGCTCCTGGCGCTGGTCCTCAAACTAATCCGATGAAGGAAATAAGATCTTCCTACCTATTTCCACCAACCAGTTCACCGAAACACTGCGAGACGATACAGATGGTAGCACTGATTGTTCAGGTCTACCGACGGCTGTCCCCGGCGTCAGACATTCCAATAGCGAGAGGAGAATCGAAGGAGGGAGGGAATTTTACGGAATTTGGTGTGGAACCTGTTAACCCGCCGGCGTCCAAAATGGCTAAAGATGGTAGAACATTCAATGACATCTCCTCCAGTCGCTGCTCTTCTCCATTGCATCGACCATGTCGTGGCCCCGGGTGTGCATGTGAGTGCATTCCCTGTCAAGTCCCAAAGCCTTATTTAGAATATTAAGCGACTGGCAGGTGGTGCATAGGGATTGTGGGAAGTTGCAGCGAGAAAGCCGAATAGGTTGTAATCCCAGCCAGTTTTTCATCCTCCCTGGCCTCCCAACCACCATTCAGGCAAAAGAAGCAATGTTTTCGTTCTCCTTGGTGCAGCTCGTGGTCCGAAAAAGATCAGACGCGAGTGTTCATCCCACAAGCGGGGCACGTTTTACCGGCGCAGCTCAGCGAAAGTGATTTCGCTGTTGTGGCCCCATGTTTCCCCCATTGCATTCGTATCCCATCCCGCCATTTGGGGATATAAGTCTCGCTGTTATAGGTGATAACTCAATCAACTTTGACCAAGAGCCTCCTTATCTCTTCGAAGATCGCGCCGTCAACAAAAAAGTTGAGGAGATGACCGAAGCGCCCTTTCCAAGCCAGCCGGGTCAGCAAGCTGCAAACGGGGGGGGGCAATAAACCGACAGTGCATCAGCTGGACACCTCCAATGCAATCCGTCATATTTTCTTGCGATGAGATTATACACCATGGGGAGTCCCGACTGGGTGTTTCCGGCTCTGCCTTCAAAGAACTAAAAGATCTTAAGACAAGGGCCCCAGTCTGTAATGACCGAGCGAATAGACTGGGCGACTGATGTAAAGTAAATTGCGACATTTAATTTCCCATTGGACGCGAAGCAGTATCCGTTCACCGTAATTTTCCTTTCCTCTCACGAGCACGAGGGCATTTGCAACCTAGACTTTTAAGCGTTTCAACAACCTCAGCTAGGGTTCCCTTCTAATCTCAAACGTTAGCCAATCCGACAATTTAACGTCTTTAATTAGCAATAACAACAGACCACCAAAAAAAAATTTTGAAGTGTTGGATATACAACGATGGCTAGTGGTCTACTCTACTGTATACAACATCTGAATTTAGAAAGCATCAGTGGTACGATATCCTGATCAGATGCTTAACATTTCGAAACGTTGTAAATAGCAAAGGGGGACAATTTATTCAGAAAAACCCCCCAATTCTGTTCCATGCCCAACCAACAGCCGGGTCAAACTCAGACGAAATACGGAGTACTGGCTAGACACGAACCTGAGCCTAATGGACGATGCGGGTGAGCAGGGCGCACCCACGTTTCTCGTCTCCGTTGTAACTTTACATGAGACTCGCAACAGCTGTACAGCAATCAGGCCGCCGCATCAGCCTGGCTTTTTGGCTTGTGGCAAAATCGATCGGACACATGTCTTGACTAGGGAGTTCGATATGCAGCGGCATAGTTTTGAACCTTCGTGGATTGTAGGAGATATATCAGATCCTATCTGAATCAGATGTTAACGTCTCGACGTTATGCCGAATGGAAGAAAAATCTGTCAGCATCTGATCCCCAAATTGAAACGTCAGCCTGATAGCTAGGTGTAAAGTGCCCGTAGGCAGTCGGACGGAGATAGAGGACGCCGACTACGGTTGTGGCGCCGTAACATTGAGGCATCCAAGGAGCCAAGTTTGAAAGAGCTGAATCGATGCATGTGTGATGTTGGCGTTCGGGGCCGCAATTGAACCAGAAAGAAGTTTTTGAAAAAAAAATTCGAGAACAGTTAATTGATTGATCACCTGGAATTTACTATGTAGACTGACGCCGGACTATATACGACTCTCAATTCTCTACCTCGCTCGTACAAATCCCTTCCTGACAAGTCCCGAACACTGCATTTGGAGGTAGCAAATATCAACAACAACAGAATACCTATCACGAGGTTTGTCCCTGCGTTCGCTGATCTCAACGAGGGCATATTCCGAATCCTCAACTGTTTCACAACCACGGCTGATACTCCATCTGAGAAAAGGCCCGAGCACTACTAACTTCTCTCTAGATTTAGCTAAATCCGGTTCTCAGGATTCAGAGGAGAGTTTACCGTGTTGATACATAGGTAGTACATGTACTTACCTACGTAGGCCCACCATATCTTGAATTCAGTGTAAACCCAAATATCTTCACTTAGCGAGTGAACTGTCGACATATTTCGGCCACTGAATATACATATAAGTACAGAATTATGTAGTTATCCGACATACCACGGGTATAGGGTGTATATAAACTTTTATATGCATTGTTACCAGGAACAGGCTTTAGAGATCGCACTAACAAAAGTCTGCCTTGCTTGGTTAACCACGTCAGATTGCTTAAGCTGCGTCTTATAGGCACAGATCATACCTGTAGCCCGCATGCAAGATGAACTAGCTTTGCCGGGAAATATTCTTTTGACGTACTGGGATACCGATGTTTACTAAAAGATGGTGGAAATTATATTTCAAGCAAACAGCCCGTCGGCCGTTGAATATCTTCAGCGTAATATATCTTATACGATAATACTATAATATGGTTTATAATATCCTCAGCTGATCGGACAAGCATTATCGCTTGATCTTGTAGTTATTGAAGATTATTAGCTTCGGAATTGAGATTAAAAGCTACCTAGTTTAGCCTAGGACCCACATTTCTATAAAATCCGAAAACTGTACTGGACTGAAGCCTAGTTGAACTCCGCTCTACAAACGATTTATAAAAGAGTAAATACTACATAGAAGATTCGCCTAGATCGTAACGACGTTATACAATGGAGATGGTAATAAGAGCAAGCATTCTTTTAGACGGCCCCGCCTTCTTACTATGTACCTTCCCCCGCTCATTCATGGGTACGTATTGATTCAACCTCCCCAATTGTTTAAACTCAAAATGAAATTGGAAAAAAAACAAGATTACCACCCTTTTTGTGTATGCATGGCCTAGAGTCGAAAGCTGAAGAGGCCCCATACTCATATCATAAATCTTAAGAGAAAAAGAAGAAAAGAGGAAAAGAACGGATGCACTTTTGATGAGAGGAGTAAGAAAATAAAAATAAAGGAAAAGGGTAACAAAGCAGAAAAGAAAGAATATGCCAGATAGCCAACTCTCAAATCCATAAACCAAGAAAGAAAGAAAGAAGAAGAAAGCTTTGTCCCTATCCATTTTATACACGAAAGGATGCCAATCAAACGGGGAATAAAAGAATTAGAAAAATAGGAATAAGGGCGTAAAAGTCCCTCCCAAGGTAAGTAAACCCTTCTAGCCCATCTATACAATTCAGCTCTGTGCGCTTATCACCATTCGCCATCACCCTTGTTAAACCTCAGCTCTACAAAACCTCGCTGATAATCTTAGCTGCCTCCTTGTATGTCGACAACAACCTCTCGCATTTAGTACGTTCACTCTTAATGTTATCATCCTCGTAAAGTAGGTCTTCAAAGAACTCTTCACGGTACAACTCTGAGACCAATCTGTTCTGGACCACGTCCTTGCTGTGGTTGACGAGCAGATGCATAATAGCTTTCGGTACTTGGTCCGCAATCATTTCGCGAACAATATTGAAATAAGATGAGATAAGCCTACGGATCAATTCCGTTTCCATTTGCTCTCGCTCGGAAAGAGCGGGTTCCTCCTAAGGTCATATATTAGCTTGAAGTTATAACGATGCGTACTTGTGAATCAACTTACAAATGTTGGAGGTGCATCGTAGTCCGGAATCATTTGTGGGGGCGGTGGGGCTGCGAATGCTGAAGGCATAGGAGGAGCAACTGCAATATGCTGTGGCATCATAACATTGTTCGCCTCCTGTTGCCTCATAGCTTGTGCAAGCCCGCTAGGCGTTGCGTTTCGAGCTGGCATTCCTACCATAGCGGCAGCGGGTCCTGGGATCTGATCTTTATTCCCGAAGAAGTAGGTAAGGAAAGAGTCTTTCTGACCCAAGCTTCCAGCATGTGATGCAGTTGATGGGGATCTAGGTCGGCTATGTGACCTTGCAAGGTTGGTTATAGATTCCATCTGTTGTGCAACTGGGGAAATTCCTCTATTTGCAGCATCAACACCGTTAACTTCTTCGAGCTCGGGCGAATCAGCTCCGTTGACAGAAGGTGCTAATAGCGAGTTTGGCTACATATATTTATGAGTTAACGAGTCGGTTTTCTCAACATGATTAAAGGTTCGGCATGAACCCGAAAGCACGGCAGACTCACCCTTCTCTTATCAGCGACTCTCTTCTCTCTTCGGGCCACAATAGCAGCCGATTTTTCCTTTTCTTGCTTGCTCGAAATTACCGAAGACATAGCTCCGGCAGCTCCGAGGAAGTTGGGGTGGTTTGTATTAATGTATGCTCGTTGTATCGCGATCAAGCTCTCAACATATGTTGATGCTGGGCCAAGTCTCTCCCTCAGCAAGTCCGAAACCACCTCAATCAACTTAGCCTGTAGCCGTGGGAATCTGGAGAGTTCATTGCTACCACAAGTGTGGCAAATCTTGATTAATTCCTCATACACCAGCTCTACACATCTCTGACTTGGCCCCTCTAATAGCCTAATCTGTGGTTTCACCAACAGGTCGAACGCAAGTTCCGGTACGAAAAGAGACGGGCGGGGACCGGTAGAGTTTCGAATAGCAGTTCTGATATCCCAAGCGGTGAGATTCATCGTAGGGTCTATCGATTCTAGAGAACCACCAAACACATTGTTGAAGATGTAATAGATTCGGGCGCCACCACAAAGCTCCTTAGTCGAGATTTCGGACGAGGTACCGTCGATGGAAGATATAAAGCTTCCAGCGAATTTAGTCATCAATTGTAAAATTAAGGAGCCCTACAATCGATTAGATATGTTATCTCGGTAAACAGAGGGGAGCTCTCTTCATACCCTGTGCTCCTTCCCGCTAAAATGCATGTCTCCATACGAAGCGAGTTCCTGCTGTGTCTGACCCATGAGTGTGTTCAATCGAGCTTTAATGTCCGGAAGCCTTTCCCTAATGTGACCCATGAGAGTCTTTACCGACCCGTTAGCAAACTTATAAGTACAACCCCCTTGAGGGGGAAGGCTGGGCATTCCACATCCATACAGTATTGAGGGACTTCGCCAAAAACTGCGTTCCACATCTATGCGCCATATTTCTGTAGGCAGGATGATGTCTAAAGAATTCTTGTTCGGCTGCCAAGGCGTCTTGCAAGCTCTTGTTGCCATTGATATCCTGCTGACTTCGGTTCACGACACCAATAAAACCGAGCTTTAGGGGATAAACGCGACCTGAAAGAATATCGAGGGCATTCGTGCCATGGTCCATAAGGTCGAGTTTTGTAAGGACACCAATTGTTCGTTTTCCCTGGGCATCGACCTGTCGCGATAGCTTGAGGGCCTCGGAGTTGACAAGATCGACATTGGCGGGACTGACGGCAAGGATAATACTGCATTTCGAAGCCAATTAGACATCAGTCGTTTAATTCCGAGGACAGAAGCCACCAACCTGTTTGGTTTTGCAATATATTCTAAAATCAAGCTTCTGGTCTGCTTTTCGATATCGGTGGGCTGGTCACCAATTGGCACCTTGGTAAGACCGGGCAGATCCACCAACGTCAAACTAAGAACATGAGGCGAATAAATCTTCAAATTAATCGGCTGTCTATTAATTCCCTTGTTGTTTCCTGCTATTCTAGCCGTTTCGTTTTCGATCTCCTTTCGCACTTCAGTGAAGTCGTAGTACTGACGACCGGGTATATGGTGGAATTCAGCCCTGTGAGCATACACGTATTAGAAACAAGCCTCAGATATCAAATATAGAGAGCATATATAAGCGCACCATTCTCGTTGACTGGACACTGCCGATGGGGTATGCGGCTCAATGAGCTCATCGGTGGGGACATTGATGAGCTGGAGGACCAACGGTCTACGGGTGACAATGCCGGAACCACGGGGTAAGAAGTCCCTGCCGACAATGTTCTCCAAGACGGAACTCTTCCCGCTAGACTGACTGCCTACAACGACCTGTAATTGTATCGAGGACCCTCCGTTAATGACGACCACTTCCTAAGCGTATAGTATATATTGAGGATATCCAGTGGCAACGCGGTAATACGAACAATTTGAGGCAAATCCAAAGAATCATTGCCGATGGTATTGAAGACGAGGTCCTATCGGCGAAATGGTTAGCTACGATGATGCTCGTCCGACATGTGCTTGTGATATTTGGCAATAGCCGGACATACCTGTAGCCGATTGACGGTGGTAAGCAACTCTTCTCCCAGAGCTGCCATGTTGCACGAAACACCTCGGTGAGGGAATGGGCGATGCTATTAAATGAGAGTGCTGAGGGGTCGTAGTTTCGAGCGGGGCCGTATAAAATTTTCGGACGCGCTGTGCCAAAGGACGATATCACAAGCCTTCACTTGCAGGAATGCTTTTTTTCTTCTTTTCTTTTAGAAGCTGGTTGGTGAAATCGAAGTCCAAAAGCTGTTCCGCTTGGAGAAAAAAAAGTAGTAGTTTGAGATCAAATCCAAGTAACCGAGAAATTTCGGACCTTCTTCTTCTTCCTTTCGACCTGACCAGACCTCGGACGGTTGAACTTCAACTGTCTACTTCAACTTCAACAACCACAAAACAAGCAGCAACAAGACTCGGATGAGGAGGGGAATATGTCGGCCAGCTCAGAGAGGCGTGTGGCGGATTCAATTCGATCGTCGACCGTTGAAATTTTCAGCGAAGAATATCTAACTTCTGGTTGGAGACTTGCAATATCAAGGGGGACCTAAGCAGACACCCTCCTGCAGCCAGGCCGCTAACGAGCTAACTAAGCAAGCAAGCAAGCGTTACATACAGCATGTCACAGATGTTACCAGACTGCCTGCAGACACGATGTCTCTTTTCTGGTCGTTTTGTTCGTTTTTCTTCGTCCTGGGGGCAGAAGCAGACCCTTGTTTGGTCAAAACCCATTGGTGGTCGCCGGTCGAGCTTACCGACTCTGGACTTCGCGGCAGTAAAAAGCCTCAGGACCTCTCCACTCCGGGCCTAGCACTTGTTCCTGTCGATACTTCTGGGGGCAAGTCCAAGTGCATCTTTTCCAGCAAGGTGAGTTGTCAAATCTACACCGGCTTTGGCACTTATGCAAGTGTGGTGAAGAGAAGCTTTTGCTTTCTTTCTGTTGGTTTGAAGGCAAACGTCAGCCTGACGACATGCGCCACTTCTGCACCAATCTCGGTTCCTGGTTGGTTGGCAAAGCCACATACGTCGAAAACAGCCTGACTTTGATATCGGAATCTCGGTTTCAAAGTGAGGGAGGGGAGCAAGAGGCATTTCGATTTTTTTTGATTTGTTGGGATGCAGCCTTCGGGATTGCGAGGTCTAATTATATCACTTGCATATATACGGACGGGACCGTTGGCGATAATAGTCGAACGGTTCTTTTTTCTTTTCTTTCTTTTCTTTCTAATCGATAATCATACCCCTCTTTTCTCTACCAGTAATTGTATTTACAGATGCTCGCTGAGCAGTCTATATACGTGCCTTCAAAAATATTTCGTAAACTCCCCCGCTTTCTTACAGATTTATGACCACTGTGTATAACCAAAATCCTTCGCATGTTCCGTAAGGTACTCGAAACCAGTAGTATCCTGTCTGCCTTCTTCTGGGTGCCTCTCGGCAAGCACTCGGCAAGCACTCTCAAACGCATCGATATCCACATACCCACCAGTCAATCTCCTCTTCCCACTCTGCGCATCAAAGCCCTTCCTAGCGTGCAGAACCCTCCTATTAAAGAACACCACACAATCTCCTTCCTTTAGCAGATACTCATACTGATTCGCCGGGTTTTCAAACTGATCATTCAATTGTCCCATTCCCTTCAAGAATTTCCTCCAATGTGTACTCTTTGATACCATCGCACCAGTATTATCCATTGTGAACGGAGCTTGGAATGGCGGTGCCCAGTTAATGTGGTCAATACCAAGCTGGGGGTGATAATTTTCGCTTGGGTTCTTCATTACGACGATTGGTCGAGAGAATCTGTAGTGCTTCGCATCATTGTGATAATGGAAGTTCACCGGGAACCGAGTGAGTGTATCAAAAACTGTCGGAGATGTAGCTTGGATCATGAATGCCGCACGCATCGCATCTGCGAAGTACGACTCGCCACCAGTAACCGTGTTTTCTACACAATGTAGGAATTGAAGCCCGGGTGGTGATTCAAAGTATAGTAGATCCATATGTAAGCCAAGGTCCAAGCTCGTATACCTGGTAGCCTCTGTTAGTTCGGTAATATCATTCTCTGTAACAATGAAAGAACACCTACGCAATGTTCTTTGATTTTGGAATCGATTTGACCGTCCATGTATCTCCATAAAACGTCCTCTTCAGGTTACCAATCCTCTCCGCGAGCCCAGGCACTTGATCGACCTCTCTTCCATCAGGTACGTTTCTGATAAAGATCAATCCGTAGAAACTCAGGTGCCTCAGAGCTTTCGCAAGTGCAACTTCATTCTTCATATAATCCTCATACTCGATCCAAAAAACTTCCTTCTCCATGATTTTCTTATCCCAATAAATCCTCCTAAAATCCGACATGTTGGATTTGACAGATGCAATCGGAGTCGCAGAGTTTTTCAAGAATTCACCACTGTAGAAACTCCAGTGGTAATCGCTCTTTAAATTCTCTGGGACGGCGCTTTTAGTAAGCCGGTGACTCCATTCGATCTTGAGTCTTCCATCTGATACTCTCGCCCGACGAGGGTAGATGTCAGTTGGTATATCAGAGGTGGTGAAAAGCTTCTGCTGCGTAGAAGGGTCGACGCAGGTACTACAGGTGCAAGCATCGCGAAGGAAGACATTGTCGAAAACGAAAGGCTGGCCGTCGATATTAACTTTAAGGGTTTTAGTAGGAGGAAGTTCTCCATGAGGGAGGATATCCTTGAACTGGAAGACAGGAATTTCCAATGCAACAGCTTTCGGATCACTTGCTACAGTGGACAGCTGCCTTGTTGGAAAGCTGAAGTTGCTCGGTTGAAGTTTAATTGCATTCCTCGGGTTCGGGTTCGGAGTTCTGCATGGTTGTGACAGGGCCCGGGACGATAGACATCGTCTTGAGGCTGAAGATACCCGTGTCGACGTCGTGAACGAAGCCCTGCTTCCATTCGTACAGCGGATCGCAGAACGAAGTGTAGATGCCATCGTGAAAGGTTTCGTTGAACGCGAAACGCTCAAAAACTTTGAATTCAATGTGCAGAAAAAAGCGACCAATCACCAGAGGTCGTCTAGAAACTCTGAATGTGGTACCGAGGTTCTGAGTTTTAGTGCACTTTAGCTATTTGAAGCCTGTCCAATGCGGCGTCGTTCAATTGGACTGCATTGGAGCAAAATTGAAGCCGAACCATCGACAATATATCTTCCCCAGATTATCGTCCCTCATCTTCCCCGCATTCGACGCCATCGGAAGGGTTCTTGGGCTGGACCCTTCTCGTATCAGGTCATGTCGGACTCTATCCTTTCACCCAGCGGTCGAATCCCGTAGCTCACATCGAGACCCGAAATCCCCTGTCCCGGCGGCAGGTCCCAAAACAAAAAACAACGGGTCTAGCAACACACAACACAACACAATCGAATTCTGAATCTGGTACAATCTAGACGATGCTGGTCTCGTAAACCAGACAACACACGGAGTCCACGCGACGATGCAGTGACATGACCCCGTCAATACTACAGGCCAGGGCGTGATAGCGGGTTCGGTACCTCGTGCGCATATAAAAGCGGCCTTCTGGTCTACCTTATCTACTATTATTATCATTATCGCGGCTGCTTTCTATGTGAAGGAATTACTAATTATTTCCACCCTTGACTACATTACCTTGCTTCCAAACTTAAATAAGCTTGTGGCTATGAACTGCGCCATGTTGGCCCTGGCCCCGCAGATTGGATGCTTGTTCGAAACTTGCGGCACAGCATATATGTGCACAACCAGGAAAGTTATATCATGCATGGGCTGAACGGCTGAGATCCGAATAGAGCCTCAATCTCCTATCATCCCAAGGCGTGCTCGTGCAGATATAAGTACTTGTGCGGCACGGAAGCTGTACTGGCCATGCTAGTGCCACTGCATATTTGTATTACAATAGCTGAACAAAGGATCCTACGAATATAATATAAAGATCTGAAGAGCCGGCTCATAGATTTGATGTATAATATACAGCCATATCTACAAAACATATTTACTTTCAATATACTTCTCTTCAAACTAGTACTCTCAGGTCAATTCTTCTCCTACCTATTAGAAGACATATCAGTATATTTCCTTGCTGGACGGTTCACAAACTAGTACCCAATTTTGTAATACACCCTCAAAGGAGGAGAATATTTATATAAAATGACACACGAGATCGCCTTTACAGAAAGCATCAGAAAGACAATTACGGCCTTTGACTTCGAGCCCAATGGATACTGGAGCTTCCACGATTACACAGGGAACGGAACCGCAGACCTTATATACATCAAAACTAAAGAGACCGGATCCGGGTGTGTCGAAATCCACGTCGCCTCGAGCGAATCCAACTATGAAGAATTCGCTCTCCAGATCCCCACCGTATTCGAGATCGAAAGCGAGCCCCCGGAAAACGGGACTTTTGTGATGGGACACTTCGCCGGTGATCCCAAACCAGATTTAATCTTTATCAAAACCAAAAACACTGGAACGCACTGTGTAGAGGTCCACGTCGCCAGTGCTGCCTCAGACTATCAAGAATACTACCTACAGACTCCATCTGTCTTCGCAGAAACGGGTGCCAATCTTGGAACATGGACTATGGCCGACTTTAACGGTGATGGATCTCTTGATCTCATATACATCAGAACTCGTAGTATCATGTCGGGCTGTCCCGTAATCTGGGTTGCCGGTGGATTCAGCGACTTTCAGAAAAAGATATACGACCGGCAAATGGGTGTACAAGCGCCTACTACTGGCCGCTGGACCTTCACTAGGAATATGATAAGCAAGAAGCTCGATTTCGTTTGGGTGAATACTGGGTTCACAGCATCTGGGAAAGTGGAGGTTTTTGTACTCCCCGGTTCAAACGGTTATCAACGATGGGGTACTGCATTCCAGTCCACTTTCGACACAAATTACTATAATGATCCTATTTCTAGTGTAATGGTCGCAAAGTATACCGAGGATTCTCCATTCTGTCTTGTGCAGGTCAAATGGGGGGATACTACCTTCATGACAACAGAGCTGGAGGTTCTTAAAGTATGGGGCCACGGCGCGCAACCGGACGAATGGATATGAAACCTTTCTAGATGTACACACTGAGTCAATGTTAGTGTGATTCATCTTTTGGACCAGTTCAGTTATGGGTAGCATAATGAGTGGCGTTTACGATTCAATGGCGTTCATGGACAGTACATTGTCATGTATATAACTAATTTCCTATTGACTTGGTAGTATATCATTCCTTGTTCATCTTAGCGATTGTTATTCAATCAATTCAGACTTTTAATATATTTTTCACTATCCCTATACCATATCCCCAACTTCAGCGCCACCATAAATGCAAAGTATACTGGTATGCTGCAAATTCTCAGAAATCCAAATCAATCAGATGCGCTCGATGAAATCACTACCACTTGAAAACGAAATGCAAATACATAAATGCCATGCTACTACAAATTCGAATTTGCGTTAGAAAATCTCGCCGACTTCTTTCTTCATCCGTTTCGCCATTCTACTTTGCGTCTGCAAAATTTTTGATGTCTAGTTTAGACATGCTCGCATTTCCAAAACCGATCCATCCCTTAAATTCATCTGCAAACTTGACGGCAGCCTTCAAATACATATTGTAGGTTTTATCCTTAGGTTCGCCGGCCCCAAAGAGTTTCTCGAATTCTTGTAAAGATCGTAGAACTACAGTATCGTCCGAAGTTAGCCTTCTCTTCACCCAAAGCATGGATTTAAACGAAATTAACACTCACTCTTAACATAATGCGCATCATACTTATACTCCCCTTCCAATGCCTTCTTCCTAATATACTCCCAATCCTTATTTCCGATATCATAGTCCTCAATAAACCAGTCCTTGATCGTAGGTTTGCATTGCGACAAGTAAACTTGGGACATAAGGACCATATGAGCTCTAACCAAATGCCACGTCTGTAGCGTATCCACATGTGGAAGAATGATCCTCAAGGCATGCGCAGTAGTCACCGCATGTGCCAAAAAGAAATCATACTGCGGATCCGCAACTTTGTGAGATGTAGCGAACAACATAACTGATGCTTCAACCTGCTTCTGGAATGCGGTTAACAACGCAGCCTTTTCCTTCTCAATTACGTAAGTATAGAATGCAAAATAAGGTGGGTCATCGATAATTTTTTCGGGATCACCCATCCCATTTTTGGAGCAGATATCATCATAGTCACGGTTGTCGAAGAGTTTGTCCAGAATTTCACGGATGTCGGCGGTGCTAATGAATGGGAGTGGGGGGTATGGATCGTCGACTAATTCGTGGACCTTTTTGTAGGAGCCAGCAGCCATGGCGAGAGCTTCCATTGCTATGCCTTTGTCTTCAAGCTCGAGGGCGTATCCGAGATGAATGAGGGGGTGGCCGACTATATCTTATTATCAGCATACCAACTAAACTTGGAAAATCGACGTATAAGGTATTTGAAACATACTTCCTTCAGTAAGGCCGTACAGCAGCTGGTGGTTATCCCACTCTTCGGCTCCATCGTCAACTTGTTTGTCCGTCAAGAAGTGCCAAAGTGTAGCTTTCCAATCATGACCTCGTTGTTCCATTTCATCTTCAAAGAAATTGAGGTAGGCTCGTTGGTATCTGGTTCGAATTAGCAAATATCTATAAAATTGAACTGTCAGGCGGGAATGAAATACCTCTTGTCACCCAAATGGGCCCTCCAATTGTCAGGGTCTATCTCCTCGGGCGAATCCTGCCATTGCTCGAGTTCCTTGGATTCCGCTTCGTAGATGTCATGTAAATGTTCTTTACTCGCACCAAATATGTATGCCGACGCCAAGGCCTAAACATTTAAATATCATAGAGCAATCCATTAGTATACCATTACAAGGCGGTATCTAAAACAGAGTGGGATTTACGAACATAGGGTAAATGGTTGTGGAATTGCAAGTTGTGATAGAAAATCGAATGGTCATGATGATTGAGCTTCAGCAAATGAGTGAATCTCCGATATCTCGGGTCTTCGGACGGATCGGCCGCGACCGTGTCCGCTGGTTTAAAGATTTCCTCTCCCTTGCTAGCAGGACTAGACCACGAAGACCCCATACTGAGGACGATCTGATCTCGTGGATGAAACTTTGGTAATGGGTTCGAATGTTCGACTACAGCGCTCAAGCCTCGGTGGAGGAGTGTCGCTTGGACTAAAAGATTTGGAAGAATGCTTAGATGCATGTTTGGAAGATTATGATTCATAGAAGACCCGATGTAAAGAAAATCTGAAGAAATGTCGAGACAGAATCATACGATTCCCTTCCCCCTCAGATGATTTTTCGACGAGAAAACAACGTACTTAGATTCGGCTCCCTCCGCAGAGTGAAGTCGTCATCAATAGATTCTCATACTTCTTACGAGTATTTCGCTTTCTCAGATATAAAGGACTGGGGAATCACGTAAACCGGATCTTTCTGCTGGCTGGACTATACTAATTGGTTCAGAAGCATATACTAACCCCACAACTTTGCATAGATATATGTCTGTGACGTCTCTGAGGAACCCCAATGCTTGTTAGCTTAGGGCGGGTGTTATTGTTGAATCTCAGGCTTCGCTACGATTTGTTGAATGTCGCCGTAACTTGGCGGACTTGCTGGATGTGGAAGTTCTTAAATTAATAAATTGGTTAAATCACCAGATTCGTTTCTTTCTAAAAAAATTCTTTCCCCACAACTTCTCTCCCGAAAGATCATAGCAGCAACGTCGACAATCGATAAGAGGCCTTGATGCCGGATCCGCTGTACTTCTGCGAACTACTCCCGAATATCAAACAGGTTTCCGTTAGTATCGAGAGTAAAGATGGCGAAACACCGACGTCCGTTGGGCTCCATCCCTCAAAGCGTGCCTTGACTGTGAAGTACGGGGCTCGAACCTCTCATATTATGCTACCGACACCAATCGATTCTCCATCGATTACACTCATCCCAGCACAGACATACAGACTCTCAGCATCGCAAACCTATCTTGGATCGGATGAATACGAGTCCCTTTCCGGACCAGTACAAGACCCTTGGGATGCATCGTCTGTATCTCCCGAATGCTCACTCCGTTGTATCGCATGTACTACGACGATTATTCCAGGAGGCCGGATCCAGAAATGGAAGAACCTCCCTTCGGAACATTGGGCTGATATGATGGATCTTTGGCACTGTCACAAACCCCACAATAAGGATGGTAACTCCGAAGGGAGCAGGTATTCTGGTGTAGGGAGGATAGTGGCGGAAAGCACGGTAGGACTTGTGGACCCAATGTATTTCCTTCTTCGAAAAGAAGATTGCGAAAACATTACTTTCAAGGTAAGAAACCATCTCCTAGAATTACATAGACACGAGAGATTGTGTGGACGGCAAGAAGGTGGTCAAGTCATACGGCCTTTACGTATAATATCAATACTTAATATCACCGATACAATCGTCCTAGAAGGACCCACCATACCAAGCTTCACATACACCTTAGCTATGGTTCTCGTTCGTCCCTTTCAATATGGATGCTAGAACCCTTTTCGAAGCGGTCCTAGCTGATATTTTGTTTAGGGTGGCGAGTGTCCTCTGGCTTTGGTGGAAGACTTGGGTGGCCGTATCCTGTTTCGCCTCCTATGACTTTGAAATTCGTAGGAGGACCCTATATGATACGGGATATACTTTTCATTTTGAATTTTCAAGCAATTTTTTTCCTTGAATAAATGACTGACTTTGAAAATAGCAAACCGGATCCAATGAAGCAGAAACTACAATTTGTCAGGTCTGTGACATCCCACTAGGGATCGTTGATGAAAAAGCGGACGGCATCAGACTCATGAAGTGGTCGCTGTCGCTGGGACTCGGGTCGTTCAAGCAGAACGGCGACGAGATGCTGGATAGTTACACACTCTCTCAGTGGCTATCTGCACATTTGCAGTTTCTTGTCGATAACTCTGGACAACGGAAGTTTCTTATCAAACCTGGTGCGAGTATACTGTCGCAACAGCATTTGGACGGATTCGGGAAACGAATCGAGGAAGGGGGCGGGGGATTACATGTTTGGGTGTTTAATCCGAATACCTTGATCACCAGATCCGAGAAGCCGACACCGGCTCGAGCAGTTAAAGTTTATTACCAAAGGGTTACATCGAAGGAACAAGCAGATGGGCTGGGCGATATCGAGGCTGTGTATTTACCTCAGGCCATATACGACCGATTCGAGAGATTGTTGGAGGAAGGGAATGCGAGCTTGCCGAAGGCGTTACAGACTTGGGCTGGGCTTTGGAATGGAGGATGGTTGGAGAAGTTTTAGCTTTATAAGCGTCTTGATTGACTCCACCGACGCAAGCCCAACGGCTGCTGGGTGAGAATTCAATCGGTGTTCAGTAGCTTTATAATTATGTCAATTTATTTCTCAAGTAAATACCGAATCCCCAAAACTTCACATATTCCACCTGAAATATCCACCGAGCCGCCTGTGCCTAAAACTAGAATTATCTGATACCGAAAACACCCAGGGACCACCCTTCCCGGCGTCGAGTATCCAGGTAGGCGTTTTCAAATATTGATTCTGGGCTCGAGACTCGTTCCGAAAACCGGGACCTTAAAGGCAGGATATTGAGGCTCTCGAGAAATAGGATCCCGCACCGGAGCTGCAAGCAACCAAATTCGCAAGTTTAAAGCCCCCACCGGGCAGACCAGTTGTCTCGTAGACTGAGTATCATTCCAGGGAAAGGAGAACCCGCCGCTTCTAGAATTCCAGAAAATTTAACCTTAAGTTACAACCCGCTAGGTAAACTCGCTGCCTCGCTAGTTGGAAAGATGTGCTTGGATGCAGCCGTGAGAAGTCTGAGTTTGATCGAGGGTTATAAATTTAAAATGAAAGGCCCAACACTCCCTACACTCCACCGTTCGTTAATTTTTACACTTGATTGTAGTTGAAGAGTGTAAATAACTTATATTTCCGATCAAGATCATTTTATAAATTTATTATTGGCATATACTGATTTTAGGTTGTCGTGATTATTTTCATCTCAAAAGTCGAGGTTTAGGTACTAAGGTTCAATTATCATTCCATGCAAGTACGGCCATAATCCCTACACTTCGTAGTGCTCGGTTCTGCTGCAAAACTCACCTCCAAAATTTAGTGCTTCCAACTACGTCCCATCTCCCACCACCCCTCCAATCACACGACAATCATTGTCCGGACCCTCAATCCCACTCCATTCGTGGAGGCGACCCTCAATCCCTCCCCTCCGTCCTTCCATCCTCCAAGATGGGTATCGACCTCACCCTTTCCCGGGTCATCAGGCTGATCCCTTCTTCCAGTCTCGCGTGGCGAGCACTCCATGTCGCGGGCACCAATGGCAAGGGTTCCGTTTGCGCATATCTCTCTTCCGCCTTGACTTCCAGCGGCATCCGGACCGGCCGATTCACATCACCACATTTGGTCGATAGATGGGATTCTATTGCCCTCAATGACAAGACAATCGACTCGACACTCTTCCACGAAACCGAGGCCCTCGTTAAAAAACGGAATCAGGATGGAAATATTGGAGCTACGGAGTTTGAGCTTTTGACTGCGACCGCTTTTGAGATTTTTAGCAAGGAAAAGGTGGAGCTAGCTGTTGTCGAGGTCGGGCTTGGAGGGAGACTCGATGCGACAAATCTTATCAAAGATCCGCTCGTTACGGTTTTGACGAAGGTTGGGATGGATCATGTTGAATTCCTAGGAGATACGGTTGAAAAGATCGCAAGGGAGAAAGCTGGGATCATGAAGCCTGGTGCACCTTGTGTGGTAGATGCTTCCAATGTTGAGGGTGTCCTGAATGTTATCAATGAAGTGAAGGAAGAAGTTGGTGCTGGCGAGGTTATCCTTGCCGCCCCAGAGGTTGACGACGTTGAAGATGTCCCTCCTAGTGGTGATGCTCCGGCCCCCCTGCCAACCACGACCCCAAGTCCCGTCAAGATCAAGACACCAATATTTGGATTACAGTCTTACGCTCCTTCGTTACTTGGAAAATATCAGCACTCAAACCTCGCCTGTGCTATTCACGCACTCTCGGTAGCTGCAAAGACATACCCACATATTACAGCCGAAACAGTCAAGAAGGGTGTATCGGAAGCCAAGAATCCTGGAAGACTACAATGGATTACGGTTAAGTCGTCGATAGGCAAGAAGCAGGAGATGATCATCGATGGTGCACACAATTCCGAGGCAGCCGTAGCTCTCGGGCAGTTTGTGGACGAGAACCTAAGGGCAAGGATTCAACAGCGAAACGTCACCTGGGTTGTTGGTATCAGCCATGGCAAAGACGTATCGGCTATCCTTGGGGAATTTTTGAAAGAGGGCGACGTCGTCAGCACCGTCGAATTCGGGCCAGTCGATGGAATGCCCTGGGTCAAGGCGGAGGAGTCTGCCCTGGTCGCCAAGGAGGCTGAGAAATTAGTTGGCCCCAAGGGATTAGTAAGAAGCTGGGGATCTGACTTGAAGGGAGCCGTTCAGTGGAGTTGTGAAGTTGGCTGTGAAGGCCCGATTGTGATTGCTGGAAGCTTGTAAGTTCTATCCCCCCCTTCCCGAAGCGATCTGTAAATTCGAACCACTACTGACTCTCAATATAGATATCTTGCTGGTGATGTGACAAGGTTAAGCAAGATCTTGTAAATACCACCCTATTCAATGGTACCCTTTTCTACTTATTACCGTCAGGATCTCATTTTATTTAATGGTTCTTTCGTGCATGTCTGAGTATTGGCGTTTACGAGCACCTTCCTATGTTTGAAACCATCTCCTCTCACTTGGTTTTGGTTGTATTAAGACCTCACTTTGTATTCGAATTCGTGATTGAGGCTCACCTACACTTATCATCGTCGTCATCATTACCACTACTAACTATCCTGACCCCTTTACTATTACTTCTACCATGGTTGGTACCTCATACTAGCGATAGAACACACCCACGACTAGCCATAGCCTTAGCCCCCCCCAAAACACCCCGATCCGAAAGTATATATGTACATATTTTATCATTCCCCTGTAATAGATCACGAATCGTATCACGCATACGACCGGCCTGAGAAGCTTCGTAACACAGTGGGTCACACGAGCCTACATCGTATATCAGTATCTCGACCTAATCAATCGACCACGTACAACCACCCACCAAACATTAACTTCTAGACAGTGCTCGCTGGCTCTGATTCTAGCTCGAGCCTTTTCACATACATCGAATCGATATATGCAATTCTGTCATCAGGATCTCTCAAATCTCTAAGACAACCGATACACCCAACTAGCAACTCTTGTTTTGTTCTCCCTAGCTTTCTCAGCGCCCACCGATTTAAGAACATTTGGCGTTTCGAAACTAGAGCTAGAACCACCCACCGCTATTTTTACAGACAAAAGGTAACAGATAAATCCAACAGCCGGAGGGAGAGTTGGGGATATGAGACGCCCAGAGTTTGCTTGTAGTGTTATTCAAACTACAGCCGCTTCCGTGCCAGTTAGACGCATTGGAAATTAGAAGGCTACGATACCAAACCCACGAATTCAAACCTTGCGGGGGGTTCAGTGTTACTTAATTACTTTGGCTGCATACATCTAGCCATAATCATCACTTGTTGCCTCGTTTAAGCTCCCAGATTCCTTAAAATACGCCAGTGAGGTGATTTGCTCTTTTCGTGGAGCTGAAGTTTATAATTCTAATTATATTGGGACAACAGGCCTGGTTGGAAGTTGTCGTAATCCAATGGCGCTTGTCTTGCCCTGGTCCTTGCAAACTCCAAGGCTTCAAGAGTATCAGATTGCAACTGCTATAAATATGTGGACACTTTGGCATGAAGTTCGGAGGAGGATAATTTGTAGATATACTTCGATCGTATGCATTGCTCCCTTCTTGAGGAACGTATTCTTTTGCCTCCAAAGCCGCGCAGTCAGTATACATATAGCGCCATAGCACCACGACCATAGTATAATAATATAAGCTAAAGAATTGCCTCGAAAGCAGCCTGCCATCCGCAAAAGGTGTGGCAACAGAGCTGAAGATAACGTTTGCGAGACCCGTGCTAACGTTGCCTCACTGAATACGAATTGGTCTGTTATCAATCAGAGGAGGAGGTTGATGTCAAGGAACCTCTGTTAATCTGAGCGAGGCTGCACTGCGGGCCAAACTGCATTCCGATCCCGCTGTTGACGCACGTAACATAAAACCTTCCATCTTACGGAGGACAGACTTGAGACCAAGTATTCCCTCAGAGTTAAGAAATACTTCGGAATCCTTTTTGTTTTCTTCCTTTCCATTTTATTTCCAAATCCCCTCTTTCTCCCTTTGATTACACGTCGAAAACCGGTGGGTCACGTTCGAAGAGAGGCCGCATCATCATCCTTCGTTTGCTCGCATCTCGAATTCCTATTTGTGGCGTGGGCTGGGCGACAGGCATTACGAACACGACTACCTCTCCAAGCCCGCCTATCGATACCCGTCAACCGTGCACCCCCCAGCACCTAATCCAGCTTCGAGGGGAAACCCATCCGATATCCCATCTCTTCTTCATCATACTTCGGATAAAACCCATCATCACCGAACTATACCACTCTTTCGATATACCAGAATTTAACTCCCCAAAGCTGGCGTCAGGGAGTGCACAACCGTCAAGATGAGGCTGCTGCGAAGCCTACCGTTCCTGGTAGCGCTGTTGGGTGTCACGCCGAACCATGTCGAAGCCGGTGGGAAAGTCACCGTCAAGAAGACGAGTTTTTCGAGTCTACCGCAGGAGTTTTTTTACTTTGAAGATAGTCCCGTAAGCTACCTTATCCGAGAGATCCTTAAAACTCCCGCGTCATCGTTTTTCTCTTTTTGGAGGGGAGAAGCTTTGGTAAGCTTATAGCTAGATGGCTAACGTGGATTCTTCACTGCCGCTGTGATTTTATAGAGTATTTTGAGCTTCGATCAAATGCATGGCACCGTCTACAGATCTGGTGATAGCGGAGCAACCTGGGAAGCCGTATCGGAGGGGAAGGGGAAGGTCATCGACATGTATCAGCACCCGTTCGATAACGCCAAGGCCTATATACTCACACTCAGCGAGAAGCATTTTAAAACCGATGATTATGGCAAGACATGGCAGGAATGGGATTCGATAGATCTTCCAAGTAACCGTCAGATCCCATTACCGGCATTGAACTTCCACGCTGGAAAGGGAAAATCGGATTACATAATTCTGCTAGCACAAGTTTGCGAAGACGGATTCGAATTCGAGCTTGGAGACTGCAAACAAAGGGTTAGATTTGAACCCTATCACCACGGGGAATGATGTTCTAGAGCTAATTGAAGTTATTATATAGGCTTACTACACGAAAGATAACTTCAAGACGAAGCCAATCAAGCTGCTCGAGGACACACATGGCTGCACTTTCGCTCAATCCACGAAACAATTCGATGCTGCCTCGGACGACACTGTTATATGTATCGTTGAGGGCTCGAGTATGTATACTTCGAGCAAGCGTCGCATATATGTCTCCGACAATTACTTCAAAAACGGCCTTGATGGAGGGGTTGAACCAAAATTGGATGGACAGAGCACCTATCAGGGTATTACTGGTGTCGCTGTGGTCCAGAAGTTCGTGATTGTCGCAGTCAAGAGTTCTGGAACTTCTGAGATGGCATTGTAAGATCATCTGTTATAGATTTGGGATATGTTCAGCCACTAACTAGTCGAATAGATTTATCAGCACCAACGCCAAAGATTGGGATAGAGCGGAATTCCCGAGCGACCATGGCAAAGTGGAGGAGGACGCCTATACGATCCTCGAATCCATGCCATCGAGCTTACAAGTTGACGTTTTGACAACAAAGGCAACCCATCCTGTCGGGTCCATGTTTGCTAGTAACTCCAAGGGTACACAGTTCGTCCGAATCTTGCCAAACACAAATCGCAACTCTCGTGGTCTGGTCGATTGGGAACCTATCGCAAACATTGAGGGCATCATTCTCGCAAATATTGTGGCAAACGCAGCTCAGCTGGCAGAGTCTCGTGGAGGTGTCAAGAAGATTACATCTAAAATCTCATTTGACAACGGTAGAACATGGAACGGGCTCAAGGTCGGTAGTGAGGAACTGCATCTTCACTCAGTCTCTGATCTCAACAACCTTGGTCGTGTGTATTCAAGCCCCGCACCCGGTATGGTTATGGGTATCGGAAACACAGGAGAACACCTTTCAGATCCCCTTTCTGGGAACCTTTATGTTTCGGACGATGCCGGATTGTCCTGGACCAAGGCACGAGATGGCCCGCACAAATACGAGTTCGGTGACCAAGGCTCGATTTTTGTTGCCGTCAAAGACGAAAAAACAGATAAAATTGTCTACTCATTGGACCATGGTAAGACCTGGGAGAGCGTCGACCTTGGTATCACAATTACCCCAGTACTTTTGACAACAACACCAGACAGCACCTCTACAAAGTTTACAATGGTTGCAGTCGGACCAGCTGACGACGATAACAAGAGCCGCTACATCTTCTTTTTTGATTTCTCGGATGTTCGCGGCAGAACTTGCAAGGAAGATAAATCTGGAAAAGGAGACTTTGAGAAGTGGTATGCCCGAGTTGACGAGAAGGGAGACCCGGACTGTCTCCTGGGCCACAAGCAGTTCTTCTGGAGAAGAAAGAAGGATGTGGATTGTTTCGTCAACAACTTGTACAAGGAACAGGAGCCCGAACGCGAGGTTTGTAAGTGTACCACGGAGGACTACGAGTGTGATATCAACTTCGTCAGGGAGAAAGGTCAGCCAGGAGATAAGTGTGTGCCTAAGAAACTTAAGTATGATGACAAGGGCAAATGCTCTAAGCCATCGGATACCTTTAAGGGGCCTAGCGGTTACCGTCTTATTCCCGGTGACAGCTGCGATAAGAATGGTGGAGAAGACCTAGAAAAAGAGACAGACCGAACTTGCAGCGAGCGTAAGTCTCCCAATTCTATCAACAATTACAGCCAGTTTCGATTCTAACAATTGTACAGTTTCTACGCCAGCCCCTTCCACCGGCAAGGTCAAGCATACTACGAAGGAGTTCGATGGCGAAACGTATCTCGAACAATTCTACCTTGAGCGTTCGGATACTTCTTCCGGAGATGATGAGGTTTGTAAGCCTGGTACATACTATAGGATATTCATATGACTAATAAAGATACCAATAGACTGTTATCATGCGAAATAGGAAGAGTGTCTGGATAACCTACGACCAAGGAGAGAAATGGGAACAACCTTCCGTCTTCGAAGGCAAAGAAATTGTTGCCATTTACCCTAATCCCTGGAATAAGGACCACGTTTATTTCCTCACTCCAAAGGAAGAGGTCATCTATAGCCGTGACCGCGGGAAGACCTTTAAGACTTTGAAAGCCCCCGGGCCACCTACCGGCTTGAGTGTTGATGTCATAAACTTCCACCCTCTCCGCAAGGACTCCATGATTTGGACCTCCCATAAGGATTGCCCTGGTACTGACTGTCACAATGTTGCCTACTATACCACTGACGGAGGCGATACCTGGAAGAGCTTGCTCAGTTACGTTAGATACTGCCGATGGATCGCTAATTCTTACATGAAGAAGAAGAACGTCCATGACAACATGGTTTTCTGCGAGCGCTACGCCAATGATGATGTCAAGAACGGACTTGAACTTGTTACTAGCGACTCCTTCTTTACTCAACAAAAGGTTGAATTCTCTGGCATCAAGGGCTTTGCGACCATGGAAGAATTTATCAATGTCGCTGTTGTCGATGACAAGAAGAGCACTTTGAAAGTTGTCGCATCTTTGGATGGCAAAACTTTTGCTGATGCTAATTTCCCTCGTGGCTTTGATATCCCTCATCAACACGCCTACACTGTCCTTGAGAGTATCACACATGCGGTCTACCTGCATGTGACAGTGAATGACGCAGCTGGCAAAGAATACGGCGCGATCTTGAAGTCAAATTCTAATGGTACTGACTACATCATGGCTTGCCCCAACGTCAATCGCGATGAACAAGGCTATGTTGACTTCGAGAGGATGCAAGGGCTTGAGGGAGTTGCGCTAGCAAATGTCGTCGTCAATACCAAGGAAGTTGACTCCGGTGCCGCAAAGAAGTACAAAACCAAAATTACTCACAATGACGGTGGCGTCTGGAGTTATATCCCCACTCCCAAAGAGGACTCTAAGGGAGAGCGCTTCTCGTGTAGCTCTAGCGATGTAAGTGGCTGTTTGTCCAAAACCTTGACCCATCGATTTGCTAACACCTCTATAGACTGAGAAATGTTCTTTGAATCTCCATGGATACACTGAGAGAGCTGACAAGCGACATACCTACTCTTCTGCTAGCGCCGTTGGATTGATGTTGGCCGTCGGCAATGTTGGTCCCGAGTTGACACCCATGAAGAACGGCGATACTTTCCTCACAAGAAATGGAGGTATTAGCTGGGTCGAAATCCACAAGGGTTCCTTCATGTGGGAATTCGGTGACCAGGGTTCAATTATTGTAATTGTGAAGCAAAACGAACCTACCAAGTCAGTCCTTTACACCCTTGACGAGGGTGTCAAATGGGAAGAGTACACTTTCAGCGATACATCAGTCAATGTTTTCGATATCTCCAGCGTGCCATCTGATACAAGCAGGAAGTTCATCGTCTGGGCGAAGGAGAACGGTGCCGATAAGTTTACAGCGACGACAATCGACTTCCGTGGATTGACTGACAAGCAATGCATTTTGGACCCCGAAAAACCTGATGACGACGACTTTGAGTACTGGCAATCATCCCATCCACATACAGACGATCACTGTTTGTTCGGTCATCAGTCTCAGTATGCCCGTAAGATTCCTTCGCATTTGTGCTACATTGGACGACGAATCCCTCAACCCCACAAGACATTCGAAAACTGCACTTGCACACGGAATGATTATGAGTGCGATTACAACTACGAAATGGCAAATGACGGCTCTTGCCAGTTGGTTCCCGGGCTCTCGCCCCCAGACCATAGCAAGTCGTGTGCTGAAAATCCGGATCAGTGGGAGTGGTTCGAGGCCACGGGATACAGAAGGATTCCTTTGACTACCTGCAGTAAAGGTGTTAATCTCGATCAATCGGTTTCACATCACTGCCCCGGAAAGGAGGGAGAATGGCATGATCGCAAAGGCGGTGGCATCGGGGCTGTGGGAATTTTCTTCCTTACCCTCCTGTCACTTTGCATGGCTGGTGTTGTCGGATATGTTCTCTTCCAGCGATGGCCTGGCAAGCTTGGGTATGTATATTCTATTATTGATGACCTTTCAGACTATATACTAACGATTATTGTAGTGCTATTCGTCTTGGAGACGACCGGCCACGACAACAGTCGCCGTTTGTCAAGTATCCAGTTATGGCCCTATCTGCGATTGTGGCTGTTATAGCTATTATCCCAAGCGTCGTAGGAGTATTGTACTCGGCTATTGCCTCCAGACTGCAAAGGCGTCCAAGGTACACCACTCGAGGCTCGTTCGCTCGTGGAGACTTTAACAACTACGATAACGTTGAGAATGATGAAGGTGAGCTGTTGGGAGAAGATTCGGACGAGGATGTGTAAACTTTTCTCATGCACAAAAAAAGTTGGATTTTGTGGGGGTTTTTACCAAATTTCGATATCAGCAGGGTTTTTTTTTTAATAAAAAAAAACAAAAGGAACAGTCTGTTTTTATGGAATGTAGCCTTCAGGTGGTACTGGTTTCTGGATGAGTGTTTCTTTCAAGCCTGTACATTCATATTCTTATTTCTGAGGCCGTCTTTTTCTTTTTTCTTTGCCCGGCAGTTGCTTTTGATCTCTTTTCTCTTTTCTCTCTTTCTTTTTTCTATAGTTTTAGGAGATTTATATAGGATTACATTTTTCTTATCAAAAAGGGTTTTCATTCTTTCTTTTACGCCACTGAATCGGCTCTCCGCTTCCTTTTCTTTAGTACTACTCTTAAGAGGAGAATTAAGGTTTAGTTTAACAGGGAGGTGGTCACATGGATTTTGGTCCTAAATTCGTTTTGCTTGATTGTATCATGATCATGATCTTCGTGACTTAAGTACTAAATAAGTAAGTATTTGTGCAGGATATAGATTTTACCACCATGACACGACACCGAGTCCACTCTGATAACATGATCCCTATTGAAAAATCCTTGTTAGTCGGATGAAAGTTTCATCATGTAAATATATGTCATACACATAGATATATTTTAGAACTTACAATTATTTTATAAGGCGGTTTCATATCAGCATCAGCCAACGAATCCCTCAACGCCGGATCCACAGGGGTATTATCAATAAACTCCTCCTCCTCAACTCTAAACCTCACAGATTCATTCTTATCAAAGAACAATTCATCACCGTCTTCCGTCCTCCAGACCCAGACCTGTTCGTTATGATCAAAGACACTGCCTTCGAACAAATAATCCTTGGGTAAGAAGACTTCATCAAAGAAATCGAATCTGACGTGAATACCGTTGGGGGTTGAATTTGCGATTCGACCGGTGATTACTTCGCCTTTGAAGGGTCGGAAGACTATTAGTCGGAATTCGACGTTGATGTTTACGTCCCCTGTGCCGGAACCGATTAGACCGTCGGAGGATTTGAGGATGTCGTAGAGACAGATTACTAGACCGACTTTGTGGATTACTTTGTTTGCGTAGCGGGCGTTGATTTGGTCTTCGAGGGCTTGACGGGTGGTGACGGTGAAGGAGGTGGGTTGGATGGTGACGAGGTCGCTGAGGCGGGTCTTTGTGGGGGGGGTTAGTTAGGTATGCTATCGAGATGGGTTGAGGATAGAGTAGCTTACTAGGATGAACATCTCTTTTTTAACAAAGCAAAGCAAGGTCTTTGATGGGTGAATGATATGGAAGTCTGGTTATTTTTGAGCGACGGTGGTGATGGTGACGGTTCACATTTCTGCGACAGCTTTGTTGAAATTTTGGAGGTTTTTGGCGGGCGGCGCTAGTTAGCTTTGCTCTGTGTGATGGAACCGAGCTTTAAATTTGGGAATGAAGTTTTGACTTTTTTTGGAGCCGCATGGCTGGTAACTTACCACCTGCTGAGCTCAACACCATGATATAAGGCGAAGATGCTTAAAATACTAGGCTAGTAAGCTTTTCGAATAGCTTCAACGGATTGAAATTGTTTTGTTTTTTTTCTATAAAAAAAAAGAAGAAATAGATGTTAAATTACTAGTTAAGACATTTTTACCCCCGCCTACCTTCTAGCTCTCAGCCTCAACCGTGTGGCGCCCGGGATTAAAAGGTTCAAATCTTGTGGCTTGTTAATTCTCCCCCATGGTCCATCCCATGGTTCATCCCATGGTGCCCCAGAGTTCGCGTCTCGTCTAATCTAGCTAATCGACAATTTCCTCCGTTCGGCACGGTATATTAATACCAGCACAGTACTTAATAATAGAAAGTGTCAGAAATACCTCAAGGGTATCCAAAATTGTCTAGGCATATAAGTATAGACCAAACCGTTAGCCTTGCTTGGAGAGGGTTCAAATCTCCCGACGTTATATTAGTGTAGATACGTATGTATCCGCCTTGCTGTCTGGAAGGATATAAGATCTACAAATCCCTAATTTCTTCGAAGCCGGACCCCTATGTATGTATGTAATAGGGCCCTTGAACGTTCAAACCGGAATTAGAACTCCAATCCTAGGACCCCGGTTCTTCGACGTTTCACGATCATCAATCTTCCCTGTTAACTTCGTTGTACTCCGCTGTCGCGCAAAATGAGTGAAAGGATTGTTGTAAATCAGGGTCAACAGTTGGAAGGTATCTTTTGGCGAGAATCATGTATGTATGATTTCGAAAATGAAGTAATTTCATGATCTTACATGATGGTAAAATGGAAACAGTTCAAAAGCTTCCTCCTTTTTTTTTTGGATAATACAGAAACTCGTAAACCGGGTCAGACTATGCAATGTAGCATGTACAGTATGTAAAGCATTGCCCCTCTTTCAAAACTCCGTAGACGGTACAATGCACTGGGGTCTGTGCCTTGCCTTACCTTAGCTGGGGCCCCACAGCCATCGACTAGCTACGGACAGGAACCCTTCTGCATCGCAGCGGCGTTTGGACCTCTTTGGCTGCGTCCGTCCGTGTGAAGGTGGAAAAGGAACGTTACCGAGATTTCTAGCCGCTCTTCGTTTCGAGACATGCATTGGCGAGGGACGGAGAGGTAATCGAATCGAATCGAGTCGAAAATCGCTCGAGCCCTTTTGTCTGTGCTTTTTTACATGCATGTATGCATACATACATACACATGGACGAAGGGGGAAAAAAGCTTACTTTGTTTCTCTTTTTCTCTCCATTAGTCACGATTAATGTTTCTTGTTTTTCTTTCTCGTTTGTAAGGTGGTTGACCCTGACATACGCATACGCATACAGAATGGCCAGATGTGCAGAAACATATTAACATGTTAACATTAAGATAGTGGTGGGTCGGGCATCGATATCGCTATGGATGCTGCACGCCAGCCGTGTCTTTGCTTTGAAATCGGTCCGGAGTTTAAGCTGTTCGGGTTCCTATAGGCTTACTCCTATGCATTGCACATCAGGATCAGTCACCAAGAAAGGAACCTGCCTAGACTCGAGACAGCTAACCTGCATGAAGGGAAACAAGCATGTGGGACTTTTACGAACCTACAGAAAGTGGCTTAACGACTGCTGGTCCCCGTCTCTTGATGTCGTGTCACGATCAAGCCCTCCTATGTAATTGCAATAATCCAACCGCCAAGACGTGTCAAGACCACTATCACAGTTGGGAAGGCGAGACGACAACCTATCTCTGTTCGAGTGCTACGCTCTGCATGAAGTTGACTTTTTGGTCATATGCTTTGACATAAAATCTTTCGTATGCAATTGGCAAAGTTTCAAGTCATAGTCCGTTTGTTTTGAATTTATGGAGATATTTGGCGACCAATCGACAACATTGAATCGTTGGAGACTTCAGAAGCTTAAGGAGAGCAATGCAATGTCAATTCCATCGAGGCTTCGCGTAGTCTATGGTTAAGAGGACTGGCCCCTTCTGGATATGCGTATATACATCATATTTCCGATATTTAAACTGGAACACCACTTAGAATCAAAGAAGACACTGGTGAGTGAGTTTATATGTCACGGGTTTCTAACTGGTCCCGGGATCAATCATTGTTTCCACAAAACAGAAGGCTCCGAGCCTCATACATTGATTAGTTGGTCTGTTTTGGTTGAGGTAATAAAAATACTGCACAGAAATGTCTTCCTTTTCTCCCTCTTTCCTGTGATTTCTTCCTCCCTTCCCCTCCCTCCCTCTCTTCCCTTCCACCACCACCCCATGACATCTTCGATAGCGGGGAGTGTCGGCTAGGAAGTCCAAACTATAAAATCGCGATCCCGATAGGCAGGCAGGTGTAAACGGTGCGGATACTAACTTGAGAAGAAGTCTCCGGCCGTGGGTTCTCTTCCCCGGCGTAATGCCAAAAAGACATGGCAACCATGGCAATACAGACCATGGTATACCAGATCAGTTCTGGAATACAGAAATACCATTGCTTTTGGCCCACCACCCAACGTAACCCGTATACGAACAGGATGAAACATATATAGGCCGCTATGAAGAGGTTGAAGAGCCCTATTCGGATGGGAAATTTGTGAGGTTAGCTACGCGTGCCATTACTTTCTTGTTTAGTCTAATCAAACACTAGATGTATTAGTTACGTGACCTACCTCTCGTGCACTCAGACATCTTTGGAAGACAACTGTGCCCGGTCCAAGTCTCGGTCTCAGACCTGGTACCGGTCATCATAAATCCTTCGTCGATCCATTTCTGGACGACTGAGGGAGGCCGGATACTAAAGATAGAACCGCGGTAATCGGGAAAGCGGCCTCGGTGAGAAACGATGCCAGGAAAGCGTGCCAGATGTTGGTCACGCTACACCATAACTTTGACCGGGGATCGGAAGGGCCGAAAATTGAAGCGGAGGCTGAAGCAACAGGAGGTGAAGCGGTAGATGAAGCAGCAGGTTAAGATGGACGCGATGGAGAGGAACTGGTCGATGGAATAAGAGAGGTAAGAAGGGGAATACTTCTATCGAGGTAATGAGCTCGGCCTTATAAGTTTAGCCCAGTGGCCATGAAATATGTGCATAATAAAAGCCCCAGGCGACAACGTCTATCTCGTAACCAACACGGTCCTTGTTGTATTCTGTCAAAATAAACTTCCCTGGATCTACCTTCCGGTGCGACTGTACAACCAGTCTTGCTCTTAGTCGATCATGGGATTCTTAGTATGATCGAGCCATCAAATACTTCCAGTATTCCTCACTCCTGATTTGCTCTAGCTAGTTGACATCGCCTTTACGGGGCACAAAACTATCAGAGCGAAGGAGGTCATCCAACAGAATATCATAAGAACAGAAGATAATGCGAACACTCGGATGCAATTTCCAGTGAGATCTGGTCTAATCATTCCAGCGAAGGAGGTAAGAAACCATAAAACCGTTAATAAGAGTACTAACAGAGTCATGGATTGGGGTTGGTGTTGGCATTCGCCAGCCATAAAATAAGATAATGCGAAGATACAGAGCACAAGATATTCGAAACTGATCCGCCCGCAAGAATCACAATCCGGGTGGTCCCTATAGATTTAGTATCTAGTTAATTATGGATCCTCCTGATATCGATATCTAGTTGCTTAGCTGCTGGGACATACATATCGAAACACCACCGCCATTCTGTTCTAAAACCAGCGGTTTGTGTTCTACGGTACTTTTCGATTCAAGCACCGGCCTTGGTTCTTCGGTCTCAGTCAAAACACTGCTTTTTGAGGTATCTGTGTCCAAGATATTGGACTTCTCTGCGCCTTGATCAATTATAACCGTCATTTTTATAAGTTTATAAGCGGCAACAACCTATATTATATTCTGTTCGGCCGTTCTTATAGGTATTGATTCGGCCTCGAGCGCTTGTAGATTTGTGGAGGGACTCTTGTCTTGGTTTTTATGCGTGAAGGTTTGATCTAGAAGGGCTTGTAGTAACTCCATGTTCGTTTGAAATATATATGATTTATATTATATGTAAGAGAAAATATAAATAAGTATCTCATAAGAGTTGTCTCATAATAAGAGGTATATATACGGTAAGTATATATTCTTCGCCAAATCGCTTGATCAACATACATGGCAGTAGAAACAACAGCAGCATGCATGCATGAGGGGGAGATATATATCATAATCATGTGATAGAAATGAAGAATTGTCTGTTTACGATAGCCAAGTACAGGGAAAGTTTGAACCTAAGCTCCTAGAGATTAAGATAGATAGTAGGCTTAGAAATCCCCCCGTTTGATCGATAAATACAATCTACGTAGCAGGAGAAGCTACTAGAAGAATCTTACAGCAACTACTATGCGATACTACCTGTTAGACGTTTCACTCAACCAATTTGATTAACCGTAAATGATATGGGCACAGCTTCAATTGAGTAATCACGAATTAAATCACCTGCGGCCTAAATAAGTTTCCTTCCTCTTTTTTTTTTTTCAACAAAAAAAAACCCCAAAAAAGACTTCGAAACGAAGGTCGTTGGAATGTTGGAAATATCGATGGCCAAAAAGAAGTCAAGGGTCGGTTATGTAATTCAGTTTTAGCTATCCAGGGGTATCCCAACGACACATCATCCAGCCCCAGACGCACCCGCTACAGGTTTAGTTCGACTTTTTCCCTGAAAGCGCACACGAGGTAGATTCTGACACGCCGCAGATCGCAAGCCGACTTCATCTTAGTCAAAGAAGAAAATCGAAACAGAGGTTTCTAACCAAACCCGTATAAATGACCTTTGCGCCGTAAACCCGCGTATACATACATTGATATATAACCCCAGTTTGGTAGATTAGACTATCCATGGCCGTCCCCCGGGGTGAACTTTAAATCCTAGAGTATAGCTAGTTGGCGCCTATGTAGGTAGCTCATCTCATCGCAAAGATTGATATTAAAACATGCGTCTTGCAGGTGGTCAGCAAAAAAATAAAAAAAATACTGGCCGTATATTACTCTATATCCCCAAAACAAAAAAAAAACCAAGGAAAAGACCATACATAAGTACATATGCGGGGACGGCACATATCGATTTCTTTCACGCTAGGCAGCGGCGGGATAAAAAACTGAAGAAGCAGCAGCTTCCATCGCATAAAAAAGTTGGGGGCGTAATTTTTTTCTCCCTTGCCATGTGCGAAAGAACGAGTGTGTTAGTATTACTGTGTACTGAGGGAAGAGGGATTATCTGTCCCTAGGCCCTCATGCATAGCCTGAGCTGCATCTGCAGGGTGCGTGAATGTTCTGTCGATTCTCATCGGCCGCGACTGTTCGAAAAAAAAAAGCGCGATTCTTTTACTCATTAGTCAATTCCATGGTCACACCCCGGTTTTTGGTTTTCCCCCAATCGCCTTTGAATCGATCCAAGGATTGGCTGACCGTTAAATCTTTGGTACACACCCGTATTTCACGAGGTGAAAACGTGGCGGGGTGTTGATTGGATCGCGTTCAGGCATTTATTTCTCTTTTTCATTTATTTTATGATATCCCTCAGCCTTTGGGAATGCCTTCTGACCACTATCAAAAAGGGAAAGTATGATTATTTTTTGAAGCTAAGTCCTTTTTCTGAAGAACTTCATCAATTGTGTTCAAATCAAATTGCGCAAGCCTTCCGCGTTCCGAATAGAATTACCGATGTTCGCTGGAAAACCACTGGTTGAAACTGAGACCATTTCCTGCACCAAGTCTTTTGATATCTGTGCCGTCGCGGTAAGCAGATAAGCTTTAAACATCCCATACAAAAGAAATCAAAAAATCTCAAAAAAGTCATGTGAGCAGAGAAAGCCATCCCATGGAAAGGCTCCACTCACACCGATCCCTCCTCTTCAGGAACGAGGCGCTTCGATTGCGAATGAGGATGGAAGTGCCCCTGGGCGTTCAAACTGTGGAGCCCAAGTTGGCAGATGTGGACGAGGGATGAAAGACAAATGCTAGGAACAGGAAGGAGACCTGTGGGACCCCACCATTCCTTCTTTCAGCGACCCACCAGTCTTAGCCTTACGAGATAAGTTGGCCGTTCCTTTCTGTGGTATGTATTTGCACAAGAAGCGGAGTTCGAAATATAAACTACTCCACACTGGAGTCCGAAGTTTCTTCCTCCACCACCCCTTGTCGGTAACGTTAATTGGGACCCAGATGATGATCTCATCCCTCTTTTGGTGACCGGCCAGCAGTGCAAGATTCCTAGATAGGGAATAATATCTTCAGGGGTAATCGAAAGCTCTTTGGAGGAAACCTGTAGCATTCGGGTGGGTAGTTCCGCTGCACCTGCATCCACTTTTATTGAAGAAATCGAGGAAAATCACGGAATATTCTATTCTCCAAGCGAGCAAGCTTGAGCTGAGAGAGAGCATATGTTACCCTTCCGTTTTTTTCCAAAAATATTTCCAGCCTTGATCGAATTCGATTCTTGAGAGAGAGGAAAAGCACTGACCAGGCCCGAATTCAGCTACGAGGCGCTGGGATCATGAGATGCGGTTAAGCTTCTTTTGTCGGTCCAAAAAGCCATTCCTCTCAACAAAGAGCGAAATTAGATTATCGAGAGAAAAACGGCCGGGGCGCGGTACAGACTCCATACCTCTTGAAGACATTGTGTAGTTGCTACAACCATGGACCGAGATTTCGTGCGTAAACGGCCACGGGCACAACGGTCGAACCAAGGGGAACTGATCAGCCCCTCGGTCTCGTAACCAGCCCCCGCTCCAACCGAGCTCGGCCTTAAGATTTTCAATTATCGAAGGATGAAGCTAGACTTTCTGGAGCTATTGATCACTGAGCTGTTCCCAGTAATTGGATAGAGATCCCCTTTTCCCCCCTTCCTCGCTTCCACTGCATTGGAGATGGCCACTTGGAACGATTCCCTCGCCAGTGTCTTGAAGCAAAGAAAAATATCAAGTTGATCTTATGATCAGAGGAACGTAGTGTGCAAGTTTATCAAGTCAGGAACAAGGGTGGTTTTACATGTGGTTGGTGGCATTTGCGGGTAAAATTCGTGGAAGCTAGTGCTGTAATCATATCATCCAGAAAGTGCCCTCTCAACACCAGGAACGGTATCACCGCTACGTACGAGCTTATGGCCAGGTCCTCTTTTTGTTCAGTTTTGATTGAAATTTTTTGGTTTCATTGGATTATTCTTTTCTCTGCCCTCATTGGACAAAGAGTCTGATGTTATTCGCCTTCCCTCCCATACTTGTTCCCCATCCTTACTCATTTTTAGTGAGTGCGAAATTGGATAAGGAACGAAAACCTCTCTATCGAAACTGAAAAGCAAAACTTCAAAAACCCCAGGCTAACTATTTTGACAAAAAAAAAGAATGCATGTGCCGTTGGTATCATGATTTGAGAAAATCAAAAAAAAAAGCTAAAAAGGAAATGCGATGAAATTACAATCAAGATAAGGAAATTAAAGGAAAGAGAAAAATCAACGCTCAATATGCTGTCAGCAAGATGGTTTTGATAGGTACCGGTAAAATCGGAGACCCCACAGATGATATCCAAAGGGAAATGCCATCGTATAATTTCTGGCGATGGTATTGCGAGGGTGAGAGTAAAACGAAAGTCTGGTTGATAAAAAAAAGAAAGAAAGAAAGAAAGAAAGAGAAAACTCCAAGGCACCAGCGAAAATATCAGAAAAAACAAATGGCCTCCCCAAAATAGAAGTGTGATGATAAATGGAAGTTGAGAGGATGTGAAAGGTTTCCGTGATAAGTTTCTGTTTTTTGAAGACAAAGGAAAATCATGATGATGAAATCAACCGAGACCAAAAATGCTCTCAGTGACAAGGTATGTAAGGGTGATGTAGGCGATATATGTTGATCGGGAGTGAAAGAAGCTAGACGTGACTGATCTTCTTCCAGATCTTCTTCCAGCCTTTGGTAGCAGTGTTCTTTTTTGTGGTCCCAACTGCTACGGGGCTGAGAGGCGGGACAGATACGTCAAGTGGTGAGAGTGGGCTATCTGGTGGGCCGAGGGGGCTTCGTAATGGTTGCCAGCCGTATATCTCATCTTCATGTGCTCGAAGGTCCTTGCGAGTCAATGTCATACGTAATGTCATTTCTCGGTTGTCAAGCCTTGAGGGCGGTGGTGGTGGTCCATTGAAACCACGAGAGTTTTGTCGTGAGCTGGACTCAACTCCTCCACTGGTAGCAGGCCGCGGTCGAAGACCGGTATTAAGAACCTTCTCTTCTGGTTCGTCTGTAACTATAGAAACAGTCTCGACGACCTCAGACTTCTTGGTGGAGGCATCATTGGCCAAAGATGGGAACCCAAATTCTATGGCCTCGTCGAAGTTCTGTGGCGATGCAAGATACAATCGTAGCTTATGTCGGGCATCGGGATCTTGCCAAAATGTTGCATCGTGTTCGAGCCCAGTCCCCGCAAGCGATCTTTGCATGGAATCATAAGAAAGAGAATGTGAATGTGAGTGTGAACGGGTTGTCGGAGTGGATGCAGTAAAGACAAATCCTGTGAATGACGAGCGAGATTGTCTGAAGTTCTTGGTCAAAGACATAGACCTTCGCATAAGACGTCGGGATGTCATGTCGACAGGGGCAGGAGCCGCCTTCATGGGGATAGGTTCGAAGTTCTGCATTGGAAGGGCGAGTGAAGAGAAATCGGTTTTCGTATCCTCCAAAGAGCTCGACCTGGTCGAAGGCCTGTCAAGAAAGTCGATATACTTGTACGATTGGTCGAAATGTGAATTCTCCCTTTCAATAGTAGCCTCGTAGATATTAATAGATGCAGACGAGTGACTTGTCAGAGTTGTTAGACTCCTGTTGGCATAACGTGGCGGTAAAAGGTATATTGTTCGATCAGCGACAGCATCAGGGAAGAGCTCCTGGCATCGTCGTTGTAATATATTGCGTTCCTCCTTGGAGAAATATTTCCTCTTGATCGAGTCCGGTAATCTCATATACCATAAAGCATCGGATTCAGCCAGCAAGAGTTGAGGGGGCACTTGTGGTTTGGCTTCTTCCTTTTCCCTCCTGTTGTGACTATGCGGGTGTCGTAGAACACTTAGCCTCTTATAACAGTCCGAGGAATTCGATCCGGGTCGGGCGGAGGAGGCTGTTGCGTTGGCACAGGCTAATCGATTGTTGTTCGACTTTTGGGTTAGTCGAAGCCGCTCTACGCTGCTAAAGTACTATTGCAGCCGAAGCCAGAGAATATTTAGCAAACCTCCTCAAGATCCACCGAATGGGGCATACGAATTGAGACAAGTTGGCAAGAAATGTTTGTGTGAACGAACATGTACATGTATGTACCATGTATCATGTATCAGTATGGGGGAGGGGATTGATTGTGGGTATATGCACCGTACCTTTCTCCTGACTGCTTCAGGGAATCGTGAAAATTCCTCTTCATTAGAGGGATAGGTTGTAATCATAGTGACCGAAGACCCATGGGATGACGATGACTTTCTCCTCGGTGTTTGCTGGAGGGTGTAAGAATCGAAAGACTCGACTAGTGTTCCTGTCGAAGAGGACGATGTAAGAGGCGAAGACATGGCTTCTTAACGTACTTTTCCCTTATCGATCAGGCTGGCAAGTAGTACTAATAGAAGTACTGGATAGTATCAAGTACGAGTTTTAATGATGAAACTCGTACCCTATATCAAGTTCATGTACAAATTTCAAAAGAAATAGTGAAAAAAATGAAAAAAAATAAAATAAAAGACGGGCTTTTTCAACTATATGCAAGTGGATATGCAAGTGATAATATTTGCATCCACCTTCCTCCGAGTAATCTTCAAATCTGGTCAAGGTGCAGTCGAAACTTGTCAAACGAACCCCAAATCGAATAACGTCAGAAACAGAAAGAAGGGAGCTAGAATCGTGAGAAAAATAGATAATGTGTGCCTATTATAATATTTATTATTGTTTGACACACGCATCAAAACTCTCTAGGCGGGTCGGCAGGTATTTGTAGAAAACAGCAGCATAGAATTAATCAATGCTTCTATAAACTCATCCAGAATGTAAATGCCTATTCTGCCCTGTACGTATGTGCGTTGGTAAGACGCAATTGCTTGCTGGAACCCTGCCCTGGCTGGCCTAGTCAATTGTAGGTATAACTAAGCAACTATTCAATCGAAGGGGTCTGTTGTATAGGCGAGTAGGTTGTTAATCTGACTGCAAACGGTGCTAGTTATCGACGGCAGAGTTTTGGCGGATGCAAGGGGACCGAGAGTTCTGGAGGCGTAGGAGTAGGAAGCAGGAGTAACAAAGCAGGATTTGGGGAAGATTATCAACATTTTTCTAACATCGCGATGAGACAGGCCAGCAGTTTTATCACAAGTCCCTCCCACGGAGGAAAAAGCAAGGGGACTCGATTGATCTTTGAGCAAAGAGGGTCCCTTGTACACCTATCTCGTTTTTGGATTGGACTTCATAATCTCTTGTCACTGGCCAGCACTGGCCGGGTCGATTTTCACTGTGGAGATGGCTGTGACTTGTCAATCACTCTCGGAGAGTTCCAGAGGGACAATTGAACAAAAAGAAATCGCAGGTGGGAAAAAAAAGAAAAGTAAGTAGCGGTTACCGTTCCTGTATTACTGAGGTACCCGTTGCGATTATCTCGCTCCCGTATTCCTTTTGGGCTTGTACACCCCCCTGGGCTGGACTGACCAGACTGGCCGCTGGTTGGCCGAAGCGCGGTGCTCTACCACGTTCTACTCTGCTTTGGAGTTCACGCAGGGGTTCAAAGAATTGTTCTTTCGGTCGCATAATGAGCCTTTTCCCGCTGGGTTGATTGGAAGCTGGCAGCGGAGTACTTGTTGGCAGAATTATATGGACAAGAACATGCAATATCTGTTGGTAGTTCCTCCTTTCTTTTTTTTTTTTTTTTTTTTTTTTTTTTTCTCTCCTTCCAATTCTCTTCCTGCGAACGTGGGGCTTGAATACTCATGAGGTACGACAGAAATCGTTTGGAGGAGGTCATATTTTTGGGTGACGTTTCTTCTTTTTCCCACAATTTTTTTTGTTTTTGGAAGGGACGGGATGGATATCCCTTGCTCAATTTCATCCCTAGCTACGAGAGCCAGGAGGGCTGCACGAAATAGCCACAGATAGGAAGTTTAGCTTCGATCTCTCATATCCATGCTAACAAGCTTCCAGGGATGAGAGAGCAAGAGGAGTTCAGGTCATTCCCCACACTGGAGGTTTCTCACGCCCACGACAATTGACCACTATGTATGTATTGTATAATGCAGGTAGGCGGTACGGAGTATGTATGTAGAATATACGACGGCCGCGACTGCTTATACATGCGTTTATGTGTATCAAATGAAAGGTTCTGTGGTACAATCTTGAAACTGGATGACGGCTCGCACTGAAAGAGGAGAAAGAAGAAAAAGAAGGAAAAGAAGGCAAAGAAGAGAACCCCGAATTTAAGAAGTAAACAAAGCTGCTGTTTAACGTCGGAAGGCTGCGCAATGCAAGGACCAGCTGGGCCACCGTCAATCACACGGGTATATGATACCTGATGCAATATCTGAGGCCATCTCGTTAACAAGAACCGAAGACGGGATCTCTGCCACCTGAAGCCCTTCAGGTGGGAAAAACAACCAATCCGGTCTTTTGATTGGTAGAGCTGTCAAAATATCGAGTTGGAATGGGTGTGCTTGACCCACTCCCTGAAAAGCCCTCGCATCTCGTCTACGACGACGGCGAATGCACCTAGAATTTTTGTTTCTTGGAAATCGAAACACCCCACTTGAGTACTCGTACTCTCCCACTTTTTTTTGACCAACCCTCGATGACTTAAGCTATGGTTATTGCATTGAATCTTAATACTATATGTTTTAGTTGAGACTACGGCTAAACATGTCGGCATGCATTGCGTACCTACCCCGACGTCTATGGCCCAGGACTGGATAAAGTACTTTAGCAGCCGCCCTCGTTAGAAAAGTACCCACTTTGGGGCTTTTGGAGCCCTTACAACTGCCAATACGGTAGTTTTTCTAGTCTTACTATTCGTGCCTCACAGATGCCGGTAATGCCGGCTCTGGCCAATGCGCGCAAAAACATAGCCGTGAGACATAATTATAACAAGTAGTTAGAGCATTTACAGTCGTTAACGCTGACGAATCTTGACATTCTAGACGAAACTTTATTTCCGGGCTTTTGCAAGAAAAAATATCGCCCGATGAGTTTTTTGAAATAAAACCCGGTTGATATGTACTGTATGTGTATGTATGTAAATACGTGCATACATGCGTACTATGTCAGCACGGAAAACTATAGTATAACAATCCTAGAGTATAAAACTAACACTATAGCCACCACACACGTGGTTGATATCTCTGAATCGCAATTTCAGAAAAGCGATCTGCTGAACTATTGAACATCTCAATATCAATAACTGTTGCGCAGGAACACCAATGACATTTCATTTCATTTCGTTCCAACCGGCCGTGATCGAAGGAAATTAGTTCGAAGAACACGGACCGAAGGATTCTCCGGTGTTGCCCTTTCTGAATGTTACACAGGAACAAAGTTCGAGGACACAACCCCTTCCGGCCGCCCCGCGCGCAGCCGTGTTGGAATATCTTAGCTCGAGCTCCTCGTTGGTCTCCTTGCTCCTCAACGCCACTTAGGAATGGCAAGAAATCCATCCGGGCTTGACATCGTATGATCTCTCGTCTATTCTTCTCTCGATTGGACTGATCGGAGAATTCTGATTGTTTAGGGTCGCATGGTAAATCTCGATCGAACCACGATGATCTAATATCTCGGCTGCCTTGCGGTTGGACTATCTTAAGGAATGGCCGTTTTATCGCTCATCACGCAAGCCCACACGTGGAAATTATGAATAGTACTACTATACATAAGGTCCTTGAGAGCAGAAAGAGGAAAAAGAGGGAAAACTCTTCCCTTACTTCAGTATCCTAGGATCCTTGCGTGGATCTCCATGCATACGGAAATGACAAAAATGTGACAACGTGGAGGTTGGCGGGGAATTGAGGTCGGCCATTGTAACCTCAATTGATCTTCTTCGCCCCATATATCACCATTTCTGTGATAGCGTTCAGAAAAAATTTGCAAGCCCACGATAATAGAATATTGTGCGGAGTACGGAGTAGTTGGTGAGGCAATACATCAGCCCATTAACCCTAAGCCAAGTATTGGGTCGAATTTCTTCATGCAGGAGACACTGTTGGAATCAACATACCGACTTGTTCAAACCCCCCTTCTTTGGCTTGGATGGCTTTTTTTTTCCTCAGCGGAAAGAGAAGCCGACGACAGTTACGTTTTCCTTACTGGTTGCGCTCGAGTGATGGAGCCGAGGAAGGCAGCTGGCCGTGCTAGTTTGACAGCACAGGCCGCCAAAACTCTAACGTTCTTTGTTGATCTCCCGGCACATCCCAGCGTTCCAAGCCAGCCATCAGAAGGGTCCAGGCCTTGGTTAACTAGTCGGCAGGAGGCGACGTTCTGTGTTGACGAGAATTCGAACTTGCAGAATTCTGAGCTTCACTTCGTGACGGTTGCAATTGACATGTCATGAGGGCTAGAGTACTATAGTTATGTCTAAGACATCCCACTCCGAGTTCGCTTGGTGAGACTCTAACGACCAGGACAACGCCTGTCAAAAAAGGTACACTAGGTGTTATCAATATATATCAGAATCAGCCGCTGGGACGACTTGAAGAGTGACCCCAAAGATATCCATCGTGAATCGAGATTTTCCATATTATCAGGACAGGAAACTTTGTGGATTTCCCCTGTGCTCGAGCTCGAGGCACAAACGGCAAAGGCTCAGTAAGGGCGGGTGCTCCTAAACCAACGCCACAGTTCATTTTACCCTCAAAAAAACCTCAGCATGGTCTGATTTTCAGCTTCCAGGCTGAATAGAACTCCTGCGGTCGATGGCTGACGCAGGGGTATTGTCCCAACCAACAAAACAATCCACTTGACAGTCCCAGTAACCATTATCAACCAGTCACGCAAACCATGGAAAACGTTAAAATCCAATAGGGCATCGAGACGTTCTTCTGGCACATGGCCTGGTAATAATGTGTCAACGTCTCTCTCGTCCAAGAGGGTTTTTCCGGAGCCACCAACATCAGTTATATTAATTTTACAAGCACAATTATTAGAATCTGTGAGAACATCCCCCACAATCACCGTCATATTAAAATAATCCCAGTCGGAGAGGCTAACTACGTACAGGATCGAACATTCTATCACCCCGACTTTCGCTTACCCATGCTTTCGTAGATACGAGGCAGCTCTCATGACCCAATTATAAACCCGCTTGGCCCGAGTGCGACTCTAAGTTTTCTTCCTTTCAGTCGTTCTATTCCTTGAGGATTCGAATTGGACCAACATCCAACAGTTCATGGTTCTTGAGAGCTCGGCCGACACTTTCCTATGTGGGAGGCAGGCACATTTTATGCAGGAACGGGTTCTTCGGATATTGGCCCATCTGTGAATCCAGCACCCAGGATGCTGGGATGGGTTTCCTTCACAGTTAATCCGTCCTTGGTGTTGTGATTCTCCTGGATCTCGGGAACCATTCCGGCCAGCTGGTGTCAATGGCTATTGTTCTGTACGGAGAAGTCCAGATGAATTTCTAGACTCCTCTAGAAATAGCTCATTGTTCGGCGTGACCGACATCGCCTGAGCTCTATCAAAGATAGTTTGGCTAGCTTGGTAAATTACAACGGCTTTCGAACGTTGCAGCTCTTCAAGTTTCACTGTGCACCGTGCAGTTAGAAATTACATAGGCACCAGCCTTCTTCGTGGCTGTCATCTCCTCCATGTATGCATATGCCCCGTGCGCCGTATGAAATTTCGCGATCGCGTTCGCAGTTGGTCGGTTTTCTGAGCATAGAACCCAGCCAAATACAACCAAAATAATTTCTCTGATTAAAAAAAAAAAAAATCCTGAAAAAAGAGGGTGTGCCGAAAGAATAAGCTGGAACAAGCCTCCAACTCTGACTACAACATTACAAAGCTCTCTCTCTCTCTCTCTGGTCATCTACGATGCTACCTTCACCACCAAGTCACTTGGTTTCGTGGCCGTTGATTGCAAGCATCTGACATGACGAAAGATGTTTCAATATCACCATTGAACTAAAATCGTCCAAACTGCAGACCCTTTCGTGAAAGCCATGAGTGTGCGCTGGCATATATATACGTAGTATATATATACTATATGTAATATAATATATCTCTCACAGAAAGCCGATTCTGGCACCTCGTACTCGCCAGGATATCCAGATACGATACGAGAGGGGAACCCCAGATTTCTAAGAGCTGATAGGGTAGGTGCATTTTTTCCCCCCTTGTCCACCCTATATCTCCCTGATATTAAGATCTCACAAACAAAACAAAAAAAAATAAAAGATTCGGATTTTGAATTTCGGCAAAGCAGACTTGTTTGTTTTATCTCGGTTAATAATAACCTTATATTATAGACGTTTCATGTCAAAAAACAGGGCACTGGTGCTTTGATCATGAAAATCAGAATCGTAACGAAGGGGTTATACGTTGTTAGACTGGACTCCAAATTTACCGCCCCGGAGTCAAAGCTTTTGGTACAAAATATATTGAGCACGAAGGGTGTCTTGCAATGGTTACACAAGTACTATTCTAGCTGTCAACCTTGCTAGGTATCCTGTTCTAAAGTTAATAATGAAGGGCCTAGAATATCTTTGGGAAATGAAAATTTGAGAAGTAAACAAAAAAACTTCAACATACTGGACCTTGTCAACTAGGAACCAGTGTCATGGTTTTATCTTGACACTTTTTTTGCACTCAGGTCAGTTGCATGGATCATGCATATAGTTTTTTAATATTGTATATGGAAAGAGTTTACACAGAAAGAAAAACGAAAGATACCTTATCGCATGTTTGACACTGCTACGTCCGATGTCTGAAACTTGGCTCAGGGTCTCGATGTTTCCACGCAAGAATATCGTAAGCAAATTATGGAACGTAGGTACAAAAAAAAAGGTTCTTGTGGCGGTAGTCATTGCGTAGGATTCAAAGTGTACGTAAAACTGTACAATGCAATGGAAATGGGTCAATCATTAAATCGAGAGTGTTCTGTGTAATTATTTGCCCTGGATGACTAGCGTTCGCCACTTTGTACGACATTATACCGGTGGTCTCCTGATACATCTCATCCAAAATTGTGAATCGAATCCGAAACTTTGAACCGCCTGGTGTCCTTTTTGTCCCTGAGAACTGTTGGAATGGCTCTTGGGGAGTGAAAGCTTGTAAGACTTAGGGCTTTACGACGCAAGGTCTCAATTGGTTGCACGATACCGATTTTTTCGTACTATAGAACGGCCGAACTAGTTGTATGTTTTACCCAGCTGCAGAGGTACTCTAGGTGGTTGGTGTTTAAAGTTTGAAATGTGTACAATCGATCATTCGTATGAGATAATATAAGTGAAGAAATGATCTTCACTGATCGTGATAGTATGGCACGAATTGCAGAGCTAGAAGCTACTAAGCTATGTACTAGTTCGCAAGATTGATTCCTTTGGCTTCCCCCCGGAAGTTGATTTCAATGGCTGGTTTAAATTTGAGTGACTATGGCCGCAGGCTTTGATTATCATATCGTTTAATACTTGTACGACATTACTTTCTTCCGTGGCACGGATGTTTCGTGATAGAGTGACTTCTAAATCTACAAAGCTTCATATCTATAATTTCTTTCAAAAGCTATCTAAATGTCTCAAATCATCAAGTGATAGTTCAATGTCAATATGTATACAAATACCAAATCTTTAAAAGAGCTCTCGAGCTTAAACATGACACACTGCTATGTCGGTTTTATGATGCAGAGCAAGAAGATCTTAAGATCGGTCCTACAAATGCAACGTCTACAACGCCATGCGCAAATCCTGGGCCCATAAAGCAGGAGGCAACTATCAATTGATCAATACTTGTATCACCAATATTTGAAACCTTTCATCATCAGTATACATAGCTACTTACGTAGTATAGACAATACAAGATCTATAAAATATGGGATGAAGAGCTCCTCATGATATCTTAGAGTTTGTGCTACCTCTGCACTCATGTATAATGTTTCAACAAGTTCGATCATTCCAGGTGGAACAAACCTCGAAATGTCCTATTTGAAGTTCAAGGATTCATGATCTAGAGCTCAACGGCTTGGAAATACCTCTATCTACTACTCCTTCAAGTCCTAGCCGAGGAAAGAGCTTCAATCTACTAGGGCTTTGAATGGTGCATGTCTAAAGCCTGCTTCATTGGTGTCATAGCTTGTGTCTAAATTATAGTTATAAGGCCTGCCCCAAAAAAACTTTCATGCTGTGTATCTGCGAGCTGAGTTATTCATCTAAGGTCAATTTCGATAAGGCCTCAACGAGATACTGATGTGGGAACATTCTTGAACTCATTGGTTTAATTCGACGATCTTACATTAATGCATTGCTTCGAAAAAAAAGATCACCGGCTAGCGGTTATAACTTTAGATTCAATCCAATATCCGATATCAACATCATCTTAGGCACGAAATGAACTCCGTCCAGCCAGTCATCTCGCCAAAGCACCCAACCTAACCTGCAGCATCAACCTACAATTGCCAAAGAGTCGACATAAATTTCAACATCCTTGTCTCCCGAAAATTCCTTTGCATCTTGCCATCTAATGTTTATGACATTTATAACCTGACTAATAGGCGAATAGATCCTACATGATGTATGCATGCGCTTGTATACTAAATGTACATGTACCTGCAAGAGCTCACATGCCTACATGTTTTAGAAGGTCGTGCAAGGCTTGCAGCTAGCTATATATCCTTGGAGAGAGAAAAAAAACAAGTACTAGTGTTAGATTACACAAAGATGCGCTCTATCTCGTATTAAGTTGACTGCTCGTGTAATGCACCAATTACACTCATACTTATAAGCCAATAGGCCAGCCGGACACAAGTTTCAAAGTACTCATATCCTGTAGCTCTTGATAATGAGGATGGACAACATATGCATGGTAGATACGGCGCCGCCTCCCATTATATGAAGTTATGCGGTGATACGGAATTCATTGTGCGTGATCCGAACGCGACGGCTGCGGCGTCTGCATATTCCGTACCCTCAGCAATGCTTATCACTAGCCTCGAGGCCGGCCTATCACACATAATTTCTATGGTGTATGCATGTATAAAATTTTTCAACGAATTAGGATTTTTCAACGAAGGCTCGCGGGTCGGGCTGAGGCTCCGGTTTCTTTTTTTTCTCTCTCCCAAGGTCGGCATCTCGCTGGCATTGGTGAAAAATTCAATATGACTACGCCGTCTTGGCCCATGTATTCCTTCTATGCACAATCTCTAAACGCCTGAACATCCACAGCGAATGCATTTCTCCAGCTAAAATACCTTTAATAATACAGACCCTTCGAAAAAAGTGCAAAGCCCGAAAATTAACCCGTTGAGAAAAACGTGAACAAAAAGATAAGATAAGAAAGGAAAAGAAACGCTTTTAGGGCCTTACAGAAATGATTAGGCCCTCTTGGATTACGATAACAACGGTTCTCATAAACATAACCGCTAGAAAGAAAGCCGAATATGCCTGAGCAAACTGTTGGGGAAACATATAATGGAATTATGAGAAGTGGGGACTTCAAAATTAAGAAATATAGCCGGACACCATCTTGTCTCGTAGAACTTGCTGTAAGAAGGATCCTGTGACGAGACCAGATATGCTCTAGGTTGAGATATCTGGCCTCGGTCTCAGCGTTACCTAGCAGCGGGCATGCGAGAACGCTAAGGTTCAAACCTTCAAAATCTCCTTCTCAACAAAGAAGTTGATTGTTTGGAGGAGCTTCACATTTTCTTTTTCCATTTGTGCTTGCATGAGCTGCGGCCTGGCGTTAGCGAATGGTTCTCGGACACGGATGGGGCGGGAGCGGGAGGTGAATTGAACATACTTTATCGTACAGCGACATCTCCTTTGGTTTGGCTTCTTTTTGTTGCTTCTTTTCTTCTCGTCGCTCCTTTTCTGTTTTTGGAACGCCACCTTCATGCAGGTATTTGCATTTGGCGCCGTACCTGCAGGCTTTCTTTAACCAGAGCTTACATACCTGCTTCTGCTTGTTCGGATTTGCCGCTGGTGGCGGTTTCTCTGGCAAGCCGGTGGGTTTAGTAGTGGACTCTTCAGGAGGAGCATCTTCGTCTGATTCATCAGACCCTTCGCCAGATCCTGACTCGTTGTCGGATCCGTCTTCTGCAGACTCAGCGGCAGAGTCGGCAGTGCTAGATGATGTGGACATTGCAACGGATTCTGAATCCTCATCTGCTTCGGCAGTGGCCTTGTCCTCACTGTCTTTCGGGTCAATGAAACTATCTAGCGGTTCCTCAACAGTGACATCTCCTTGTTCTTGGTTGGCAAGAGAGGCCTCGATCGGCTCATCTTGCCCTTCCAAGAGTGATTCGGTAATAAGTTCCACTTGCTCAGCATCGCCAGATTCGACTAGCTCGTCCATCGCGAGAAAATCTTCTTCTAAAGCCGCAAGTGTAACAGCTTCGGCGTCCACAACATCACTTTCGAGCTTTGATTCTGATAGTTCGAGAGGAGGACCGTCCACTGGCTCTTCAACTGTTATGATGTCTGGTTCCCCAGCGGGCTCTGCGATTTCTAGATCCGGCGCAGCGGGGTTTTCCTCGAAAGCGACCGGCGCATCATCCTGAGGCTTCTTCTTCTTCTTCTTCTTCTTCTTTTTCTTGCTCTGCTGCTTTGATTTGTCATCATCATCGACAACTTCGTCCAACTTACGCTTTCTTAGTTGTGATTCAGTTTGGTTGAGAGAGTCAAGCTTCTTTTTGAGAGCCTCGCTTTGATCTAGCCGTTGTCTTTCTTCATCTTCGGCTTTCTATAATGATGTATTAGTAAGTTTTTGGGTATCTGTCACGAATGTTTATATGTTACCCTTTCTGCGACTCTCGCGCTTGTTGGCCATTTCTTCTTTCGCTCTTCCAACCACTTATCAATCTCACCCTGGTCTTGCAAAGTAATATTTGTACCTTTGATCTTGGAACTGAATAGATATTGATATTAGTGCACTTCTACATAATATCGTAAATTCGCTTTGGGGGCTTACCCTGCGGCCATCCAGATGGCATATTCCTCAGGAGACATGTCAACATCCTGGTTTTGAGATGCTTGGAATTGTTGGCTTTGACTCTGGAGGTGGCCTCGATGTCCCCGGTCCTTATTGCGCCTATCATGGTTAAACCCATTATTTCGGTGCCCAAAGTTCCCTCTGTTTCGATTATGCTGGCCATGGTGCTGACTGTGGCTTTGATGTTGGTTATGGTGTTGGCCATGATGTTGATTATGACGCTGCTGCTGGTTTGGCATGTGCTGGTTGAAATTGGACGGCGGTGGAGGGTGGGGAGGCAGTGATGGGGGAGGCTGAGGAAGTGAGGAAGACCCGAAAAATGTTGGAACAGATGGTGGAGCTGGTGGGCGCACTCTGCCATCCACTCTGAGGTCTGCATAAGAGTGGTGAGGCCGAGGACCTTGGTTTTGGAAAGAACTGTGAGGTTGAGGTTGAGGGGGTGGTGGCTTCCCATACGGTTGGTTGGGTTGGTAAGTTGTAGCCGGAGTAGGGTGTGGGGGCTGAGATGGACTGTAGCTAGTCGGTGGAGGGGGCTGTTGAGGGAAGAATCTTATGGGCTGGGGGGTAGCAGTGGGAGGTTGGTGCTGGGGCGGTGGAGGTACTGAATTTGGCTGTGGCCATCTGTTCGTCGGTTGAGCATACGAATTGGTCTGAACCGAGTTATAAGCAGTTGCCTGAGGGTAAGGTGGGCGTGCCTGTGGTGGAGGTGGTTGATGCCCAAACGCCTGAGGGGGTGGTTGATATTGACCTGTCTGATGAGGAGGTCTGGGCTGGAATGTCGATGGTGGAGCTGGAGGATTGTAACTCGACGGGGCCTGATGAACAGGTGGAGGGTATGGGGATGCAGCAGGCGCTTGATAAGCTCCGGCTACAGGATACAATGGCTGGGGCGGAGACGCATGGGGTGGATGAGTGCCAAAGTTCGTGTATCCTCCTCTGCCCTGACCTTGGTTGGCACCTCCCCGATTGTTAAAATTTCCTCGTCCGCCAGGCCTACTATTCCCACGGCCACGATTGCCATAATTCCCACGAGAGAACTGATTGCTTTGATTGGAATTGAAAGGTGGTGGTGGCCCTGTGGCTTTCGGAGGCGGAGCTGGGGGAGGCCCGTAGATGTAGCCGTTTTGGTGCGACATCTGATCGGAAAAACGTGGATCCAGATAAGTTCACGTCGCCATACCACTCATAGGGGTATTCGATTGGACAAAAATTTTAATAGCTCTTGGGGTGCTATTATCCGATGGGTACACTTTTTAAGACTTCTGGTGATGGCGATGGTGCAGGGTCGATGATGATGATCGTGATGGTGGTGATGTTGATGGTGGACGATGGTAACCGGACGGTCCTATGTCGTCGCGCGTGATGGAAGCGGAATGCGATGCAAGGAGGTTGGTCTGGTTTGGCTTCGGCCGCGTACAGACGGTTTGGTGGCTGCGTTGCTGCTGGAATATCCCACAAAAACAACGCACAAAACAGCAACCGGACTTTTACAAAACAGTCTGGTCACGAAACTGCTCTTCGACTGGGATTTTAGAACGACGGGAAGTCAATTGTGAATCTAGGTTATTAAATTTAAAAGCCTGAAGATAATACTGGTACTTTAATTGAAATATAGTGACCCCAGGTAGTAAATTTTAGAGTTCTATTTAGAATTTAGGAAAAGGGTGTTTTAGTAGCAAACAGATCTAACTATTATATATATTTTATTACGAAGAAATAATGTGAAATCCATGTCAAGTAAAATTGGAAACTATAATACATATACAAGCTAAACCGAAAATACACAAGCCTAATTAACTAGCTATAGATCGATAACTAACATCGTCCTAGGTCTTTCGGAGTATCACGTCAGGAAGTCCGAAAAGAGAGAGAGAGAGAGAGGCTCAGCTAGGCCTGATATCATCGGTCATCTCGAGGATCCCACATAACCCCATATGGCGGATAACACTTAAAACTCCTCAAATACTTCGGAGCCTCGGTAGAATATTTCTTATCAACCTTGCCTGCATGTCCTGCTGTAAACTGGAGATTCGTGCAGCCTGCCCTCTCGAAAAAGTCACAAGTGACACCGTTGATTTTGTAGTACCTGATAGGAAAGACGTCCGGCACAGGAACACAGTCCGTATAAAGTTGCTCTTTTCTAACCTCGAAATTCCACTCCCTAACCGACACCTTCGATCCACGATTATAAGCACCCCGAACCTCACCCCCCTCAAAATGTATACTCCCGCTTACAAAATCATCGATGTGATCCCTTTTTTTACACCGAATGCTTTCGATCATGTTATCATGTGGACCATTACTTTTCAGTGAGGAGTCCGCCCGATTGAAGGCCGAAAAAAGCCCAGTCTGACAGTCGCTGTCGTCGAAGAACTCGCATTCACAGTATCCAGTAACTACATAAGCGCTGATTTTATTCCCAAGCCCTGGTTTTAAATCATTGACTTTGAGGCACGTCCCTTCCTGGAAATGCCCTCCACTAAGGGGTTGTCCTGACCAGCCAAAGTCGTCGCCGGGCCCGTTATCGAACATGCCTACTTCGCACTCCTTTTGGTAGAAGTTTAGAGGTCCCATATTTTTTGGTAGGGTAGCTTGATCTGATGTGGGTGATAGAGGCGGGCCGATTTTTTTTTGTCGTTCCCAAACAACTTTATAGTCGTTAGCCCGCTTTTGAAGCTTAAGTTTCCGCATGTCGACCGATCGAGAGCCGACTAGAAGGCTACAATATAGTATGGTAATGACGGCGACTAGGGCCTGGGAGCTAAGAGATCTCCGCTGAGGCTTCATGGTAATTGCTAGTATTTAAAGATGAGGCGAGTTTGAAGTAATTTATTGAGATATATTGGGTGTCGATATGCTAGCTATTGACTCGAACAAAGAATAGCTGTGTATGTATGTATATGTTTTCGAAAATGTAGTTAGTATCTATGAGATTAGAAGACCCTTCAACGACAATTATAATATCGATACGCGTATAGGTGGTAGGATAGCACTTGACAGAGTCTACCATCCTAAATATTTAAAACATCCTTTCGAAACGGCCTGATGGATGGTAAGTCTCTGTTTCATCAAGCAGCGTCTAAATATTCACGTTTGTAGAACCAAGTCCTCGCATAAATCTCCTTCAAAGTTGCGTTGGATGTTGTACTTTCCAGTCCCGATTTGGCCCGGTTCCCGGAACGGTTACGTCTACGAACTTCTTTGGGCATTTGATCTACAAATGAACTGTCGTCGTCCAATTTGCCGTATCCGAGTGGATTACAAGTATCCGTGAGCTTGAATCTAGCCGGGTTACAAAAGGGAGTTCCAGCTTCCAATCAGTAAAAGATACCAGTCATCATAAACTTCATTCAATCTTCTAATAACTGTCTCCCGTGGACATTTAAAACAAATGTCAATATTAATCCCGCGTGTTTGCACATTATTACGAACAACAGCCACGAGAACGGCAACCCCAATCGGCTTGTCGACGTCAAGAATACGTCAACATATCCAACCGCCTCCTACAACGCTTTGGGTTTCAGAATCTCCAAAAATCCAAAGGATGACGTTGGTTAGTTTAATTCCTTCTCACAAACAACTTCATTAAATTTTAACTTCAACATCATCGTTGGAAAATATATCAATTGAGTTTAATTAACCAGCGAATACTGATAAAAAACGGTGACCTTCCAATAGATCACGATGAATCAATCTCTCATTGACAGGTAAGCCATACCCTATGTATAGTCGATTATTTTGGTAATATTGTCGCATAGACTGACTTAGATATAGACTCAAGAATGACGGCGTCATCCCCGATGGCAAGTCTTATCACGAATGCATATGCATAGATGAACATCCTCATATACGCATACTAAACTAACCTAAAAACAACAGTAATCGACGAATTCACACCCTCAGTTTTCGTCCAAGCCGAATTCCCGTCCGGAAAAGAAATACAACTAGGAAATACTCTAAAAGTAGCAGCTACACAGGAGCAACCAAAGGTCATTGTTACACCAGATAATGTATCTTCAGAGTCTGAGGACACAAGGTATACGCTGTGCTTGACTGGTAAGTCTATACCTATATCGATATCGTTGAGTTTCAATTCATTTATGAATTTTTTATACCGAAGTTATCTTTTTGGCTTAACATGAATATACATAGACCCTGATGCTGCTTCTCGTGATAACCCGAAATGGGCGGAATTCTGTCACTGGCTGGTCACCGGTATCCAACGACCATCCTCCGGACCTCTTGATTTCAAAAACTCGAAAGAGTTATTGGAGTACATGGGTCCCGCTCCACCAGAGAAAACAGGGAAGCACAGGTATGTCCTGTTGTTATTCAAAAACGGTAAAAAGGAGCCTCAAAAGCTAGATGGGAGGAAGAAATGGGGGTTTGAAGATCATGAACCCAGGGTTGGTGCGAGACACTATGCGAAGAAGTATGATTTGGAACTCGTTGGTGAGTATTTGTGTTTCATTTTGGTTTAAATTCTAATGGTTTTTTTTGGCATGTTGCGTTAATGATATTTGTGTAGGAGCCAACTTCTTCTTGTGCCAAAATGAAAAACAGGACGACTGATTAGCTGTTGGAATATGAGATGGAACGATAATTGTAATTTCTGGGTTCTCGCGCTTGCTGGAGCGGTGTGTTTCACTTTGTGGTTAAGCCTTCACTTAGTTGTCTCTTGCGGGTATCAAAGGGCTTCAAAATCGCTTTAACTATTAAAGGCCCCTGATTTGGGGACTGGGCTTTTAGGAACAAATAATTTAATTGAAAGGGCAGGGTTCTAATTAAGATCCGTCATAAAATAGAAGATAATGGAGGCTTTCTATCATAAATTTCCCACTCGTGGAGACTGAAGTTGTTCGCATTTATAAAATATAAAGAAACGCTTATAAACAAGAAGTATTGACAACATAACTGTTTGAGTGATGCTGTCGATACTGATCTCTATGCACACCCCACTAAATAGATAACTGTTTCTTGAAATTCCGTGCCAAGTTCCTCTCAAGGCGCTTGCTATTCATCATAAAAACATATGTGCTGTTGGTTTTATTTCATGTAGCGCATATTTCCAACGATCAATCAGGCTGTATGATGAGTAAACTGTGTATTGTCATATCCAACATTGTTGATCTTTGAAATCAGATTGCAAACAACCTGGAACATCGCGGCAAGCATTGTCTTGTCATCTGTCGCTTTCTTGAACAAAAAATCCTTTGCAGCAGTGTCTGTCAACTCTGTGATCGCTAGGGATCGATTCTTCCAGAAGACTTGGTCAGTAGGGTCGGAAACGACACTCATCGTGTACCAAGTCATATTCTGGCGGAAACTCTCAACGCCCGGAACTGCACAAAAACGAATAATATTTGGCAGGTCCTCGCGCTCTAGGAGTCGAAGTTCGATATTCTCAGTGACAACGAGAGTAAATTCGTGACCAAAGTGAATGTCGGAGGGGACGATCATATGGTGAGTTTGACGACGAACGACACAGCGAGTAATTTCCAGGCCTAATTCATAAGTGTTGATGATTAAATCAGGGTAATGGAGATCCGTGTCTACTTCTAACGTTTCGATGAGCTTCTGGGCTTGCGGTCGGAGGGCCTTCATGATTTTGGAGCCGGTGAGACGGAAATCCGCATCCCAGGTTGAACATGGACAGTTGACATAGACATTCCCAAAACTCTCCTCCTTTCCCCGAACTTCAAACTCAAATGTCTCAGCATTGATAGAGATTATGAATGGAACTTTTTGAAAAGTGAGACCTTCAATATCGTAGGTGACCTTGCGTGTGCTTGGTGGATTCTCGAACATAGCGTCGCCTTTGCTAACCTTCAGCCCGACAACAAAGTCGGCATCGGATGGTGAAACTGAGATGATATCCGTAAATAGGGTCTGGATACCAGCACGCTCGAGCTCTGCTTCCCAGCTGGCCCACTGAAACCCATAGGATGACTTCAGATACTTTTTTGGGACCAACGGAAAACAGATTCTTCCAAGCCTAGCCTCGAATTTCAGCTCCCCGGAAAATCTTCTGACATCTTCAAAGCCTTCGCTAAAGACTGTATGCAAGACATTATCTTGATGTTTCTGGAGGGCTTCAAAATTGTCGAAGTTAGCCTTACGGCGCGGAGCCTTTTGGCTCTGAGTATTCTTATAGGTTCGGGTTTGATATTCCTGCTTGTTTCCGGTTGCCTCAGTGCTTGGCTCACTGGCGAGACTCATTGTCTTGAAGGTTCTCTCGGTTTGAATAGAACCAGCGACGGATGCAACCTCGGTTCCAACATCCTGAGAACCTTCGCCATCTTCAGCGGCCTTCTTTACCTTCCTAGGGTTTCTTGGGCGTCGAGCGGTTGCAGAACTTGCTTCGGAACCTGATGGCCCACTAGGACGAGTCGTTGCTATAGATAAGCCTCCTGGCGATGGATTGACCGACGTTTGTGATGTAACTGGAGTTTGTTGACTTGGAGCTTCAGAGACGACACTGGGGGATGCAGTAGTCTTAGTGTCGGGCTTAGCATTGCGAGCTTTCCGCTTTGGCGCCAAAGTGGGAAAGTCTATTTGCTGGGCCTCAAGGTCGATTATAATGTCTTGTGGTCGAATTCCGAAGTTCAAACTACCATCAACAGACTCGCTCGGCCGAATCGAAGGGGCTACGGTAGGAGCAGGTCTCTTTGATGCAATAGGGGCAGGTGGTGGCTGGGCGGTAACAGTTTCGCTCGGTTGCTTGGGAACCTCGTCCACAGAAATAAGCGGTTCATCGCTGAGAATTGGGGTGACAGTTCTAGCGACGTGCGGAGTATAGGTGTAGCCTTTCCAAATATCGGTTTCCGTTTGACCAGCATTGTAGGTGGGGATGCAGTTAAAGACGACATTGTCGAACTTGTCCGAAGCAGGGTTATACTCGGCAAGACGCGCAGATGCCAATCGGTCTCTTCCTCCAAGGCTGCTATACTGATCGGCAGGTGGGAACAGCGTGGTTCTCAAAATATTGGTTATTTGCTTCGTGATTAGGACAAGACGGATCTCAAAATAGGCCCTTCCATCGCTGTTGATAATATGAGATGTAAATTTCTTGTAGTCCCAATTCTAGATGAAGTAATACTCAAGTTAGATATATATGATTTTGCGTATGTATATGGTACCTTGAGCCTCTGGATTACTTACGAAGTACTTCTCAGCAAGGTTCAATTTCTCCAACCCAGCTTCCAAGGCGATGTCGCTGTGTGCTCCGATTTTGACTTCTCTGGTGACCCAGTCGACTTTCATGACGCAGCGGGTTGCCTTCGAAATTTCATCAATGGCGTCGACACCGTCACCAAAGAAGCATTCGCGGAAAGTGTCTCTGTATTTTGGAGTCCATTTGTGAAATTTCTCAAATCTAACACCTTCAACTTCATGCTTGATTTCCTCGAAGACCTCAGAAATCTCATCCTATTGTAGAGAGTTTAGCACCATAGAACCTGGAAGAAGAACAGACAAAAGTCAAAATCTTACTGCATCATCTTTGTATAAAACTTTTGGATCGTCTGACCATTGGAGCTTCCGAACGAACATCTGTGTCGTGTTCGGACGGACAATTTTACCTCGAGTGAGCTAGAGTATCCTTGTTAGCAATAGCCGTATAAGTGGAAATGACACGAATTATGTGAATAGGTAATATTACATACGTATTGATTGTCCCCAAGGTTATTTGTGTAAAGCTTTTCTATGAAATTGTTGACAACTCCCACGAAAGCCTGCTGTGCCTCGTTATCTCGTTCCCTGGGCCCAATGACAGTGAACGACTACTCCAAAAGTTAGACATACTTGAATTCTGTCTTGTGATCGTGAAATAGTATTTCTTCTTTGCACCTACATTTCGCATCGGATTGTACTGAACCTTCATCGTGTCTTGAAAATCGCTGAGTGAACTGTATATGAAAAGTTGAAGAAAGCGGTTGGCAAAAAGGGTCTATTTGGGAACCCAAGTGTCCATTTGTGAAGGTATGCACTTACTTGAAGTGAGAAATCATCTCTTTTCGAGCACTATCTTTGAACTCATAGAGCCCGCGCCAGGTGAAGCTGAAGCTATTGTGATCCATCATGCCGACGCCGTTCGAGGTCTAATTTTCACAGCTCTAGAGAGATGAAGTAGCTTTTGCAAATGAAAATTAGGATGAAGACGGAAGAGAAGTAAGAATAAGTTCCGAAAGGGAGTATGCAGCTGTAGAGCGTATTGATGAATGCCGCAGGTGTATTCGATGATGGTTTAAGCTAAGTAGCTAGTAGTTGATGAAGTGGGTGAAGGTTGCACAGGTTTGGTGCTGGTTGTTGGCAACGTTGGAGTTAACACCCTCAAAGCCAACGATGCAGGTCTGTCAGAACGTGCACACAGAACTTAACTTATGGACAATGAATGTCATGCAACGTTCTGGGGTGTTCTGGCTCAGAAGCTGTCTTTGCAACCCCCCTGCTTAAATCTGAATTCCGAGCAAGCTATGGCTGTATTAGCACTGCGGTGACGGTTTCAGGCACGTAGGCACATGTTATAGAGCATGTACACAAGGTTGTCAATCTCAATTGTCAACTTCAGGCAACAATGCACAGTTTGTTGTATATTTAAGAGAGAGCACGAGCAACAACACATAGGTGGCTCCGATCAAGCGCAAGCTACAGTAAGGGAACGGGTATCAATAGATGCAATAATTGAAGGAGTGATGAAGCTAGGAGCTGGATCCATCTTGATTGATTCCAAGGGATCGTGGATTAATGAGTTCATGTCGGGGCTGTTTATCTTGGCCACAAATATTGTACAGTAGTCGGTATATCAAAAAACCCGCCGGGAAGTACCTGCATAAAAGCAATCATACCAGAAATGCAACATTAGAACGAATAAGTTCGACGGGTAAAAACGCCCTGATGATTTTATGCAAAAAAAGCCTTCGAAGAGGGAAAAAAGGAGACAAAATACACCGAATATGGAGCTTGTTTAAGAAGATCAGCCTGGCTTAAGCCGGAGGATCCGTATCGTGCATGCTAACCAAACACGTCTCTAAAAACGTGTTATGAAGTTGGTGAGAAGAGGAAACTTTTTTAGGGGATAATTAAAGGCTCATAAGCGCGTAGTAGTGGTATGTTACGTAGACTCCTTTGGTGGAAGGCCGACAACATGGGGGCGGAACTTGACTAGCAGCTTTCGCGCGGCGGTTTTGACATCGTTGTCTATTTGATCTGTTAGCGGAGACTCGACTAATTATACTGCCATTGAAAGGGGACATACGGTTGCTCCAAAGTTCTTCAACGATCTCTAGCACGTCATTTCTGACTGGAGGCTTTAGCATACAAAGATATCTTCGGAACTTATATTAGCGTGGATCTTCCCAAACACCAAAACTCAGTCGTCGACCCTCAGATGGAGTACTTACTGAAACGCTAAAAACCCCAAGTTAGAACGCTCTGGATCCAAACATAGACCTCGGATATTGGCCAGAACTGGTGCCGGGATTGCCGGAAGCTCGCTCAAAAATCTTAGAAATATGTTTCTATCTGTAGTCTCCAGATAAGGGAAGATTCCATCCATGATCTTAGCCATCCATTTGGCGTACTGCGGTTCTAGAGGGGTTTTATTATTGTTTTCTCGTGCCGATATTTCTTGGAGTCGATCGTTATACCACTCTTCGTTTAACCAAGCGATAGCGGCATCCATACGCGTACGGAAGTCGCCTATGACATACATGTATAGTTTCTGTCGGACCTGTGCACTGAGGGCTTCGTAGTGCATTCGGTCCTCTTGGGCCTTGGCAGTGATTTCCGCGTCGATACCGCTGAGGCCTCTAGTACTGAGTCTAGAAAGGATGGTAATCCATCCATCCCTGTCCCAGTTGGTAGCAGCAAGGCGACCCAATCCCGTCCGCTCCTTTTTGACCGGTTTGTCCAACGTAGCTATCGTTTCAAACATGCGATCTAGCGTTCCTTCACACGCTTCTTGGATCTGAGCTGGTGATAGGTCGGGCATCTTGACCAGTTCCATAGCCGCAGCCTTACCCTTCGCAGTTGTAGGGACGAGGTCTGTAACCTCGTAACTGTCGTCAGAATCGTCGGAGTAGGTGACAGCATCTAGACTAGTTTTAGAGGGCTCATCGGAAACATCATCCCCTCCTCCCGGTACATAATCGTCATCATCATCATCGAGCTGAGGTGGGGGTGGCGGGGGTGGCCGAGAGCTGGCCGCAGTAGCTGCCGCTCGGACGAGGCTGCCCAATCGTTGCCTGATAGCCTGTGTAGAAGATTTTTATGAGCATACGAAATAGTAAAGTTGTTGGAGCCGGTTCTTACCGCAACTGCTGATTCTAACACATTTGCATCGATGGAATACATCGTCGCAAGGGTGATCTGAGTTGCCATTTCAAGCGGCAATTGAGATACATCGAAATTCGATAGTGCCTGATCGCCCGTAAGGGTATAGAGAGTCTTATATGTCGTACCATTACTCGGTTGGACTTGAATTGTCGGAGGCGGTGGGGTGGGCGTGTATTCGCCTTCGGCGTCAGGACGTGTATACTTCGTCCGCTTGACGGAGTCACCGTCCGACCCCGATAAAACTCGCTTATTGCTCTTTGGAACATCGATTGAGAACTCGGATTTTGATTGTAGTAATCGTTGGATATGCTGCTGTATTTTCCCTGCGTGAGGGCCACCTGAACTAGCTCTATACCGAAATAGAGTGATTAGCCACTCGTTCCCCAAGAGATAGATATTTTGTACTTACCTTGCAAGGTGATTCAATACAGTCCTGAGAGTTTTCTCTAAGCTTCTGGCTACGAAGCGGTCTTTGAAAACCATTGACTTGGCCGCTACGGGCAACGGGTTGTAAGACATCAAGATGTTAAGAATTTTGTTTGAAATCGCTGCGCGTCCCTTGACGAGCGCCGGTAACGAATTCAGGATCGCAGTAATTATGGGGGCGTCTCTATATATGTAATTCCACCAGTAAGCACAGTGCCAGCCTGACCCCGTGACCCATATTTCAACCAGACGTATCCCGTATGGAAACGTGACTGATGAGAAGGTCCGGAGTTCATACGACGCGCTTGGTGGGATTCAAGGCTCACAATTTGCCATCTTGGAAAACATTTAGGAGACGATCTAGTAGGCCATGGGCTTCAGCCTCTAGTGCATGGATATTAAGTACTGGATGGTTCAGTGGCACGATAGTCAAAGACACTTCAGATTTGTCGACAAGCTAGAAAAATCAGCGACGCATATTGTTAGGTTCCAAATATGGCTTTATTGAGAAAATAGAGAAATCGTGAAAGAAAAAGATAGGAACTCGGTCCGAATACGCTGATGAATCTTTCACGTACATGGGGAAGCCCCCGACAGGGTCCCATTTCACAGATGGGCTACAGCTTGGGGGATCTGACTTACTCGTGGGTCCGATGCGCCTGGAGTCTGGACTAATATAATCCTCTGGGCGAATTTGATACAACCCAGTCGCACTCCTTCAGAGCCTCTGTCCAGCATGCTTAGAATCTTCGCCTTTATGGCAACCATCTGCTGCCATATGGCAGTTTCTGACTTATTGTGACATCTAGAGAAGTATCACAGCGACTGATAGTTAGTATTCGAACAAAAATGGTGGGGTATGCGGGGGTACGATGGACCGTGTACGGGACAGGAACTGTCCGCTCACGGCGCCACCAACAGAGCCTGTAGTACGGGCTAAATATTGCGGAAATTCATGAACATACATGTATCGAAATATCAGAGGATATATCGAACAGCTACATTGAATAACGTTCTTGAGAATCCCCGTCTCTAATTCGTTCAGCAAGGTCAATAGATGCTCGAGACACGTCAATGCAAGCTCTTGCTTCGTCTGGGATGATATCTGAGGCGAAGAAAATGTTTCCGCTAAAAAGTCTGACCCCCATTGTCGTAGCTCAATTGCGCCGTCTGACGCGACAATGACGGGTAGGATCCCTTTCAGGATGTCTGGATAGAAATTGGGATCATTTAAAGCGAGATTTTTGGCTTGATTCAGGTGATCGAGCTTTGTCTTTACATCTTCGCTAGTCATCTTTGCGACTGGCCCACTGCCACCTTAGACCGCTTCACTACGGTGGGTCTGATGAAGTCAAATAAGGATAGAACAAGCGTATGCTATCAAATTAAGTGCTGCCTCCAGGGCCAAAGCCGAAATGCTGTTTCAATCCTCTGGATCCTTCTCCAATAGTGTCGTGAAGTTGCCGTTCGCTCGCCACGTGATCAGTTCCTGGCTATCGGAAGGCGCGTTTTAGTTGATTAAGCTGCAGCCACCCCGTGCTGAAGACGTCAACGCCAGCTCCTCAAGAGGTGTCGGAAACGAAATATCGTAAAGAGCCGGTGAAGCCAGAGCAGTGCTGGAATGACGATGGCGCCTCTGGTGGAGCTGAGATAGTAGCGCTGCGGTTGGAGGTTGTGGGACGCAATGATGTAGATGAGAAGGTTGGGATGGCGTTGGTTCGCTGGTTGGCTTGTTGGCTTGGTGTTGCCGACCAAACAATCCTCGCTTAGGCGCACTGCAAACCCGCTGCAAACCCGCCGCACCTCAAAATTACGCTACTGTGCGGCCGCTGCCGGGTCCCACCTGCCCGCCGGGTAAGTCAGATACCCCGCCAGGTGATATGTCGGAAGGCATATACTACCTTTTGCATCTAAAATCAATCCCTTCTGGGAGTCTACACGTCTATTTGTTTGCCTATCTTAAGCTACGGTTTGGGGTATCATGCAAGACGTATTACGGAGGGCTCTAATGGCTTGTACCAAGCGAAGCAGGGCGGCCACCATCAGGAAGGTTGGTTGTGAAAAATGCATTTATACAGAGAACTATTTTTTTGTACAGCCCGCTACATCATCTAGCTATCCTTTGCAAGAAACATAATTTTTTTCTAGATCCTGGTACGCAAGTAAACGGGACGGAGGAGTTAGGTGAACTGTTTACAGAGCCCTATAATGAATTATAGTCCAATGTAACAAGTACCCCAATTAATCAAGATATTTACTTTTGAGCGACAATTCCTACGGAGAGAATGTACATTAGCTTATGTTCAATGACGTGGATGTATTTTGAAGAACATACTCTCAACGTCAGTCACGCTCTGCTGGAGGATCTGCTGGAGGACCTTGGGGCTCTTGAGCTCATCGGTGATCTTCTTGATGACGGACTCGGCGAGTTCGGTTTGTTCCCTCTGCTTGACCTGGGCCTCGTATCTGACCCAGCTGTCAAGGACCTGCTTAGCCTCGGATGCGAACTTGGTCTGCTGCTCCAAGACGAAAGCCTCAGACTCAAGTTCAGCGGTTTCCTAATAATCCCACCATCAGCTTCCTTGCCCTTGAATATCAATCCATGCCGAAGCTCTGCACACTATCCTACCTTGGAGACGGAGAAGAGATCCTTGGTGACCTGAACAACCTCCTTCATCTCGGAGACCTGGTCGATTCTCTCCTGAACAGCGCTCTTGTGGTCGGATCGGGCAGCATACAAAACATCCTTGACTCTCTTGATATGTGCCTCGGCCCACTCGTTGTACATAGGCTTCATCAATCTGCTGACACCAGTGAACATGGAAATCAAGCAGAAGGCAACGACGAATTCTTCATTGATAACCAAGAGCTCGTTAGAGATGGCTGCAATAGAGACACCAGCAGTAGCGGAGAGAACGGCCGTCTTGGAGACAAGGGAGTTGCCAGGGATCAAGTCGAGGATAGCATTGGCCTTGGCCTCTGGAGCTGGTCGCTCGGATGTTGGGGGAGGGTAGTTGGACTCAAAACGAGCTGAGACGACGGGTCTAACGGCAGGGATATGCGCATTGAGGAGGGCGGACGACGGGCGAAGACGCGTGAGGCCTATAACATGGACGATAACGGGTTAACATGTGCAATGAGGGGCCAAGTGGGTGGGCAATATCGGGCAGCATCGCTCACCTGTGGCCGCTCGTGTTAGCCTGGAAGCCATTGTGTATGTAAGAGAGGAGAATGAAGAAGTCAGATCAATCCAATTGGACGTCTATGACCTGTGGGAGGGCGATGTCGGAGATGGTAGGTGGTGGGAAGGGACTGTTCGGGTGTTGAAGTGACGTTCTGGGTTCGGGAGAGACTGGCGGATGAGTGAAAAAATCCGACCAATCAAACTCCACCCGACGCCAAGACCGGCCGAAAGTACCTGTCGCCCGAAACACCAAAAATTTTAGACTTGTTTGATTTCAATTGAAGCTGCGCATTGCATTACATTAATCCATATCTTCTCGATCGAAAAAATGGCGATATCTTCCTCCAATGCTGCCCTTTCGGGCTCAAAGAAACGAAAGCGAATCGCCGCAGACGAAGCTGCAAGAAAACCGAAATCGAAGCCAAAAGACTTACCCGTCATCACCAAAGCTGTAATACTGCGACCAGCTCCAAAGTCGAAAAAGCCTGTAGAGCCGACGAGCGATGAAGATGAAGAAGAAGACGAGGACGAGGATATGGAGAGTGCTAGCGAGGATGACGAGGACGATGAAGATGAAGACGATCTTGCATCACGACAAGCTGAAATGCTTCGATTAGAAGAGGATATCGTTTCTGCGAAAACAGCTACGGCGCGGACAAAAGGCCTAAACAGTCTATTAGAACAGCTTGAGGTAAAAATATTGCAAAGCATATACATCAATTGGAGGATACTGATGGGCTCGCTAGGATGAATCGGAAGAAATCGCCATTATGACTGCTGTCGGGCTATGTCGTACATTCTGTCGGTTAATGAACAGAGGGCAACTGGTTCGACACAAGGAGCACAGTCCTGAACAATTAAAAATGGTGAAGGAAGCCAAAGAAGCATATATCAACTACCTGAATAGTTTGGGGGGCATGCTCGAAGGCGGTGAAGGGACATCTTTAAAGCTAGCAATGAGGGTATTGAAGGAGGAATCGATCCATATGAAACCTCCAGAGGGCTACTACTTCCCGTTCCTCACCTACGGCGTTGTTATAAAGCACCTACTTCTCTCCGACAGCCCAGATCTTGTCACAGTCTTTGCGACGGAATATATCTATGAATTCTCTGATTTGAGACTCGAGTTCTTCAAGGCAATACCGACAGTGTCAAAAGAAGTTCCCCTTTCGAATACTAGATATTCCGAAAATCTCTTCAACATATTATACAACCTTAAGGATCTACCTTCGACATCCGAGGAATTAACAGATCTTAATCTTTATATATCCGCACCAACCAAGAAGAAGCATCCTTTATTCCAGATCGCAGCCCACCAGCGGTACTTTCAAGAAACATGGCTCGCCTTCCTCTCACGACCTCTCCCATCAAAGCAACGAGACATCCTTACAATCCTGCCAAAGCGTATAATTCCATACTTTCCGAATCCACGACTTCTAATGGACTATCTAACCGACACCTACAACACCGGCGGAGTTATCGCACTGCTCGCACTCCAAGGCCTATTCAACCTAATGATGTCTCATAATCTTGACTACCCGAATTTCTTTCCAAAACTTTATGCCCTACTAGATCGCGATCTCATGCACGTTAAATACCGATCACGATTCTTCAGGCTGCTAGAGCTATTCTTGAACTCCAGCCATTTGCCAGCGGTACTTGTCGCCAGTTTTATAAAGCGAATGGCAAGGTTATGTTTGGCTGCACCTCCGAGTGCCATCGTTACGGTCATTCCGTTTACGTACAATCTGATGAGGCTGCATCCAACATGTACATTTATGTTACATCGGGTGCTAGGCAAAGAGGTAGATAGCAAGTCATTATTGACAGGAGGATATGCGGACCCATTTAACGAGGATGAAGTGGACCCGCTTAAAACAGGAGCATTGGAAAGCAGTTTGTGGGAGCTCGAGGTCAGTATCAAATAAGGGGGTATATATTGATAGCCATGCTAATATAAGAATAGACGTTACAATCGCACTACCATCCGAACGTGGCGACTCTAGCCAAGATCCTATCTGAACAATTCACAAAGCAGCAGTATAGTCTTGAAGATTTCTTGGATCATTCATATACTAGTGTAAGTTAATATTTACGCGCATGCCCTCTGAGACAGACTCTTACGCTAACGGACCCAATAGATGCTCGAGGCAGAAATGACAAAGAAGATTACTAGGGATCCGGTTGTGGAGTATATTGTTCCTAAGAAAATACTCTCTGAGGAAGAGAAGAAGGATGATGATGCCCTCTTAGCCCCAGCGCAAAACATGCTGCTAGACCTTTGGGATTTTGAGTAGAAACTTAGATGTAGCTATAACTATAATTTGGGGGGTGTACGATAAGGCAATGGGAATATGCCATGATACCAGACATCTCATATATCAGATTACAACCTAGCCTCGATTTGCAGACGTGGTCCGCATGAAGATTCCAATGCAACCCACATTCCGAACAGTCTCGTAACCAAACCGTGCATTCCGAAATCCTGTTGCGGGATCTAGTTATATAAACACAGCCCGTTTAATTTTCATACTAACGTACCATGATACTGAGCGTTTAATACGGCTATACTTCAAAGAGTACTTTTAGCTTCAAAGATCCTTAGAGGGGGCATTGTTGAAGTGCCTAAGCACTCCCATAACCAACCTGCTTGACCTACTCAAGAACCTAACAAACAACGCTATTTTGGTTTAGGATCCAACAACTGACTTCGTCCCACCATAAAAACCCCAAAACCTTTGACCTCACGATACGCCCCTGTTCTCTCCACACTTTCTATACCTCCTTGACGCATCTAGTTAAAATGTCACCACCAGTCAACCTCTCTCCTAGCGCATACCTTAAAGACCATCCCTCCGCTGGTCGCGGTGTCTTCGCATCAGGAACTATCCCAGCTGGTACCGAAATCCTCAGTGTAGCAGATCCTCTAATCTGCATCCCAGATGAAGCCCACCTCGATTCTTGCTGCCATTACTGTATGGCCGAAGCTACAGATGAAGCTCCCTCTGTGAATCAAGCTTATAGGGCACCAGTTAAGCTATCATACTGCCTTGGATGCAGGGTGGTCAAGTATTGCAGCAAGGTACGTCTAATCTTTCAAGACGGGTTTATAATATACCATTCACCAAAAAAATTATAACTGAATCATGAAATTCCAACGATAAAGTATTCAATCAATTAGGCATGTCAAACAACAGATTGGAAGCAAAAGGCACATAAATACGAATGTGTGATATATAAAGCACAGTACCCACGTATTCTACCTGTAACAGCACGAGCTATTCTTCGAATGGCGAAGCAGTTTCTGTCTGAGACACCGGGCTCGAATATCGTTGGTGGTATTGGAGCTTTAAAGGCCCATGCCGAGGACTTTGCGAAAATAGGTGGTGATATATGGGAAATGGCAAATTTGACTGCGAAAGCTGCGGCGGAGTTTTCGAAGGTGTCGAAACAGATTTCGTTTGAACCGGAATTTCTGAGGGATATGTACTGCAAGGTTGGTTTTTCGTACTTTATACTTAGCTTTTATATGATATGATGGATACTAACCTTGAGGACAGCTATTAATCAATTCCGCCTCCGTTGTAACCCAAACCTTCGACCCGATTGGCCTCTGCCTTGCATACCAGAGCGCGATGTTCAACCACTCATGTGACCCGAACGCAGTCATGATGTTCGATGGACGTCAACTTTCAATTCGTTCGCTGAAAGAAATAACCAAAGACACAGAAATAACAATATCGTATATTGATAACTTAGCGTCACGGAAAGAACGGAAAGAGGAACTAAAGTCTCGATACTTTTTCGACTGTTCTTGTTCTTTATGCTCTTCGGGGGTACAACCGTTAGAATCTTTACAATGCCCTAAGTGCAATGTGCTCATTACCACGAACACGACTACATGTACGAATTGCGGGGAAATTGTTACCGAAGATGAACTTACACCGGCAATCGCCCTCTCCACATCGATTACAACCCAGAGAAACAAGAAAAATGTAGATAAATCAATAGCTTCAACCCTCAAATCCCTCAAACAGCTGTATGGCACGAGGGTGCTGCCCTCGACGTTCCCACCTATCCCACAACTGCATCGAGATCTAGCAACATCTTATATCGACGAAGGAAATTGGAAGTCAGCATTCCTCCATCTTCTAACACTCTATGTCAAAGTCTACCCAAATATGTACGCCACGCCATATCATCCGGTCAGGGTTGTGGGAACTTTTACTTTGGCGATGGTATTAATACAGGTAGCTGTGGATGAGCCGGAAGGATTTGGGGAAAGGATCGACTTTACCAAGGTGTTATATGGGTTACTTACCGTAGTGTGTGGGAATGTGGAGAAGAGTCATGGGGGCAATAGTTCCTTTGCAGAGATGGCGAGGAGAAAAATGGAAGAAGTAAAGATTGATGTTGGGATTGATAGTAATCGAGAGGCTGATAAGTGGATGGGGAAAGGATTGAAAGCAATACCAGGCCTGGAAGGGGAGGTTGCGAAGCTTATCAAGATTGTAGACGAGTTTCTAGAGACGTTGAAGAGCGATTGAGGTTACAAGTCATAAATGGTACCTTTGATCACTGGTCTTTCGCTCTCAGGTCGCCATATTCTCAGACTGAATGTGTCTTTCAAGTGGAATCGAAGATAACAAACCTTCGTGTCCACGAATATATTACATACCCGCGTGGTTATATATATCGTCCAATATTGTATTTAATTGGTCTTGAATATACACTGCTTCATATCGCGAGAAAGCCCCGCCATTGAACCGCCTTTTACGCAGCCGGTCGCAAAAAAAATCAGTGCAAGAAGAAGAAAATTATGTACACTCCCTGCCAAAAAAAACAAAACGTCCTTCCAAACACACCCTCCAACTATCACCATCATCTATTTTGGAGGATTCTCCTTCTTATAATGCTCCACCAATTGATCCATCAAAACACCTCTGGTATGACCCACAGAGTGGTTATACGGACTGTAAGCATTAAGACGTCTATAACATACCACCATTAGCAAAAAACCCCCAATTATCTCGAAACCCCCCTACCCAACCCCATTGGATCAAAAAAAAATACATACTCAGGAAACCACATCGGCATAACCCCATCAGTCTTCTCAGCACCCGCGAACAAATGTCTATCCTTCGCAGCCTGTTCTACAAACGTCGTATGTCTATTCGAGATCTCATCCTGCGCCTGTCGCAGCGGGCTATCAACCGACAAATACCGCGTTAACGACGAGTCATCGGTCGGGCTGACGTAGGCGTAGGTAACGTAGAGGGTGAACATGACGCCTGTGGAGATGTATAGCCATGTTGGGATTGCTTCGCCGGCGACACCTGGGGTGGCATCGGTTCGGGGACCACCGGAGGGGGAGTCGAAGTGGGCGGAGTAATTGCGACGGAGGAGGATGGAAGGAGTGGTTTTTGCCCTTGGGAGGGCACGGAGGGCGGATCGGGCGAGCATCTTTTGGGAGGTTTTGTCGGTGAGAAGGCTGGACTTAGGATGGTTATGGCGAAGTGACGTCGGAGGTTGAAGTTGAATTGGGAGGTTTGAATATGTCTTGGCACGGCCTACAGTCGGTCTCACGTACGACAACAACTGCAACCCGCGACAGAAATACCGATGACCTTTGATATATCTCTACAGAAGGGACTGGGTCTATAAAATGGGGGCCTTGTAGCCGGGTATACGACACAACTGTCTTCTGGTCGATTATTTATCATTATCATCATGGAATTCTTACAGCTTCCTCCGCGTGAGGCTCTGTTGTACACTTCCTGGTAAGAATAGTTCTCCAAAATGCAACAGCCAACACGTACCCAGTTCATTAATTAAATTAATGTTCGAATTCGCCAGTTACTGCGAGGAGAATATCTACAAGCTGGTAGAATGTCATATCAACTCGACATCCTTAAAGCATTATACTGTAATATTCCTTTCCAATAGTTCGAAATGCATACCCGTCTTTTCGCAAAAGATTCAAAGAAGTCCAATCAACCCGGCCGTATGGGATTACCATGTAATTCTGGCATATCATCCAAACCACTCTCTCGAAGAGCTACTACAACAGTCCGAAAGCGGAGAAGAAATAGAACAGCAATCTTTCGAACCTGCTATTACGAAATCATATATCTATGATTTGGATACAACAATACAAACATTCCCATGCCCGTTTCCGACTTACTTCGCTCAAACATTCTCACCACCACCTTCGTCAGCATTTGAAGATCCTCTGGATAGGATGCTTTTGCAAATGGCTGTGTCGAAAGATATATATAGTCGCTATTTCAGACTAATACCTGCAAGCGACTATCTGGAATACTTCAAAAGCGGAAGAGATCATATGAAGGATAAAGAAGGATGTTGGAGAGCTGAACCACCAGTGTGGGATGTAATAGTGGGGTCGAAGGCAACTGGGGATTCATTTGAAGACTATATCGATTTCAAGGGATGCGAAAGTCGAACGGAGGCGCTAGAATATGAGAAGGAATACTTGGGGATCATAGTGGGTGAAAAGAGACTGTGGGAGGTGTTTGGGGGTGGGATGCCACCCGATGTCGAGCTCCTCGATCTTATGACGAGAACTGTACCTGAGGAGGGACTCTCCAAAGAAGAAGCATCGGCGACGGATGGGTTTTTAATATTTGCTGAGGCGTCTGTACCATCAGTAGGGGCATCTGGTCTCCAAGAGCCAACTATACCAGGGTAATGTTCATTGCATTTATGATATCAATGAAATTTGCATATATCAAACCTCAAGTCGTATTTGGCTTAACAGAACCTAAGATAATGTCACATTGGAATTCGGCCATCTTATGAATTATTAAATTTCCGGCAACTTCCAGGTCTGGGTACGAGACAAGCAATACTAGTGTTAGAGGTGCTCTTTCGTTTTACCAATTTCAAAGGCCATGTAAATGGCTCTTCTGTATCAGGCCGTCCACGAGGCTTAGTGTGGCTAGCCTGGCCTGGTATAGTGCTCTAAGCTATTTAAATCTTAATATATTGATAGGAAATTATTCACAGGATTTTTTTATATTATCTTACCATAGCTTCTCCGGCTTCGAGTCATAATTTTCTTTCTCAATTTCGGCCCGTCTATTTTTACGGCACCACCTTTTAGCCGCAGACCGCGAAAGGGCCCTCGGTTGCTAGACAACTTGCCGACCGCTACTGTTCGACTGTGCCAAGACAAAACTGAGGACCCACAGCTGCACAGACCTATTGGTATGCATTGCATTGCCGCTTAAGCTTAATTAATATTATGCCGTTGGGATGGAATTTACACCGACAGCTGCTCAGAAAAAAGCTACTATGCGGCCGGTTTATATTATACCAATGCTATGCGAAAAGCTTCGGCGACTAGAAAGTCATAGATTTTGGAAGTAGCCCCTCACCGTCTACCCAAACCGTTGGTATCATATCATGACATCCTAATATATCCTCTAAAAACTGTATATTGTACATGGAGGCATCTATATCCACAGCTATTCCTCCTAAATCTGGTAACCAGATAATAATAAAAAAAGACGACGCCATACGCCACAATTGGGTTATCGAAATGTACAAGTGGTGCTTCTATCGTCCCTCTCGTCCCCTTCCCCTCCTCCATCTATTTCCGAGCTTTCCACTTTTATACATTATGCCATAGTAGATTCTTCAATCCATCCCACCTTTCGCTATTGGCATACAAATAAGTCATCGAGCTCCTCAAACTAGGCTGGATGACTTCCGGATGCCATCTAAACAGATACATAACAAATGCCCAACTAAAGCTAGCGAAAGCCGGCCAGGCATTATTATTGATACCTTCTCTCCATACCTCCGGAACCGGCGAAAGTTGATATCCCGGGGTCGTGGATAGTTTCGCTACACCAAGGATAACACGGGCGGCAACGTAAAGGCAGATTTGTTGGTTTACAGAGGAATTGCCACCTCGGCCGAAAACGGTATAACCACCGATAAGACCCGAGATGAAGGAGTCGTACTGGGATTCGGTTTTGTTAAGGTGACGGAGAATGAGCATGGAGATCTTGTAGAGGAAGACGAATGTGCCGAGGTTACGGGCGTGTGTTCGTGTAGCCTTGAAGACTAGGAGGGCTTTTTCGCGGAATCTAGATTGAAGGCTTTGAGTAAGCGATTTCAATTGTTAAAGGAGCATAGGGAAAGGTGATATAACATACGTTCCAGAGCGAAAGAGGAATACCATGCTATTATATTATATTATATCCATTAGTCCCCATTCTGTAGCTTGTTTTTCGATATCTTGAATGTCTCCTTACACAAGAGCATGCGGGAATCGAACTTTCGTGCCGTAGACGATGCCATTCCTAAGACCCTTGATCAGGGAGAGGATATCATGGTTTGCTGGGTCCAAGATGAAGGCCTCAGCGGCGGTCTAAGGACAAATTATTAGAAATTATAGAATCCATGATGAGTATGCTCCCGGGATAAGTACCTTGACAATTTCCAAAGTATTCGGCATCTTATCGGGGTTTTATTGTATCGATTTGTAACAAGGCTGGCCCAACTTTACAACTCCTGATATGATATCGATAGCTATAGCTAGTAAATGTGGCAGCTACAAACAATTTATCAAGACCGACTGGAAGTACACAAAACGCGTACTAGGACCCGACAGATGTGAAGTCGACAATAGATGATGCTACAGAATAGAAAGATAGACGAGGAATTTCATATCATAGTTTTTTTCTTGGGGGGAAACCCGGTCTAATGACGGACTGGAGCGCATGAAAAGAGTGTTAGCTGGACTGAGAAGGTATCCCGCGGCTGTTTTTGCATGTGAGATCATCGCCGACGGCGCTATCGCCAACTAGGAAATATCTGGGGTAAACTTGGCTGCCGAGGTTGGAATGGCGGAAAATACCACAGCTGGCCATGTGTTGCCATGAGACGTATATTCTTTGGGTGAATGTGAATGATGCATGATCAAGGGTTGTACATAGATCTATCATATGACAAACATGCTCGTAATTTAATTGATTGTAGAGTTTGGGATCTATACGACAGGGAAATAGAACTCGAAGAGTAATTGGAACTTTCCAGTGGTACTATTCAGGCGGGTATGTGCTGGGATGTTGTCCTCGATTTTGTAGTATGAAGAGCATGGTTGTTATAAACTTGCCAACCAGGCAACATCCAACATAATTCTATAACATGACAAAACAACCTGAAGGAATTCTCCAACATTTTTTTAAAGAAATATCAATATCGACATCTCCTTCATTGAGATATCTACTGTGTACTTAGGGACCAGTACTTCAGCAAATTTAAAACACACCCTGCAGCTGCCCCAAACCGGCATTTTGATATATCGATCCTACATGCAGAGCCATGGATATCGGATGAACCTAAGTACTAGCTTCCCATCCCATAGATAAGTAAATATTAATAAACATACAACATATCTCCAGCTTATCAAGCTTAAAATTTAGGTAGCCAATAGTTAACGTTTGAATTTATAAGCAGACATGGCCTATTGGAAGATTCCCATCATTGGCGAGGTTTAGGCATCCTAACCCCGGGCCCGGTACAATATTCCAACAAAACCAAGGATTTCCTTTAGGTGTCAGAATAGATGTACGTACAGGGAGCCGATTGCAACAAAAGCATCAAGATATTGTGCGATTCAGTCTCGTAAATTGTATTTTTGACGAGAAATGATTTGTTGTAGGTTTGAAGATATGAATTGCGGGAAAGGGGATTCGAGGCTAGCTCTAGGGGGTTAAGGCTATGATGTTGCATGTTGGCCGTATTCATAATGCGTATCTAGATGGACTATAGAGCTGAAGGTATATAAGACTGTTGGAAGGGACTACTCTAGAAGAAGCTCCTTCTGAAGTTTGGAGTTATAAGTCTAAAGTCTATCTCTTCAATCGGTTCGAAAACTGGGGATACTCTCTCCTTGACTCACCGATCTAATATCTTCTACTTCTACCATTTGGCCACTTAGTCCCGACATTATCATGGAGACCAAAGCTTGGTACTATCGTCAAAAGCAGAAACTCCTGCTTACGACGAGCTACCTCGCCATATTTACCGGCTGTCTTTTAAATATCCCAGCAGCCTCAGCTATCCCTTTAAAGGACCACGTGCACATATTCAACCGCGATATCCCTTTCCAGCCCACAAACAACTTAGTAGCCCGACAAGATGCAAGAGAGGTCCCATTACCACCCGGAAGCACAGCTACCGACGGTAGCGCAGACTTAACCTTCTATGGTGCCGAGTGCAAAATGGGGTTATACGAAGGGTCTTTCCGGAATCGAGGTGGGCCGGTCGACACCGGTCCAGGCGCACGCTGGGAAGGATATCCTCTCGGATCTCGATTCATAGGTCCCGAACCCCTCGTGTTCCCAGATAACAAATGCGTCAACATCAGAGACCTCCATCCAGCTCTTCCAAATCAAATCTCTGCCTATATCGTGACGGGATACTGCGAATGTAGATTCTATGACCACGAGGGATGTCTGAATGAACCAGGCCAGGGAGGATTTTCAGCATATAACCGTGAGGATGCCGCTTTATGGAACAACGGCCCGGATGATAATACCCTCGAGAGCTTCTCATGCTGGAAGACAAGCCATTTCGACGATTTTAATTTCTGCTCGATCAAGTTTTCCGACAACCCTTCCACGGCAATCGGACGTCCAGTCAGTCCTCTCGATCTTCTGAAGCCCAAACCTCCAGGACAAGTTATCGATAGGAGGTATACTAGAGATGATATGACTAACAGTCCCACCCGCCTCGAAGGAGAGACTGACTGTCAAAGGATGCCCGAGGGAATAACCTTTAATTATTACAAGATCAATGGGTGTTCTTGTCGATTTTATCGCTCGGAGAACTGTGAGAATGATGGTTATAGTTTTACAGACGGAAATCCTGGGAAAACGGAAAGAATATATGGTCTGCAGCAAGATCTTAAGAGTTATCGCTGTCGTGCGCCATTCGGGATTACGTGGGTTCCAAGAGACGATATTTAGTATAATGACCCTATCGGTCCTATAGTCCTAGCTATTATAATTAGGTTTTCAGAGCCTTAGTTTTTCATAAACCTATATTTGTTAGGAATGGCCGCTTCAATGTATGTAGATGTATTCGTAGCTAGCGAAAATATAAATATGATGCACGAATTATAGGATATGGATGCCCATTGGAGCTAGGGAATAAGTATGGCTGGTAGATCAGCAATAATCTTAGCTAGTAATTAAAGAGCATTCTAACATTCATAAATTTGGAAATCAAACTACAAATAATCATTATAAATGGCTCCGAGACTAATTATAAATTATATTTTTTAGTCAACTTTAAACAGCCGTGATTATATGGCAGCATTCAACTATCTGCAATCTTCTTCCTCCGCAATATGATATCTGAGCACCGGACCTGATTGAATTGAGCCAGTGCATTGGATGTGCAGATGTGTTGCTGTTGGTGGCTATCCGTGTGGCGCATCTCTTCAATCGCAAAAAATCTTGGCATCAACGAAATTTCCTTGAACGAAAGCTCCAAATTCGGCCCTCAACCTTCACCAACTTTCATACGTATACCCCAGCATCTACATCATCCACAATGCTTCAGACAGTGTAAGCACTGCCAAACCGGTCGCCTTTCTGTAATTGAATGATACTTACTCCATTTCTTTTAGAAAACCTAAGAACGCCCGTTCCAAACGAGCCCTTGAGGCCCGAGAACCAAAGCTCGTTGAGAACGAAAAAACTACTCTATTTTTGCGAGGCACCAGTGCTAGCGGTGTCGTTCAAGACGCCCTTGGTGATCTGGTATGTATAAATACACTTATGTGAATACCTTATTCGATTCTAACAGTGTCTATTTTTCAGCACTCCCTCAAAAAACCCCAAGCTATCAAATTCCAGAAGAAAAATGCCGTCCACCCATTCGAAGATGCCTCAGCGCTCGAATTTTTCAGTCGCAAAAATGATGCTTCCCTGATGGTTTTCGCATCGCATTCCAAGAAACGACCTCATAACCTCACTTTTGTCCGATTTTTCGAATACCAAATTCTCGATATGGTTGAGCTAGGACTGGACGGGGAGACGTTTCGAAAGATGCAAGATTTCAAGAATTCTAAAGCTGGAGTCGGCCTTAAACCCATGATTACCTTCTCCGGTGCCATCTTTGAGAATAATCCAACTTATTCTCAGATGAAGTTGATGTTTTTGGATTTCTTCCACGGGAATACTGTGCCTGAGGTTGACGTCGAGGCGCTTCAGTACACCATTTCGATATCTGCCGCTGATCCTACGGACGAGGAGCCAAATCCCAAAATTCATCTTCGATGTTACATGCTTAAAACAGTTAGATCCGGCCATAAGCTACCGCGTGTGGAGTTGGAGGAAATGGGTCCCAGGATGGACTTTAAGATTGGCAGAATACAGGAGGCTAGCCCGGATATGATGAAGGAAGCCATGAAGAAACCAAAGGGTCAAGAGATGAGGACCAAAAAGAACATCTCTGTCGATCCCATGGGTGATAAGATTGGTAAGGTACATGTGGATAGACAAGATTTGGGCAAGTTGCAGACAAGGAAGATGAAGGGTTTGAAAAAGAGAGGTAGGGATGAGAGCGAAGGTGAAAGAGATAATGATGTCGAAATGGATGATGACGATGTTGAGATGGGAGACAACGTTCCAGAAATCTCGCCAAAGAGGGCAAGAGTCTGAAGATTGCAAGATTGGTGGATGGGATGGATTATTACTACGGCTAAGACGTATTGCTTCTGTATACTATGGAGTTCAAGCGGTGTACTATAGACTCGGGAAAAGTTTTCCGTATTCTTCATCTGGAATGATATTCTATCACGAGATACAATCGCAACCCCTAATTTTCCTTTTATCTAGAAAAGAAATGCCCATTTTTCAAAACTCTATGAATTCAATATGACTCCAAACTTCACCAACCCACCTTAGGTCGAGAATTCTATGGGAAGGATATGGCGTCGAACTTTTATCTATATGTTTATCTAGTTGGGGGAAATCATGCCGAATTAATTTGTCGGTATTGACATAGGCGCTGAGAGGTACTTGTTAGCTATCGGATAGGCTCCGGATAATCTTCTCGGAAAGTATAATTTCCTTACCACAAGGTTTCGGAGTAGTATGGCGATTGTAACTCTGCCAATAGCGGGCACGTATATAGATGCCTTATTCATTATCTCAGGTCCGAAGTTCTGTGGAAGCGTTAGCATTTAAAATTTTGCACTTAGCATTCTAGGGTGCACTAATTTGCACGAGCTTACCTCTTCTGAAGAGAAATTGATGCAGATGGCGCCACTGTTATACCCCAACTTATTAGCACATCCACCTTTTCGTCTCTAAAGCCAGCCTCGTAGAAATTTTAGGTTGTGACTTACTCCTTTAGCAACTCAACTGGGAATTTATAGCCCTTCGACGGTACGCCGGTAATAACAACGTCGCATTTGGGTATGACATCCTCAACCTTCAAATCCGTATCTACCGCATGATGTCGATGCATTTTTACACCCTCCCCTCTGGTGAAATGCTGGATATTGTTAATGTCTACAGAATAGACACTCGCACCATCATTTGCTAGTAATGCTGCCAGAGGCCTTCCAACCACTTCACTTCGGTTGATAACGGCAATTGTACGCCCGAATAGACGATTTCCGTAGGGGATAATCTTATTATAAGCCCCAATGTATTCGAGAATCTTGATGACGGCCAGAGGAGTACACGGCAGGATTGACTTTTGGGTTTTGGCCTCGTCTAAAAAGCGGATATTCTGGTACATGTTGAAGATGTATTTGTGAGAAAGCCCTTCGACGTCCTTCGACACATCGAGGATTTGCTGAAGGTATTGGTCCTAGATATGGATCAAGTTGAGATATTTCAGTCAATATAACATCTTCAAGAATGCCCCCCTCCCCCTTCCCTTTTAAATCTTACGACAGTGTTGAATTGTGCGGCTTTTGGCTTCAAGGCTAGTAAACCATTTACCTGCTTAGTTCCAAATACTGGAAAGTAGATTATGCCACCGTCGACAGCATCCTCTTCATTGGCAGCAATAACAGCTTGTTCGAGTTCGTCCTTGTCAACTTCCCGTAATTCGAATTCGAGTCCACTAAACTTCTAGATTAGCAAACCCCACAATAATAACGACTCCATGCCGTGCCACCATATATATCAATATCAAGACATACTACTGTTGACAAGTTTTCTCAGTCCACTCCGCATAAGTTCGAGAAGCCGGGTCGTCATTAGCTAGGAATCCAACGAGCTTGGGTTTGCGTTGCAGAGTCTTGAGGGTGGTTTGGACCTCATCGAACAGAGTCTTAGCGACAGTAGCCGCTAGAACGACCTTGCATTGTGTGGTTCCTGCTTTCGCTACTGCCAAAGCTGCTGCTGTCGCTGTTGCCATTGCTGGTATTTGGTATCTCGGTCTAGGTCTAAAAGTGATTCCGCGGAAGATGTATGGTAGAGTTTGCTTCTGAAAGATCCAGTTCATGGGATTCCCAGATACTAAATACCTGAAAACTGCTTGGACGGGAGGCCGATGTAGGCAGCAAGACAATACTGGTTGCGGCCCAAAAAAAAAAGTTTGCGTTCGAGGTCGCCGCCGTCTCGCATGCAGACGCTTCCTTACGTCGGTTGCCCCACCTCCATCAGATACTTAATTAGTAGCTTAAGTAAGTACCAGCCAGGGATGGTTATAAGGAGGAACACCACCAGCAGCCACTAATGCGGCACACTTGACTGGCTGCATCAGCCCGACCGTGCCAGCCAGCCAGCCAGCGTACCACCCAGCCGTGCTTCGACACTAACCGTGCTAGTTTGGGACTTGGAGGGGCAGATTCTGATATCGGACCACCCAGAACAGTCTCAGTTTGGAACAGTCAAATTTATTGGATCGAACGAGCATTCGTTGATGTTGGGCCACCTCCCTTCAAGTCCATCCAACATAACTTAAGCTCTGATCAAGGTACCCCGATAACGAATTCATACATACCCACACAACCGAAAATGGATCCGGCGCAGCTTTACCTTGTCGCGATCGATAGAGATCCTGATGAAGCTGCTCAGATAGCAAGGGCTACGGCCAAGAGTAATGTTTCCCGTTCCATGAGTCGAGTCCGTGCTCTCCAACGCATACTGACTTCAAAGTGTGACCAGGGTTGGAGAATAAGGAACTCATTCTCTTGAGCCTCACCAAATCGCTGGGCGAATATCTTACGAATGATGACCGAACAATCCGTGCGAAAGGTGTGTTTCGATATCTTAGATTCGTGGATGTCCAATTGTTAATCGGTGTCTTCCAGCAATCGGCTTCTATGCCACTGTCTTGACGGCTCTCCCACCCACGTTACTTTCTCCGGCGCAAGGTACTTCCGAAATCCTACATCCGTAACTCCCCGATACCCGACTATAAATCAAAATATGTCAACATGGACTCTAATACTATTGAAATCGTAACGGCGATTGGTCTCAAAAGTTTCTGTTATAACTCAGTTTCTCTGTGATAGATTGGAGGATGAAGCAGGTCTTAAGGAAGTCTGTCATGGGCTTCTTGCTATCGCCGGGATGTCTAGATTCCAACCCGAGGATGCGCAGATGATGGCAAGATCGTACGTGTTTCTCCTCGCTCTTCTCTGTGGGGGTTTCTTCTTCTGGAGGCATTAAGCTAATGTAATTTGCAGCATATTCAAGAGCTGTGATCTCCTAAAGCATCCACAGGGAAGTCGGTATTTAGTTTACCAAGTCATGGATAAAATCATGTCGGAACAAAGAGAAGGTTAAATTACCCACACTTATCGAGAATGAGACATTGTTGCTAATATAGATTATGTGTAGCTCTCAAACGGATGGGACCAGACTTTGCGACCGGATATGTTGAACTCATCACCAACGAGAAGGACCCGAGGAATCTCATGATTATCTTTTCGAATCTGAAAGTAATAATTGTGGAATTTGATATTGAGGACTGTGAAGAGGTACTTGTCGATTTCTTAGGTTTCTTCTAAGTGTGCAACCCGAGCTAATCCTATTACTTAGCAAGTATTTGACGCTTGCTTTTGCTATTTCCCAATTACATTTAAGCAACCTCCAAATGATCCGTATGGTATTACCGCCCAAGATCTTAAGGACAGGCTTCGGGAATGTCTCCAAGCTTCTAGCAAATTCTCGGTTTTCCTCTTTCCGCAACTTCTGGAAAAGCTGGATTCACACTCAGCGAACACAAAGGTATGTGTAATTCCTAAATTTGTGACTCTGGGTACTAACTTTACGTAGAAAGACGTTTTACAAACTATTACGGCTTGTGCTCTAGCCTACGAAAAATCTATCATAGCGAATTATTGGGCTACCCTCTGGGATGCTATCAAATATGAGGTCCTCAATGCATCTGATGACGATCTTGCGTTTGAAGCTTTGGACGCCATTAGAGCTATTGCTAAGACTCTTTCCGCAAAACTAACAAGTGTTATGAAGACATCCAGCCTGGATAAGTATCTAAAGGCTGTGACAAAAGAATGTCTGACACAACTTCGGAATCCTATGGCTAAGCAGGCTAGGCCATCGGCTTCAATCCTCGCTGCTGTTGCTGTGGCTTCTCCGGTTTCTCATGCAACCACTATTCAAGCCGTACTACCGGGATTATCAACAACATACGATGGGTTAGAAGAGATCGCAAAGCAAAGGAGTATGCTCCAGGCCATCCTTCCTTTATTTGATGCTACTGCTCAGGTTTATGGCGTGTGGGGAGACATCGAATACCCTCCATCACTTAATAACTCTCTGGAGGCGTTCAAGGATAACCTATTCGAAATCTACAGCCGGGCATTGATGGGCTCTGCGAAGGATGAGGTTTCCTTCAGGCTAGCTGGCCTGGATGGATTAACAAAGATGTCAAGGATCAAAAACTTCTTCGCGGACAATGAAATAGGAATGGTTGTACAGTTTTTCGACGAAGTTGTCTTGACGGATGAGAAAGATGAGATGCGGTTAGAAAATTATTCCCAAATTGCTCATGTATAGTTTGCTAACTGGTTTTAGTGATTCTGCTTTGGAGTCTCTTTTAGTACTTAGCCGGTTGAAACCGTCTTTGATCATGGAAATTACATTCCCTGCGTTTATGGCTAAATTGCCGGATCGAGAGGAACACGAGAAGTCTTACGATATGACTTTATCAGCTCTCGCTCAGCTTTCAGTGGAACGACCTGTTTTCCAGGTGCTGCTTACGAGAATATTTAACAAGCTCAATATAGTTTTGAACAACAAGTCTGGCCCTGGCTACCCATTTGCTCTCTTATCAAGTATCTTGTACGTCTTGAGACGAAAACACGAGACGGGCAAAGATATATCGACACACTACACCAGAATTGTTCCTGAACTCATCACTAGGACCATAACACCTTTATGCGATGGTTCAGGTGGAAATGCTTTAAGCCATGAGGCTGTATTGGAGGTGACAGGCAATATTGTCAGTCTGATAATACGTTCTATGGACGTTGAGAAACAAACAGAGGTTGTCGGGGAACTTTTTAAGATATTTGTTACCCAGACAGAGTCAGCCATCATAACTTCCGATAAAGAGCTGGTAAACAAGCAGTTCAGACCGTTGGATGAAAGCGCGAGTCTTCAGCAAGCTTCGACTATCATAATTTTTGCCTCCGCAGTGGCAGCCATCCGCCGTGAAGTAAGACTGCCAGATCCCGAATCACGCACAACCAATAGCTAACGTTGATAGGTCACCCTTCCACTTGAAAATCTTCAGCAGTTCGTAGAAAAGCTTGTTCTTCTTTCAAAAACCCCAAAGAGCCCGAGCCACAGACGCGCCCTACTCCGTCTCATCGCAGTTATAATCAACAAATACTTCACTACTCCCGAGGACCGTGCTTTCCTCACACAGTCCACCGGCGAAATGTGGAAATCGGTTCAATTAGCAGATAGTCCGGAGACAGCATCCAGCCTACCGGCCTTATTCTGGATTGCAAAAGCGTTGGCATTGAGGAATGACAAGCTTGCGGACCCGATTGTTGGAAGGTTGTTAGAAATCCTGGACAATCAAGCCCTTGGAGTAACAGTTGGCCGAGGGTTTGAAGTTCTCCTTGGTGACGACCCACTATTGTCCAAGGAAAATTTTGCAGTAGTGAGACTACTCAGCCAACAAAAACTATTTGTTTTCTGTGTCCCGAAGTTAGTGGAAGGGTTCAGAGCTGCTTCACCGGGTATGCCCGATACTCATTGACCCCACAAAAGAATCCAGTTCTAATTACTTTTCTCTACCCTATAGCTGCCAAGAAGAACTATCTTCATGCACTCTCAAGTATCATCCGCAATGTACCATCCAAATTGGTTCTCGCTGAGATCGACACCCTACTACCTTTGCTTCTGCAATCCCTCGACATCGAAGATTCAGATATCAAGACCGCAAGTATAGACACACTTTCTGTTACCGTAACCGAAGCAACAAGCCTCGTTTCGGAACACATATCTTCACTAATCACAAGATTACTTGCGGCAAGCTTGCCCAATGAAGTCAACACTGTGGTATGTTCTTATCCGTTATCGATAGCTATATCTGCAGAAACGGTCAACTGACTCAAGACAAAATTGTCTCGGACCTGCAGCAAGTCCGAACTGCAGCCCTCAGGTGCCTCAGTATCTTCCCAAGTGCCCTGAAAATCGACGTGGTCATCCCATATAAGCGACAAATAATGAGAGCCCTCCTAAAACCATTGGATGATCCAAAACGAAGCGTCAGAAAGGAGGCTGTAGACTGTCGGGCCAGGTGGTTTGCGCTCGGGGAACCTAAAGAAGACGATTAGTGATCAGGAAATAGCCTCGATATTAATAAAAGTTGACTAGGTTGTCTCCTTGGCGATATCAGAGTCCGTGTCGATAGGTGGTACCACTTCGGTTTAAGGCGTTGTTCCCTCTTTGAACCGGTTAATTTTCAACAAGCATGTGAGGATTGATAGTAGATAGAATTGAATTAATAAAAAATCTATCTTTCCAAGTAAGCTTTCATCAGAATTCGTAAATAAATTATTTAGAAATCCCATCTTCTCAACAGTTATGCTTCGATCATTTCGATCAAAGTGTGGTATTTTAGACCGCCAACACAGTGGTATCGTCTATGGATAGGGACTAGCTGATATCGAACCTCCAAAGTATGGCTTTAACAAAAAAGAAAATTGTAGTACCTAACGTTAACAGCCCTAGCACGCACGCACGCAAGCTTGGTATAAAGCTTAGTTCGGTTTTATAACCATCTTCGGGTTTATCCCGCTACTTCGGATAATGCTTGTTCAGCAATTCCTTGACTTCCAGTTCGTTTAAAAAGAGTATTCCTTTGGCCGGGGCACCTGCGCATGCACCGCCAGGCAAGGATTAGGGTATATTCTATAGCCTCTCCTGTCTTCTTCATTGGCTACTACGGGAGGCTAAATTTTATATAAAGTCGCACTGAGCGAACGTTGTGGAATCGATCTCGGATAGCTGGCGTGCCGTTTGATATTGGACTTGAAAGCTCGTGGAATCTGAGAGCTGTTTTATATGTTCATGAAAAATGTGATGTATTTTTATGAGGGTAGCCGTTTTATCACGATTTTAAATGTATAATATAAAAGGCATTGAGTTCTCCTAGCATTGACCATGAGGTTTCACAGGTACCTTTTTCGCCAACCGTAATAGAACAATCGGCTGAATTAAAACTGTAGAAGTTCCACAGAATTCGAGAACACTGGCAACCAATATTAATTCTGTTACAAAATGGGCACTAGCCAGCTATGGCGGCTCTTACTTTCTTTAGTAGCGATACAGTCAGTTTGGGCAGTACAGTATAAAGCGTTCGGCTGTGGAAACAATGTCGCAGATCTCCAGAAACAGATTAATACAAAATATTTACAAACTCCAGTCTGGGATTACTTTGGTTCTCTGTCCAAGCTTGTCGGTTCGTTAACTCTAGATCTTGTCGTTAATTTGTTTTCTGTTTCTCAAGAGTATTATATGCGCGGCTGAAAAGACTATATGCTAACAGAACCCTTAATGTTATACTGTTTAGTTTGTGCAAGTGGTATCAGTGGAGCTGGGGTTGACTATTGCATTTGTCCTGAATATTGTAAGTTTTGGGTCTTGGTTTGCCTACTCCTTGATTTGGGTTTAGATTTGAGCTTGGTTTCAACTTCAACTCGTGGAAACATCTCTCTCTAATGAGTATAACCTAATGGAATTATAGCGTGCTGTGGTTCTGTCAATAAGTATTGTCGTAGCACAGACGACTATGTGAATGGAATCTGGGTCCAGAGGCCTGTTCAGTGCTGTTCAGGACCGAACTCTTCAAACTTCTGCGCTTGGCGTAAGTATTACGTATCTCTGATCCTCCTTTGGGTATCAGTTACGCCGAGTAGATGTTTAGTCTGACTTGATCGATGAAATACAGCAAATCCGAAGTGTTTTTTGAATGGAGGTTTCGGATGGGAATGCCATAGCTCGACAACCCAATTCTGTGGATCTGGGGGTTGTGATACAAATCAAGGAAGTAAGTGGTCTTAAGGATCCTTCAAGCGCACTTCCTAAATATGAGGTATACTTGGGGCTGACTTTTTTTTTTAAGATTACTGCTGTGGCAGTCGGTGTTATAGACCTGGAGATGGTCAAGTTTGCTGTGGTGGGAATAAAGTATGCGGCAGTGGTAAGCCATGCAAAGGTCTTCATATACCCGCCGCGTGACCCTTAGTTTACATACGTTCATTTATATAGGAACATACTGCTGTAATGGCGACTGTATTCCGTGGGATGCTCAGGTTCGTACCATCATCTCATTCTTTAAGGAACTATATATAATAATAATCTCTACTACTTTTACAGTGCTGCGAAGGTCAAACATACCCTACCTGGTGTTCTAGCGGAAATTATTGCACTCCGACCATGTGCGTCCCCAACGGTGTAACGCTTTGTCCAGGAGGCCAGATTGGTTGCTACACTGGTTCTAAGTGCTGCGGTGGGAATAAGTGTATTGCTAATGATGCTACGTGCTGTGATAATGGGGGTTATTGTCCTGCTGGTGAGTTATTGAATTGGTTTATCGATATGACGGCAACGATGAATGAGGGATCGGATTGATTTTAAAATCTTGAGATAGGTAAATGGTGCTGCGGAGATCAGGTAAGCAGGATAATATGTTTTTCAAGGCATATTTCAACCTACTAGTATACTGATTATAATATTTTAATTTGACTTGCAAATAGTGTGGACAAAATGGGGATGACTGCGGATGGAGCGCCGCTCTGAACCAGCTTGTCCTTTGCCCTCAATCTAAGTGGTGTGGTGCCGGTATGTACTGGCCTTTTTAATATTAACTCCATGATCAACTAGAAGCTCTGTATCTAACGGAAATTTCCGGATAGGATGCTGTCCACACGATTACATTTGCACACAAAATGGTGGTTGTAGAGCACCAGATACAATAGCTTGTCCAGGTCCCTTTTTTAATGGATGCCCTCAAGGTAGAGTCTTGATCAACATTCTACCCTCGGGTAAAGTTTCATACTAACAGATCGATTAGACCGTTGGTGCTGTGGGCCCCGTGTAAGTTTTCCAGTACCATCTAACTACAGCTTCGCATTACTGAAACATATCATGCCTTAATAGTGCGGTAAATCCGAAAACCATGACAGTTGTTGCTGGTCCCAGTATCGTAGCCAGGAATATCTCTGTCAAAACGGGTTCTGTTGCGGAGATGTTCTTTCTAGCACCGCCGGATGCTGCAAGCAAGGTTGGCGATGTGTCAATGGGGAATGCCTTCCTCCCGAAGGCCAGCAGCTCTGTCCATATGCTGGCGTGAGCTGTCCAAATGACCAATGGTGCTGCGGAAATGGGGTAAGATTGGAACTTCGATATGCCTCGCATGTTAAAAATTGGTAATATGACTAATTCAACCATTGTAACAGTGCGGTGGTCCAGGTGCCAATGGGGATAGCTGTTGCTGGAATCCCACTATCGAACGTTTATACATTTGCAAAAATTCCGAATGCTGTGGGAATGACCAATGCTGCACGGCGAGTCAGGAATGTTCAAACGGACAGTGTGTACAAAAGCCATCACTAACTACAGCGTATGGAGTCTGGAAGTCTATTGGTTGTTATACTGATACTGTTAATGCTCGGGCATTATCGAACGTGGTTACCGATAATACAGGCATGTCCGTGGCAAGATGTGCAGGCATTGCGGCTGGACGGAAATACATGGGCGTCGAATACGGGGTGTAAGTGGGACATATTGATCCTGACAACATCGACTTCCTTTCAATTAACTCTATTTGTTATAGGGAATGCCACTATGGTGATTCTATCGCTAGCAGTTCCACATCTGCCAGCAATGGTTGCACTATGAGGTGCTCCGGAAAGCAGGATGAACTGTGTGGAGGTGGCGATAGACTCAACATGTATATCAATACCGCGTTCTCCGGGCAAGGTAATGACGACTGGGAATACGTGGGCTGTTATACGGATAGTAGTAGCACCAGAGCATTGCAATTCCAATTGGTTGACTGGAATGCTATGACTGTCGAGATTTGTCTCCAGACAGCTTCTGGATTTGCATATGCTGCTGTAGAATATTACGGGTATGCCTCTTCTTTCAATGCTCGATTGTTTTATGATTACTCTATTAAGTTATCTTTTCCGGTATATATTAGAGAATGTTATTACGGAAATACTTTGAACTCAGCCTCTCAATCTTCAACAGGATGCAATACTAATTGCGCAGGGAATTCAAATGAAATGTGCGGTGGGGCGGATCGAATCAATCTTTATAGGAATAAGAATGTTCCCCCGGTCGTGTAATTATAAGTTCTTGGATATTCCGCTTTGAGGTCTACGAGAGAGAGCTAATATATACGGATCCAAAGGTCGAGTTCGACTACAACGACGACTACGACCACGACTACCCCGTCCACTACCTCAAGAATAACCTCGAGTAGTACTACAACCACTACCACTACTACGACCACTACACCAAGTACGACAACAAGTTCCTCAACCACGACTACAACCACATCAACTACAACTACGACCACGACGACTACAACTACAACTACCACTACCACTACCACTACTACTACTACTACCACGACGACTAAAACAACCGCAGCTGGGCCAACCGCAACTATAAACCCCGGTGTCGGCTCATGGAAGAGCAAAGGATGTTGGACTGATAATATACTAGGCCATTTCCTAAGCCAACAGCTCCTTGCAGGCCAGTCTGGAAGCCTTGATGTCGCAGCTTGCATCGCAGCTGCTGAGGCCGAAGGTTATAAATATGCCGCTGTTGAGAACTCTGGGTATATAGAGTTTCCCCTGCAATCTCATATCGGATGAAACCCACCCGGGAAATACTAACTTTTATACGTAGTGAATGCTGGGCGGATTTTGTTCTAGAATTGGGCTCTCTACCCGTATCCAACAGTGAGTGTGATAAGGAGTGTAACGGGAAACATTCTGAAATATGTGGTGGAAGCGACACTTTTGTGCTATACCAAAACGATGACTTCGTCGACCCATCCTATGAGGTAGCAGCGCTTATAACTGCACTAACAGACTTAAAGACAGCGTATGAGGACCTAAAGGAAGCTATGGATGCTGTTATTGAACTATTGCAAAATTCCTCTCAGAAGAAACGTAGGAATATAGCACTCCGACAGGATAATCTAGGTCAAGCTGTTCAAGTGATGAAGCAAGCCGCAAGGACATGCAGTAAGTCAAGCACCCATTATAATTCAACCACCAGTATGGGTTTTCACACTATTGTCTTGAAATATAGGAAGAGCTTTGACAAATGCCATTTATCGAGTTCAAAGGAAATCACCCGCAGCAGTAGGTGTCTAATTAGGAACTTTGAATTTCATGTTTTGCTAACTTATGAAATGCGTAGCATAATTATATACGGCTTAATAACATGGCTTTGGACGACCAAGAGAGTTTGCTAGACGATGCCGCAAGTGCATTGAGTAGCTCTTCTATGCTGGAGGTTGAAACTGCTTCTGTTGCATCTGTGATTACTCTTGGCCCGACAGGATTGGCAGTTTTAGTATGTACTTCTCTCGGCCCTTTGATATTAATGTCGCTAATACAAGATTCTTTTGCCGTCAGAACATAGCTATCCGGACTCTGCGTAAGTTATACCTTATTGCTTATATATTTGAGGATTAATCTAACGAAACCTTCTATTACAGAGATCCCAGCCGTTGGCTTACTGGCTTACCTCCTTACTTTCGGCCATGGTGGGGGGTCCGGCACCGGCACCGAACCACTTGAGTGTGAAACCGATTTTTATATCCCATTAGTGATAATGTGTAAGCAGGGTACCACGGAAAAACAGTACGAAGCTATGATCCGCCGATTGCCCATGCACCAAGATAATGTTAGGATGGGACATTACGAAATCGATTGGAAGATGTACCGAGTTATAATCTCGGGATGCGATTCCGACAAGCTTATCGAGTTTGCGGTGGATCCTTCTGGTCCAATTCTTAGCATAGTCTACGATGAAATAATCAATGTAGAAACTATGCCGAGCCGTAGCTTCTCCAAGAGATCGTCACCGCATGGAGATGGAAAGATCCGAAAGCGAATGGAAACTAAAGACCTTCACCCTAATAAACTATTCAAGCGCTTTCCCAATACGAATTTGAACGGGCAAGATGTATTTCGATACCAACCGAACGCCCCGTCTCATTTAAATTGGCTTTCAAACCCAAACATTCGACAGCAATCTGGAAGATGGTATGATGTCCCGGACTCTTACGTATTCCTTGACGGAGAACAGGGAACTGGAGCAGCAATATACGTCATTGAATTTGCCGGGTTTCATTTGAGCCATGATGTAAGTGGTTGAGCCACGTACTTACAAGCTCCGTTCAAGATATTAACCTCAAGGTTAGGATTACAGAACAAAGCTTTTAGGAATACTTCCAGCTACAGATTGGGGTGCGACGCATCATGTTAATAATCATGGTACATGTGTCGCTTCCGCAGCTGCGGGGTGGTATTCTGGGAGCTCAAAGGGGGCTGGCTTGGTTCTCGTGAGCCCATTACATGTCAGAGATAATAGCGGTTTGAAAGCAGAAGAAACGTGGGCTTGGAAATTATATCAGACACTCACTGATATCGTCAAACACTCTAACGGCCAACCAATTGTTTACAAGGGTAAGGCTGTTATAAATATCTCAGCAAGTAAGTATCAATTAATCCCGTTGTACAGGTGCTTCGATAGCCACAATAACTAACTTTATCTACCAAATATAATAGCGATGAGTGCCAGACTATTCACTGGCATACATGCCAATGTATGGAATTCAAATAATGATTGGTGGGATGAAGTTATGGTAAGACTCAACCACCATCAGGTCGCGCTTGTTGTTTCGGCTGGCAACTATCACCCAGACAAAATCGACGCAGATAAACCTAAAGGAAGTGGAGGTTCGCAGACGGGTATCATAGTCGTAGGGAATTCATGGCTCGATGATGAGCGTCATCCCAAATCACAGTTCGAACAGTCCCAAGGCTCCAGGCCTGGGATTTTAACCATCTATGCTGCTGCTTCGGGGTCATGGTGCGCTGACACAACAGGACAAAACGTCTGGATCCTCGAGGGAGGAACATCAACAGGAGCTGGAATTGTTTCAGGCGTTGTCGCAAATATGCTCGTGTCCTATCCGAATGAGGTTGCCGCCTCAGTCGCTGCGAGCGGTGGGGTTTGGGGACTAGGTGTAAAGCGACTGCTCATACAGAAATCTAGGGAGGCTAAGGGATCAGTATTTGCCAGTGATTCGGATACTTCTACAACCCCTCGGTTAGCATGGGGCAAGCCTCTCATTTGTATGATTAATAACCCGTTCGATCCAAGTGATGTCGACATCCCGCCGGTTTCACCACTCCTCGATCCTACCAAGCCTGTGGAGGCAGCATCGACCACTCAATTTGCGGCTATCATGACTACATTTCCAATACTGGCAGCTGGAACTACTGTGGATCTTCCAACTAGGGTGAGATATTAGCTCCAGAACTCATATTAAAAATTGTTACTGACTAAAGGGGTTTAAACCTCATAGCCTGAGTGCGTCACGGTTATCTAACGGCCGTAGTATTGTCATTTTGGTAATTTGATTGGTGGCTCATCCGAGGATAGTTTGTGAACAATGTCGAATATATTACAGAAAAAACATTAGGTAATCACCAGTGTAATAAGTATCTAGTATATAAATATTATCAATCAAAAAAAAAGATCGATTTCGAACTTCATAAAAAAATCTTGTCAACGCTCTATAACCAATTCGCCCCGCAAAATTAGACCTTGAGTCCAAAATATTATCCCACGCATATATCGTCAGGCGAAGCCTCTTTCCAAAGCACCCGACTAAAGTTCCTCGACAGATGCGTAACTTGTCTTCCGTCCCGATATAAATACCACTGTATCCCATTTTCTAGATCTGAAATCAGACGCTCCACATTTTTGCGTTGATTTGGTGTGATGCTCCCATCCCTCAGCCCCTGTTTGAGTTCTGCTACTCTCTCCTCTGTTGTTTTTTCCGCGATGGCAGGTGGGATCTTTTCTTGACTCTTTGAGCGTTGGTCGAGATCCTATCATTTATTCCACGCAGGTGCATTGTTAGAAACGGGAAATGCAAAAGAAATGAATAGGACGCTGTTATATCCAGGGTAGTAAGAAGCCTGCTTACAACTAGCTCGAATTCATCCTCCGAATAGCTCCCGGCAGAGTATTGCTGGCTGCTATCAGGGCTATCACTACCTGACTGCAAGAGGATATCGACAGTCGAAAGTGCAGGCATCGGTTTGAGTTTATAACGATATTGATATACAGAATAATAATTTGACCGACCTCTAATGCATTAGAAGATGCCATGGGGGGTATATTGTTATTGTTCAGGCTTCCGGCGATTACATTATATACTATATATATACCCATTGCAATGCCAGTCAGTTGTTGGGCTGAGACCGTTTGAGAGTTTTGGAAGTCTATCATATCTTCCCGCGGGTACCTGAGCATATGATACGAATGCAACTGAGACAGTGGAAAATTAACGTTGGAAGTTGAATAGCGTTTAAACAGCGTTTGTCGTTCCTCGTGGGGTTCATTGTCGACGTTTTCAAGCATGCGCATGGTCTAGGCGTTTTTTAAACTTCGGATTTTGTGAACAGAGAATTCGGATCGTAGGTCTTAATTAAATATAGGTATCTACTCGGGGGTGTAATTAAAAGCTATTATTAGATTGAACCTAGCTGTATAATTAAGAACAAGAAGATCAATATGGAATTTGCAAATATCCTCGATATCGATGCACCATAATTAATGCCGTATAACCAACTAGAAAGGTGTTGGGTCCTGTTTGATTTCGGAATCGGGATGGGTTCTTGGCGTAGTCATCGACAAGGGTCCGGTTACACGACATTCAAGTTAACCGGGTCAGCTAGTTGCATAAATCCCGAAGACGCTCCTGAGCTCTGCGCTGAGTTCCGAATTCAGGGTGCTGCAGCTCTGAGGCTGCGAATTTATGTTTATGCCATCAAGATAAGTCGGCTTAAATTCCATATGTGAGTTTTGCATTGATGTCACGATTTGACCGAGTTTTCAATTGTTTTGGGTTATGGCGTTATATTTATCGAATCCCTCCTTGTACAGCTTGTCTATTATATAAGCAGGTTAAAGACCGCCAATACTAATATTTATTCAGACTATCGGCATAGTGCCCAATAAAGTACGCTATACCTCTATCGAAGTAGAGTCACAGGTTTTCTTGTCTCGAACGCGCTCAAGTTTGTCCATCTTACCTTAACCCGCGCCATGTCCTTACTTCGGTCAAATTGTTACACCGATTCTAACTTATGTATTTAACCTCTCTAGCCTCCATCAAGGGATTCAAAGAGCTTAGATTTCCATTACAACGGTACCCCTAAAGCTACAAAGAAAAATATGACATCTACTTCCCCCGAAACTCAAAATTCAATTTTTCACGCTGCCCAAAAGGGCAATGTCGACGATATAATCTATTTCGTATCTAAATCTCAGTCTCCAAATTCACAAGGATGTGGTGGTTACACACCTCTCCATATAGCTTGTGCATTCGGGCACAAGGATGCTGTAAGGACGTTGTTAGTCCATGGTGGAGATCCGGAACAGAAAACCGAAGATGGGAAAACGGCGAGGGATGTCGCTGAAGGGAAGGGCTTTACGGAAATTGTGGAGTTGATTGAGGGTGGAGAATGGAAAGTCGAGAGGGGTGAATATGCGCAGTATGATGCCGATTTTCGCCTTTTGGCACAGACTTGTCTACTAAGATTTTGAGAAAGATGATATGTCTGACGGTTATATTTGGTACCGATTATATATAGGTGAATTGATAAGCTATTGAACAGCGGGTTAATGTTGGGAGCGAGCTGGGTTCGACACTTCAATTATCCGTCCCATCCTGGGTCGCCGGTTTCGATGTATATGGTTGCTACTAAAATATTCTTGTATCTTACATCCATTTACTCATACATTCAGCTGTCTATTTATTTTGCCGACTTTTGCTTCCATGCAGCACTCCGCACTGTTTTCCTTGCTCGTGCGCCGCCCTTCTTCTTCCCGGACCCACCAGTTCTCAGTCCTACGTCCATTCCAGGTGCTGCCCTTGTACCCTCGTATACACCGGTATCTTCCATCTTCCGTATCTTAGCTCCTCCAGCCTTGCCAAACAACTTCCCGGCCCTACCTGCAGCTCCCGATTGCCTAGGATCCGCCTTGGGCACGTATACCCCGTTCTTCTTCGCCGACCTTACAGCACCAGGTGCAGAATCAGGTACTGCCTTCTTGCGCATATTTTTAGCTCTAGTTACTCGTAGCTTTCTCTTCCTCCCTTTCTCTACTTCCATTGGCTTTTCGTTAAGCAATAATGCCTTCTCAACGTCAACATCATCTGCGAATTGGACGTATGCGAATCCCTTGCCCACATTCGTCTTTGCATCTCTAACGAGTCGCACATTCTCAACTTTACCACAGGTGCTGAAATGTTTCCACAGCGATTCTTCTGCAGCTTCGAAATCAAGGTTTCCAACGAATACGCATTTGCGGGAGTCGTTTTTGGCTGGGTGGGCTACACTGTCGACGCGAATGTGATGGTTCAGAACTATAGTTCCATTTAGTTGTAGGGAGGAACGAGCGGCTTCTGGGGTCTTGAAGACGATGTAAGCATTGACGTTGTTTTGGTCGACGTGGAGAGCTTTGGTGATAAAGGCGGCTTTTCTGGGGATTTGGTCGGAGAAGGCGATAGAGCGGAATCGAATTGAAGAGACTACGCCGTGGACTTTGAAAGCGGACTGGAGGGTTTTGTATTGTGCCTTCAAGATGTAATTAGTATAAGACTTCCCACAAAAAAAGATTGACTGTTGTATCCAAATACCTTGTCGGAGATAATCGAGGATGGGAGGTTGCCAACGAATACGGTACAGTTTGCCTTCTCGAGTTCTCGGTTCTGAAGATCACCTTCTGTTTCGTGCCGTATTCGCTCCTTTGGTGCTTCTTCCTCTTCTGAATCGTCGTCTTCACCATCTTCACCCTCATCATCATCCTCACCACCTTCACTTTCGTCTTCCTCATTTCCATCAACGTCAGCCTCCTCATTTTCACTAGGTAAACCATCCCCATCGTTTCCAGAGCTAGATTTGGCGTCCACATCATCGGCTTTCTTGTCTATTTCTACCATTTCCTCATCCTCTTTTTCCTTAGTGTCCTCTACTGCCTTCTCCTTCTTTGGCTCCTTGGCTCCTTTCGCCGATTTCTTCTGCTTCTTTCTCGTTTCCGGTTCCTCGTCACGTAGTTTATCCATATATACGTCCTCGATCTCTGGTTCGGTAGCCCTCTTCCGCTTCTTTTTCTTGTCCTTATTTAAGGCCTCGTCCATGGCAGCTAGAGCATTGGCGACTTCACTTGGGATTTCCTCGTCTTGATCTTCATCTTCATCTTCATCGCCAGGGGCATTCGCCTCGACTTCACGTTCTTTTCTTTGTACGATCGAGCGCCTGGAGTTTATAACGGCAATTTTGACAGGGCCGGCCTATAAAGTGGTTAGCAAGTGTTAAGGTACGGCGCAGAGAATGGGCTACTACATTTGTAGAGAATAAGGATGCGAGGCTGTCGTCCACTGCCTTAGCAGGAGCATCGAAGAGCGACTTTGAAGTGGATGATTCTGCGGTTTTTGATTTCGACTTGGACTCCCTCTTCTTCTCCTTCTTGTCGCCTTTGTCGCTCTTTTCTTTCTTGTCCTTCTTGTCCTTCTTTTCTTTCTTTTCCTTTCTCTCTTCCTTTGTGGAGTCAATTTCCTCCCCTTCGGCGAGCTTGGACTTCTTCGACATCGCTATGGTGGTTGTGGTTGTAGTAGGTAATATTTGTGGGGATGGCTACGGTTTTGGATAGATGCTGTCGCAAGTGAAGAAATGGCGACGGGAAAAAATTCGAGATTTTCAGCCACGCGATAACATTGTGTGGCTGGTGCTTCACAGTGTGGCGTTCTCTCCACTCCAACAAGACAGACGCTTTGGATGGTTGGAGCTTCCAACTTCACCAACAGCTACATTGACGCGAGAACAGAACAGGTACGCTAGTATACTTGTGGCCTGCGAGTGGCCTGTTGATTCCCCAATCTCTTTACTTCAGGAAATGCTAACGGCTTTTGAGAGGTATCCATTCTATCTCTTCAATATCGTGTCCTCGGTTTCGGTCTGCTGGTGGCTGAGCTCTGCCCTACAGTCGCTGGAAAGAATGCGATTCGCGAACCGGCCAAAACGGCGTCCATGCTTAAGGACGATGCGTACCACAGTTCCATGTATATTTCCAAGTCGTCTAGCACCCCAGATCCTAGCCACAGGTACATGTGGTGCGTACCAACATTTGGTGCGCCAGGTTTAAGATCTGCTTTATGTCATGTCACTAGAGAAATGCGGCTTGAGCAGGAGAGGCTTGTGCGCATATGAGTCTGACAGGGGTTTGTGCCCATAGGCCATCTCACCCCGGCTCCTCATCAGATGACGAACTTGGTCACATTCGGTATGCGTTACCTATCGCTACCAGAAAGCGGCCGTTGCTATCGTTCGCGACGGTGTACACGCTGCTGCTTCATCGGGTACCTTTTAAATCGGTGGTTACAATGGCCTCTGACGGGTCCAGCTGATCAAGCAAAAGCTTATACAAACGGAGAAGGGAATTTAGCCTCGGAGAAAAACGATCATCTCGAGGCCTTTAACTTAAAGCCTGGCCATGGGTATATGGCCAAGGGCAACAGCTTGAAATGAGATCGGACGTGCACTTGTATGAAGGTTTGACTGCATCGGCTTTAGTCGGTCGCATGG